AATTTTTTTCTCAGAGGGTTTAGCTTGTGCTGAACTTAATCCTTCATGAATTGTTGACGGCGTTGCGTAGAAAGTGCAGAGTCAACCTCCTTGTTTCTGTTGTACTCAAAATTTCCCAATGTCTACGACACTGATGCAGTTCGAGTAATGAACATATGTATTGGGCATACTGTTGAAATTGGGATTTTGCTTCAGGACATGATTAGAACATTTAAAATAGTCAATAATATAACTCCTTTCTTTTTAAACATAAAAGATCGAACTGATGATATGTTAGATTTCAGTTGAAAAATTTTCGTTTACGATTAAATATTTTTGTTCAAGTTGTATTGACAGAAGCTGGTCAGCAAGGTGTACTTCTATGGTACCAAGAATCACTGGAAGCCCTCAGGGCTGCTGATATTTTGGAATCAATACCAATTGAGGTCGACACCACTGAAGATGATCTAGACAAACGTAAGTCTACACGTGCTTATTTCATTGAAACCACGCAATTTTTCAATTCTCAAGCTGAGTATCGATCTCAGTATCTCTTCTCTATAGAAAGGCGTTTCATAGAGGTTGAAAGTGTGACACTCCTCCTTCGAAGAATAACTGGGTTTTGAATAGAACAATTACAATTCAACCTTACTCTTAACAAAAATCAGAATTACGTTTTAGATTCTTTTAAGGTGGATTTACTAAGTACAACAGTACTTAGTAAATCCATGAGGGAGAGCTACTGATAAGCACTAATTCATTGAAAAGAAGGAAAGTTGCAACCACATTGAAATCTTTTAGGGCAGTCTTTCTTAAAATGAGCGATAACGTGGCCTATCAATGGATAGTACATTTGGGCATTAATTAAAGTAGAAAGTATTTTTGGTGTTCTTTAATCATGTATAAAACCTCTCTATTGTTTCGTATAATCTTTACGGAATAAGTACACACATATGTCCGAGAGGTGCACACGAATTGACCATAAACATTATTTGGGAATAGATAAGATACAGGGTGTTGCGTGTATAATGTGACATTTTTTCAATTATAGCAAGCAAATTAATATTGTTTCATAAAGTGATTGTATAATCAGTAATAATTCTGTGTTTGACCATGTCTGATAAGCAATTAAACAATAAACACAATTTATTTCTAATCGACACCCGTTAGTCTGCGATGCACTGTCATCTGGAGGAACAGTCTTCTTGGATCTCACCTGGGCAGGAAACGACGTGGTTAAAGAGCTCTCGGACACCTTAAGCATACCATACATTAGGATCGATATTTCCATAAGCCCCTTTCTGGAGTTTCTGGATAAATTCCTGGATTTAAGGAACGCTACGGATGTTGCTCTTGTCGTTAGTGACAGTTCACGTAAGTACTTCGCTCATGCCATGACCTTATTTGAAGTGTTTCTCAAAACTCCAAACCATTTTCATAGTCCGCATTCGAGGGACGATTCTTTGGACTAAATACTTTGAGCTTTGTCGATTTTCGAAAAAGAAAAAAGCGATTTATGAAGCAACAAAAAAAAATTGATTTAGAAGACAACAATCTTCTCCAATAGATTGACGAATTCTTTTAAATACACCAAGGTCATTTTGTACTGAATTACATTTTGCAACTGCGGTGTGGTTGCTCGTGAGTTTTAAACAGCCGAGGGTCGTGGGATAGATTAAGATGTTAAAAATTTACCTACGATCTTTTGAATTTTCTTTATCAACTCCGAAGCGCTCGTCAGAAAGATATTTCTTCAAATTGGTGAACTGATGGAATTCTGGAAGTTCCAAATCAGGAGAATAGTGGTGGTGGTCAAGTGAATCATATACCAAATTCCGCAGTTTTCGCATTGCTAATACACGTTTGTGAGCAGGTGCATTGTCGCTGACGAAACATTTTCTTTTTATTCTTCAAGCCACGCATTTTGGCATACCCTTGATCAAGGATGTAGGAATTGCTCATCCCTTTCAAGGTGATTAACGAAATCCCCTTCGCTTCCCAAAATTCACTGACCATTACCTTTCCGGCAGATGCAATCAACTTCTCTTTCTTTGGCTTGGTCCCCACCCACTGTTTTGGTCTGCTTTAGTAATATATTATTATTAGTCGCACTACAACAGTAGGCGAAAATGTACGATAAAGTTGTTGTTTAAAATTTCTTTTTTACGCTGGATAATGCACGAAACGTGTTGCCCTGTATTCTAGCTCCTTATCCAGATTATTATTGAGTAAATTGACAGTGGTTGCACTCACTGTTTCTCTACTAAAAGAGTTCGACTAGTATACCAGACGATTTGAAATGAAATTTCTTTTGATCAACTACACATTTTTCTAATTTTTTGGTTTTCACTTGGAGATGAATATTCTGACTCATATCGAATACGTGAAGGGTACTTAATTAGCAACCGTTGATGATCTTGAATGACTAAATCAATCAGTTCCCCCCGTAATCTTCGCTCAGCGAATGTCGTCAAATGTATAGCCCTAAGACGTTGTTCATATGGCGAATGTCGAATCTCTGGTAGAATTCGCGTTATTTTCCGTTGAACTTTTTCCAAGTAGTTCGATGTCTTTAACAAAATAGGGATTCTGCACACTGTGTGCATGTTTAAGGTTTGGTCTAATGTACGTCTTGAATAGCTTTTCTATCATAGCAGGAGAGTGGTTTCTAGCCGCTTCTTGAATCAAATGCATCAGTGAGTTGACTATTAAGTATAATTCAGAGGTCTTTCTGATAATGTACTTTTTCAATTTCCATCTGCCCTATTACTGCAGTTTATATGAATATGAGGTTATATGTCTCAGTAGTTTGCATACTTTTGCAAAAACTGACACTAGATTTTATCTGTAAGTACTTCAAGGTTTACAAACATAAATTTATTGTAATTAAATTTCATGTTATACGAATGACTAATAATAATATGACTGGTGATTTTGCATCCGCTCACATTTGGTAGACATTTCCTGTAAATGAGATCTTACGTTACCTAAAGAATGGAGAAATATTGCCACAGCATCTGTACCTAGGAACCTTCAACAGTCTGACTTGGTTTGTATTATTTTTTGCGGCATCCATGATCCGTTGAAAACCGCTAATTGACTATATTAACAATACGACAAAGAATGTTCTCGCCATTTTTACAATTCATTTTTTCGTTCCGCTTACGCTTGTTTATTGGCTAACCGGCTGAATACAATGTAGAAAATCATAAATTGAAAGTAAATGAAAAGACCATGATGCAACTGCCATATCGTGCGAGGCATTTTTATATTGATTTTGCATCACAATCTAGATTAGTTGTAATTTGCACATAGGGGAGTACATTTCTACCCGAAGTGTGAGATCCTCCAAAATTGGTGTATACCCACTAAGCTCCCTCAGTCGTTTGCCATGTATTCCACAAAGAAAGCATATTATAGCATTTCGAAATTGTGGGTAGCGTCACGTTAATATTCGTATCAGAGGTATTTGTAGGAACCCGTTATCTCCCTCCGTACATATCGTCGGTCTCCGCACGTACCGGCGTAACTAACGTTTTACAAATTTTACAGGAGAGCTAGAAAACGAAAATCAGCAATAAATGAGATTGAAAATGACATACTGATTTTTTAGCCTGAACGTTGCGGTTTTTTTTAGACTAAAATGATGTAGAACCAGTTTTAACGCAGAGGCGTAAATCTATTTAAGCCGGTACGTGAAAATTGTTTTCGGAATCTTAGTCAATTTTCTGAAAATTTTAATTCTTAGCAGCGAACTGATATACAGCTACGTCACTTCGTGAAGTAAGAGACTACAAAAAAAATCTGTAAAATTACCGCGTAACTCGATTTTAGATTATTTGTCATTTACGCCTGTACGTGTGGAGACCGACGATATGTAAGATGTATGTACAAGTGTATGCCCAACTGTCTGCTTTTATCGTTGCTCAGCAATATTCGCCTACCCATTGATTGGATTTCAACCTATTTGCCTTCATCTACATGCTTGGCGAAATTGTCAGCAGTGAGCCTCACGCCGAAGCTCCAGTTGTCTCTAGCAGTCCACCTATCTACTGCATTCGAGTGGAACTAGATGCTCAGGAGTAGTGCGTGCAGTTCGCGTATACCTTCTTTCCTACCCGCTTTAGATAGGTAGCTTTTATAGCAACCATAAAGTTAGCGGGCAATTCTCAAGGTAGCACCAAGTACTGTGTAGCCTTAAGAGGAGATTACTTGATAGACGCCTATGAGGAGCGTCTTAAGCCATGTAGGTGTCCGTGGGCACATAGGATCGGGATCACAGCTATGGAGATCGAAATTCGGGGCCCTCCTTTGACGTTTCACTTCCTACGCCATTGGGGAGGAAGTGAACAATTTCGAATATGATATATTATATCTTTTGGATGTTACATGACATGTGAATCACGAAAAACCCTCACTCATTTCTGTCGGTCTGTCGTCCGGTAATCTTTGGCCCCTCTATGACTTGGAAAGTACTGCTCGAATTTGGATGTTTTTTGATGATGCTGAAGAAGTTATATAGTTAGTGTTTTTGAACAATTTCTGAAGATAAATAGGTTTTACATGTGACTTTTGCTAATATAATTTCCGAAAATTCAGTTCGTTATTTATTTTCGGAATATGTCGTTTATCCAAAATTGTTAAATAATTTTAATATTCCACAAACTCACTCATACACTTTTTCCTACATTTTAACAATTTTTGTATTTACTAATATTGCATTCTTGCAAATGCAGGTTTTACTCCACTATAAGTCGTTAATTTAAATCAGAAAAATAAATATTCTGGACTGAACGGCTAGGCGGATATAATTCAATTCTTAATTAACAATTAACACAAAACGCATTAGTTTGTTTGTCTTGTATCATCACGAGCAATTATCGTTTTAATTGTACGAGAAATATAAAGTGTAATCAAAACACTTTTCAAAACGAAGCAATTACAGCCTATTGCTTATTGTTATATTATACGAGTTTTGTTTTGTACAACTTTTATTACAAAAACAGTTGTTTATTGGTGCCATGTGGTACTCGTATCTAATTGAAATTAAAAAACAAAAGTTGAAAAACTCGCTTTTCCTGATGTCCAGTTATTTGATAAAAGTAATTCTAGTAATTTTCAAAGCTATGATTACGGAAAAAATTACAAGTGTTATATTGTTTAAATCAAAATGTAGAAATGTAAGCATTATCTCTGAAATGTTATATAGAGTAAGTTGTCTTTTCATCACATTATTGAGAGAAAAACGCTCAATCTGAAAACATATTCTTATAAAATTTCATACATTTCATTTCGGATCCGAAACACACATCCCACAATAATAAAATAGTGATGGTACAATTTACAATAATTATCTCCAGAAATATCCGGTTGGACCTCATAATTTTCATATTTAGCATGATTTTCTATACAATTTTGAGAATTTTTAGTATTCTACCCCGCTCTTCAAAAAGTTTTGGGGGCAGGTATACTTTCACAATGAGTTATCTCTTGTCGACGATTGGCCCCCGAGAAACATTCCTGTGGGTGCCCATGCAAATCCATCAACTACCAGTTTTACTATTTCCAGATATAGACCAAGCCTTATACTATTGGCTAGGAACAACTAGACTAAGATTACTTATATCTGAGGCTCTAAATCCGACAACTGCGGGAAAATTGAGAGATATGAGACCCACTCCCAATAATATAGCTTTTCTGGGCACTACTAAACGTATAATTGAAGAGTATAACAAGGTGAGTCTAAATTAATGCAAAATATTGCATACAAATGTGATGCTAAATCGACAAAGTTGTCGGATAAGTGTTTCTGATACATTCAAAAAGAGGCAGGCATTCCATAAAAGTTTTATTTTGCAAGCACCAAGCTTCATGTTTGCTACTTATGCTGCTGAAATTTAAGGCAGTGTGTGGGATTTCACGTTATATGAAAATATTGGCACGTTAGTGACATGACTGGTTCTAGTACTTGACAAATCTGCATTTTTATGAAGCATGTAAGAAATTGGATAATTGTAAGTTTCATAAAAAGATCACTGCATATAATTTATTCTATATTGCTAATATCTCGATTTTTTAAATAACTCAGTTTACAAAGATAGTTTTACCTGGAATGTCTGGATCTAGTGAAAAATAGTGTGGAGACCTCGGGTCACCGACTTACACTTATTCAATAAAGACAGCAATATTTAAGTTGTATAATATAATGAAACTGGTTGGTTTTAGGCTCTCCAATTTAACTTGACGCAACACCCAGATAGGGTGAACATGGTCTTTATCGACTTCAAAGATAGTGCTTTCGATAGATCCCTCCTCAAAGGCAGACCAGTTCATCTTCTGACACTGAAGACAGCGATGTGTTGCAGACTTTTAAATACACAAGAGCCCTGTGAATGTATCCTTGACACAGACATCCAGAGAGTCTTTCTGACAGAAAGTTTAAAGTTTCTGTATAAAGCTGTGGGTGATATTCAACAGGTATGATTCTTTTGTTTTATAGAGTGAATACTGAGAGCCGATGAAAAAAACCTCAGAGGATCTGTTAGAAGAAAGGTTTTCCACTCCAAAGTATACTGGGTGCACGAGCATCAATGAGATAAAAGGGTTGGCGGGTTGCGATTCTCAGCCCCAATAACAACAATAGCCCCCTAACTAGCAAAGTAGTGCTATAAGCTCTTGGTAAAAGAACCGTTTAGCCATAAAAGCTCTCTATTGTTGTTGCCTGAACACCAAAATGCTGGCTTAATGTTGTGTGGAATGCAAATTTGCTTTCTGCAACATATTTGCTCTAAAATGAGGTGTTTAAAATATTCTTATAGCATAGTTATACAACACCTTATAGAACAAATTTTTAACTGTTGCATAAACGTTTATACAACTATTTTATACGGCATATTTGCACGTTAGTCAAAATGGTTGTGTTGTGGCATCCATGGTAACGTTTATAAAACAAACCCGAGCCTTGTTGTTTTGCTGTGCAAATTTACTACCTTAGCCAACAAATTGCTCCCAAAGGAAGCACTTATACAACTGTTGTTTAGTAACTGTTAAAGGCTGTACATATGCTAAATATGTTGGTATACAACTTCACCATAAACTAACTTTCTGCCGTCATATTTTTGATAAAATGCCATAAACAATGTTTTAAGACAAAGAACGCATGCATATTGGTTCAGAAGGATTTATCAACTGTTCAAACAGAAGATATAGATCTGGTACAAATTATGGGTAAATCATTCGACTCTGTCGGTATTTCATTTCAGACATTTGTCAATTTGTTGTATAACACCTGCAGGCAACACCAAAATATTCTAATAAACTAAAGACAACATGGACGATGCCATGATTATACACAACCACCCGCCATATTGGGCAAACATTTATTCCTCTATTTAATATTAAATAATTATGTTTCACTTTGAAATTACAGATATAATAGTGTCTAAATATAAGATTTGTGGAAGATTTAAAGCAGATAAGTTCAGTTTTCCATCTTAAAAATCTAAACATACTTTTGATCATTATCAAAATAGGAATCAAATACCAAGCCCGTAGAGATTGCGTAACTACTTTGTAAGATAATCACAATAAAATTTGCTGTGCAAGTAATTGAATAGCCCTATATCACAGTGTAGAAATTTATCATATACCTGTGTATCAAATTCACAATGGCCGATATGTAAGTAAACAAGATGACTATAATGTGTTAGTTATATATTCTTCACTTTGTCTATACAATGAAATAGTTTGGTTGCAATAAAGTAGAATCACGTAACAGAATAGTTGTATAGTTGACAAAAACTCAATCTTGCACTGACGCAAATGTCCTATAGCGGCTGCAAGAGGCTTACACTTTTGTTGTATAACTGTTACCTGCAGCCCTTATACAACCTCTTAAATGACTGAAGTGTCCTATTAGGTGTGCCCATTCCGCTTGTATAGCTGTTCTAATGTTCTTACAGTATACAATGCTGTGTAAGGAATACTGATACTCGTAGGTCAATATGGACGCCACAAAAAGACGGTTTCGTCGCTCATCTGTTAGAAGCATTATTACTAGGGGAGTCAAACGTGCTTGACCATGATGTATTCCTTGAACAGAACCGATTTCAAGAAAATTGCGATGGTGAATGTTCTGAAAGCTTTCAGTTGAACGATGCGCGCACCACACTGTATGAATTATGGCTTAGGGCACACCATGTGGTGTAACGTCACATAAATCAAATCCAAGCGAATGACCGAAATCTCTATGTTATGTACCGCGGTTATAATAATATGGTTCAAGATGACACACGGGTTGATAACGTCAGTTACTCGAATCGCTTGAACGCGTTGGTTTTAACCGCGGTTTTGTTGCAAGTTGTTTATTTTAAAAAAGCTCGTATATAATTTCTGATTATTTTTATTATCACTTAATAACCGGTGCTTTTTCGTCTACAATGGTTTTTGGAAAGTTTAAAAAAGAAACCTTTCATAATATTAATGGGAGAATTTTTTTTTTCAGAAAAAAATTTTTAATGATGGAACCATGACTTTGTAGCTATGATAACTTTGAATTCTCTAATCTTTTCCGCATGTCGAAGGAAAAATTTATTGATTTATCGGAAATGATAGGAAAAAGCGATGAAAAAAAGATATTAGCAAAACCGTATACAGTGAGTTTATATGGCCATATTTTAATATTCTTGTGGTATATGGCTACACAGGGTACTTTGTTAAGCATAGGAACTAGATTTAAAGTGTCCCCAACAACAGTAATGATTATAACTAATAAGGTGCTCTATTTTATGCTAAAACTGAAGTCAAGTTTCCCAAAAATGAAGCTGAAATACAATAAAAATATCCAATTCTAACTTGTCACATTTCAAATAATAACCAGAAATATAAAACTACTCCTGAGTTGGGTAAATACCATAATTTTGCGGTGATTACTATGACATATAACAACTGATTCATGACGTCACGGATCTTATAACCAAACTGATAACCACACTCACTTGAACGGATCGGTAAATACCAATCCAAAATGGTAAATACCATTTTCATTTGGTTATTCGCTTGAATTTGATTATAGTTTTCGTTATGGGAGGTATGATGATGCAACGGTATATCCACGAAACGTTATGTAACCACATCATTCAACATTTACCTTATTGCTTGAGAACTCTATTTTCCAACAAGATAAAGCCTGTTTTCATATCTCTCTATCTCTTGTTGTTTACCAAAACATACTCGATCTTACTGTCTACGCACGGTGGTACCGTGGTATGTGCCCACGAGGCGGCCTGGTGCAACTAGAAAGCGATTGGAAATACCTCACCCAGCCAGTTGTCTTGACTTGAACGCCGCCAGATAGGGCACCAAGGCAGCTGCGGATAGAATTGAATTTGCCTCTAACAGTCGATCCTGAAAGTTGTTTGGTAGTTAGTGCTGTAGACTAATTGGTTAGATCGGTTCCACGAAATGGAGATTATGCGGATTCAAATCCCGCCGGCCTCCCAGTTTTTCTTTCTCTCAAGTTGTTGTTTACTAAACATACTCTCTGTTGCGGAGGTGCTCATCCCAAAAGTCGTATACAAGATGATGCCTGTCCCCATATTTATAGAGCTACGGTAGGCTTATCTTAATAATGTTTAAATCAGCCTCCTTTCTTCGCCTCCTAGATCTCGAGACCTGTAGCCTCTTTCAATATGTGTTGGATATGATGAGAGGAAGAGTGATCTCTTTATCTCATCCTCTACAGACGCTAGCAGTAGCAAGAGACATAAATTACTTGATCACAAGCATATGCCGGCGACTGGACGAATGTATACGATATCGGGGTGGTGACCCTCACATTATTAAGGAAATCTACTTATAAATCATACAAATGTTTTAAAATCAAAATTAATTTCATCTTCTTGCTTATAAACTGCCTGTAAAATGTCATTCAAACTAATAAATTTTTACTGGTCATTCTATTTTCCTTGTCACTCAGTTATTTACCAGCACCCGTATCAAGTAACTTAAATATTGACATTATACCGATTCTTATGACATCATAATCAAGCGAATTCCAAATGGAAATGGTATTTACCATTTTGGGTTGGTATTTACCGAGCCGTTCAAGCGAGTGTGGTTGTCAGTTTGGTTATAAAATCCGTGACGTCTTGAATCAGATGTTATATGTCATAGTTATCACCGCAAAATTGTGGTATTTACCCAACTCAGGAGTAGTTTTATATTTCTGGTTATTATTTGAAATGTGACAACTTAGAATTTTGCCGGGTATTGGATATTGTTATTGTCCTTCAGCTTCATTTTTGGGAAACTTGATACAGAGTGACTTCAGTTTTACCATAAAGTAGAGCACCTTATTAGTTATTTTCATTACTGTTGTTGGGGACACCTTAAATGTAGTTCCTAAGCTTAAAAAAGTATCCTGTGTAGCCATATACCACAAGAATATTAAAATATGGCCATATAAATTCACCAGATGATGTCCACCTGTATGCGGTTTTGCTAATTTCTTTTTTCATCATTTCTGCTGAATCAATAAATGATTTCTTTGACATGCGGAAAACTTTAGAGAATTGAAAGTTATCATAGCTACAAAGCCATGGTTCCATCATTAAAAAAAATTTTGAAAAAAAAACATTTCTCCCATGAATGAAAGGTTTCTTATTTAAACTTTCCATACACAGTTGTAGCATACGCACTTTTATAAAATAAACAACTTGCAACAAAACCGCGGTTAAAAGTTAAAACCAACGCGTTCAAGCGATTCGTGTAACTGACGTCATCAAGCCGTGTGTCATCTTGAACCATGTTATAGCCGCGGCACATAACACAGAAACTTTGGTTATTCGCTTGGACTTGATTCATGTAGGTTTTTTTTGACATTATGCAAGTAATTCTACAAAATGTCAACTTTGATTTAGCTGACACTCATTTCAGTCTCTCTTGTAATAGAGGGGGAATGAACTAGTGCACAAGTTGCCATTTTATCGATTTTTCGACAATATATAGGTTTTTTACCTGATAAAATTGAGTACTAATGCTAATTCCTGTCTGACATCAATCCTTGTATTTTTTACGCTTTATTCTGTCCAATCCAACGAATTCAGATTTGGAAGAAGGAACCAGTCAAGGATTTGTTTGTCTTTTAATTCCCATATGAGGATCAAAGTGTACTTGACATAAGTCAATTTTTGACAGTTCTGTCATTAAATTCGCTTTTTCGTGTTAATTTTTATGGAAATGCGAGTGTTTGCAGACAATTTTGGTGTTAGTCGACTTCAAGACAGGGTAGGTACTTCGTACATACTTTGCAAAAAGCGGCACAAGCCGACTGAAGGTAGATGCTCTCACCAATAAGTTTTATTATTATGTTGTTTCACTTTGATAGGCATTGGTAGTCAAATGAGTGAGAGCATGTTTTTGAGTAAAAAAAACCGTTCTATTGTCCGAGAAAATTAATGTAATAATTGAAGAATGCAATTTAGCAATAAATATCTAGTTGCTCTGGAATATGTCACTGGCTTTTGACATATGACAAATCTCTGTTACTCAAATCTGTTCGCTGTGACATCTTTTTCATTATTTAGTTTTTACAATCTTGTTAATAATGGTGAATTATTCAAATGCAGATATGGCGGAAATGCATTACGTATATGGGCTTGCCGACGGTAATGGTGAGCAAGCCAGACGGATTTATCAACAGAGATATCCCGATCGTGCTTTGCCAGATAGTTGAACGTTTTCTAATATTCATCGTCGTCTTGTTGAAACTGGTTCTATCCGAAAAGGAACATCTGAAGGTAGGCCTCTAAGTGTGAGAACACCTGGAATTGAGGAAGCAGTGCTGCACGAAGTCGAAGAACATCCTGAAACGAGTACGAGGAAGATCGCTAGACACTTAAATATTTGCCATCAAATTGTCATTTTGAGAGTACAGACATTACTTTCCATTGATTTTTCAAGGCGTGTGATCTTTTGTCAGTGGTATCCACAATTTGAATCAATGACTCTGTTCACGGACGAAGCTATTTTTTCTCGAAATGCCATTCAGAATTTTCATAATAATCGTTTGTGGGCAGAAGAAAATCCCCATCCCGTAACCGAAACCCATTTCCAACACCAATTTTCGCTTAACGTATGGGCAGGAATTATTGGCAACCACTTTATTGACCCATTCTTCTTGCCGGGGCGACTTGACGGACAGACTTACCTCATTAATATTTTCAGAACCGCTTCAGATATTTCGCTGATATTTAGTACGTAGTGGAAGTTAATAAAGTTGCATATTTTTCAATGCAAAAATAATTTTTAGCTTTAACAGTGGCGTGCGTACGGGTATTGACTTCGATATTTTTTAAGAAAAAATGGTACGCCAATGGTTTTTTCCAAATAAAAATTATTTTCGAATTCCCCGTTCAATTTAAAACAACTGACAACATAAACATAACATTAAAACTAGCGAAATGATTACAAAAAATGTTGAAAATGGCCCCCTTCACTTAGTATGCATGCTTCCGCCTTACTTCTCATGGAATTGCGCACTCGTTGAAATATCCCTGGAGTGTTTTTTATTCTATCACAAGCTGCAACTATTCTTTCTCTTAATTCCTCTACAGTCTTAATGGGACTTATGTAGACTTAAGATAGCCCCACAAAAAGAAATCTAAACTGTTGAGGTCTGGGGACCTTGGTGGCCATTCTTGGGGCCCACCGCTGCCAATCCAACGATTTGGATAAACAGTTTGTAAATAATTACGAACCACTACACTGAAATGCGCTGGTGCACCATCATACATGTACCACATATTGTTTCTTATTACTAATAGAACATCATCAAGCAGCAAAGGCAAGCTGTTGAAGAAAATTGAGGTAAGTCTGCACGTCAAGTCGTCCCGGCAAGAAGAATGGGCCAATAAAGTGGTTGCCAATAATTCCTGCCCATACGTTAACCAAAAATTGGTGTTGGAAATGGGTTTCAGTTACGGCACAGGGGTTTTTTTTCTGCCCGCAAACGATTATTGTGGAAATTCTGAATGGCGTTTCAAGAAAAATTAGCTTCGTCCGTGAACAGAATCATTGATTCAAATTGCGGATTTTGGGTAATTTTTTGAAGATACCACTGACCACTGGAAAATCAATGGGAAGTAATGCCTGTACTCTTAAAATATGGTAAGGATATAACAAAAAATCTACTAAAATTCTCCAAACAATTTGATGGCAACTATTTAAGTGTCTAGCGATCCTCCTCGTACTCGTTTCAGGATGTTCTTCGACTTCGTGCAGCACTGCTTCCTCAATTTCAGGTTCCTTTTCGGACAGAACTGGTTTCAACAGGACGACGATGAATATTAGAAAAGGTTCGACAATCTGGCAAAGCACGATCGGGATATCTCTCGTGAGAAATCCATCTGGCTTGCTCACCATTACCGTCGGCAAGGCCATATACGTAATGCATTTCCGCCTTTTCTGCATTTGAATAATTCACCATTATTAACAAGATTGTAAAAACTAAATAATGAAAAAGATGTCACAGCGAACAGATTTGAATAACAGAGAGTTATCAGACGTCAAAAGCCAGAGCAACTAGATATTTATTGCTAAATTGCATTCTTCAATTATTACATTAATTTTCTCGGACAATAGAACGGTTTTTATGTTTTTACTTAAAAATGGCGCATCAAAGGAAAGCAACTCAAGAGAGATCATTTGTTTTAAATTGAACGAGGAATTCAAAAATAATTTATTTAGCAAAAAACCATCGGCGTACTATATTTTTCTTAAAAAATATCGAAGTCAATACCCGTACGTACGCCACTGTTAAAGCTAAACATTATTTTTGCATTAAAAAATATGCAACTTTATTAACTTTAACTACTTACTAAATACCAGTGAAATATCTGAAGAGGTTCTGAAAATATTAATTAATTTCTATTATTTTCCTAAAACTTCAACACCCCGAGTTTTTGTAAGGAAACATTTTTGGATCATAGTTTATAAAGCAAACTAACATTAATTTTTCATGTAGATGCACACCCTTAAATATTCGCATATCAATAAGGAACACCCTGTATACATCGTAGGGAAAACTGGAGCTCAAAGTTACGAAGTGCAACTCTACCAGCAACAACGACGAGATGAAGCGATACTTTGAGGACGTTTTGGAAACCAACATTAAGGGTCAGAATTTAATCAAGAAGGAGAATTCCACCCTCAAACTGAGTTTATCAGGACTTATAGAGATAGGCGCAGATGAGTCGACGGACGTTGTGGCGACGTATGAAGATGGAGTTGTGACAGTCGTTGAAAATAAGACGATTCGATCAATCAAGCCCTTTTATAGAATCGGGATTACACACGTAAGTATTCGACAGTTTAACAGACGTAATTAATAATAATTTTGAAATATTGTATTCCTATCTTAATAGCTATCAGCTTTAGAGAAAAGTTCTAAGGCAACCTTTTTGTTCAGAATCTCCTAAAAAAAGCCTAAACGTACTTTGACCTGAGCGAACAAAAATATTTTTTGGAATTTGTTTAAAACCACTTTTAACGAAAATTTCATCCTGACAACATGCATATTCGTTAAGAGGGGACCTTTTTGAATAAGATTATGCAAAAGATACATCATATGCGAAGATATTGCTCGAACTAATAGGTGATGGTAACAAGAAAAATAGTTCTCATCTAGATGTACAGCATATCGAAAAATAAAAATTATGTTTTATACATTTTAATTTGATATGAAGAGATCACCACGGAGCAACGAATCAAAGCCATCGAATATAATTCAAAAAATCCGGGTTTTGTTTTTTTCTGAAGGCGCTACTGCAATAATCAACCATCTCGTTCCAAATTTTCGACACAAAGAACAGTATTGAACATGCGTAGTGCTTAAATGATAGTGAGAGCCGTGGAGAACTATCCGAATGTCGTTTCAACGAAAATAAAACACAGCGCCCGTTCCGGCGGAGTAGTCAATGGCTCTGTTATTGAGGTTTTTGAAGATCACTTTAGATGGCGGAGAAAAATTAAGCTAGTCTCGATCAAGGGCTAGGACATTAGGCCCGATTATACTAAGCAAAAAAGCGCAAGTGTCGCAAATTCAAAAAATGTCTCTCAAACTAGATAATAATCATGGGAAAGGAACAACAAAGGACAACGGAGCGGTCGTATCGGCCAGTTCTGGCTGTACAAAGTTCCACACGGTTAAGACGGGAGGCCAAAGTTAGTCCGGACTATCTGGCAAACACATCGCGCCGCGGCATCATGGAGGAGAGCTTTGAACAGCGAAGGCTGTTGATGTAGTGGTAGAAGGGAGCTAGATCGCCGACGGCCCGCCGGTGCGAAAGGGTCCCGAGACTGTTATTAGAGAAGAGTTATTTATCCATCAGTTGGACCTCCCTTCTCGGAACATCGAGTATGAATAATGTAGTCGGGTCGACAGCACCCCAAACGTGTGAGCAATACTCGAGGCTAGGTCTCATCTGGGTCTTGTATAGAGTGAGGAGGTCATGCGGAGAAAAGTACTTCTTAGCCCTAAGCAAATAGCTTTTCAGTCCTCTGTGAACTGGACTCAGACCAGCCGAAATGAACGGTTCATTATGTTCCAAGATGCCTTCTCTTTGGTCGAATTTGTGCCATAGGAGCAAATTTTGATACCCACATGTCAATAATAAAATCGGGCATAAGGTCTAAGGCCCGAGCTTATATTGGTGGATAGACAAGCAATATATGACTGGAGCTGCGTGTGTTCTCTACTATCGTGTGGTCGATACTTGAGCGACTAACGGGTGTTTTTTTCGAGGTACAGAACTTTAAGTTGGCATTACTTTTGAAGATGGTGACCGATTAGACAGCTGTCAAGTGATTTATTCTCAGTTTGGTTTGGCAATCCATCATGAATAGACTCATGCCTGAACAACGCTTGCAAATTGTGCAGTTTTATTTCGAAAATAATGGTTCTGTGCGGAATACGTATCACGCACTACGTCCATTTTATCGTCGACGAAATCGTTCGTTCATCACAGCAGTTAATTTGATTAACCATGGAACGTTTTCGCACCACGTTTACTCTAATTGTTAACGGCGCTCTCACAGTCAAGCAGAGTTTCTGAGGGGAATCGGGGGGGTGATAGGGAAAGGCTAGTAGGACGGCGTTGTGACAAGGCAAGCGCTCTACGTTAGAAAAGGATAGTAATACGCAGAGGTGTGCTGTTCGCGTGCCTGGTTGAATTTGCATATTGCACAGAGTCGGATTTGATTTGGATATACGATCTAGCGTACGACTGTTTCCCTATTTTGGCGCATAGTATACTCAGCCCTTATTACTCTTATTACCGTTATTGTATTGTTGTATTATCGTGTTGTTATTGTTGTGTTGTTATTGTTGTGCTGTTATTGTTGAGTTGAGAAAAGTAGGTACCAAAACAATTATGAATTTTAGCATTCATTTTGCCAATAAATTAGACTATACGTAGTTACTATTATAACTATATTTTATATGTTATTTTAGCTTAAAAATGACAGCAAGGTTTCGCATATGCATTCTCTAACAGAGACAGATGGCATGGATCTTCAAATTCAGGTGTGTATACCCTTTTTTTTTAGATTTGCACCAGAGGCTGATATCATTTCTGGCAATTCTGATTAAAAATGCAGTAAGTTTACTTCATGACGTCGATAATAGTATTGTAGAGCAGTTTAACTGAATCATAGCTAAATTCATTGGGGGTAAACGGATTAATTATTGCAAGAAGAGATCCTACCAAGGAAGATGTGCTGCAGCCGTAGTGAGCCACAATACACAGCGACCTGTTTGTGTGATCCAAAAGCGGCTACTCCCTAGTTTCAGTCCAACCTCTTTGATTGCTAAAGTTGAAGAAAGGAGAGCGCACAAAAATCTGAAAAGGAAGCTGAAACCAAGGAAAATTAAAATCAGAGATAGTGATACTAAAGAGAACGCATCCTATGGGGAATTCTGTGAGAAGCCTGACATGAGCAACGACGATAGAGGCTGCCAAGGTAGAATTCTTGAAAAAATTTGCAAAAACCGACTCCAAAATTTCCCAGATCGAGCAAGCCACAAAATCTCAGGATTGCAATTTGTGGCGTCTTCATCGAAGAATGAGGTTGACTGCGTCTCGGTTTGGTGAGGTTTGTAGAAGAAGAGATACAACAAGTTGCAGAGCTCTAGTAAACGCCATAATATACCCAACCGAATTCTTTAGCAATGCATGTGACTATGGAAAAAAGCATGAAAGCGTGGCAAAATCAGAAATAGAGAAATCATATTCGCAATCAGAAGTACAATCTTGCGGGTTGTTTATTGATAGGACCCATCCATTTCTGGCAGCATCGCCAGATGGTTTGATAGGCGAAAAAGGTCTGCTAGAAATTAAATGTCCATGGTCTGCTAGAGAAATAGCCCCTGAAGAGGGCATTCTGAACAAAAAAATTACGTTTTGGATAAACGATGAAATAAATAAAAAGCATAAGTGGTATTACCAAATTCAAGGGCAGCTACACGTTGCACAAAGAGAGTACTGTGTGCTTGGTGTTTGGACCCCGTATGGTTTGAAAATAGACGTCATTCGAAAGGATGACGTTTTCTGGAAAAATGAAATGGAAGAGAAATTGAAATTCTTCTACATGAACTGCTTGCTCCCAGAACTGGTCGATCCCAGAAAAAGCAGAAATATGCCAATCCGCGATCCCATCTTGAAGGCACAAGAGAACCGTTTAAACAAGAAAAAAATCAAATCCAAGCGAATAACCAAAATTTCTGTGTTATGTGCTGCGGTTATAATATGGTTCAAGATGACACACGGGTTGATGACGTCAGTTACACGAATCGCTTGAACGTGTTGGTTTTAACCGCGGTTTTGTTGCAAATTGTTTATTTTAGAAAAGCGCGTATATAATCTCTGATTGTTTTTATTATCACTTAATAATCGGTGCTTTTTCGTCTACAACTGTATATGGAAAGTTTAAATAAGAAACCTTTCATAATATTCATGAGAGAAATGTTTTTTGCAGATTTTTTTTTAATGATGGAACCATGGCTTTGTAGCTATGATAACTTTCAATTCTCTAAATTTTTCCGCATGTCAAAGAAAACATTTATTGATTCAGCAGAAATGATGAAAAAAGAAATTAGCAAAACCGTATACAGGTGGATATCATCTAGTGAGTTTATATGGCCATATTTTAATATTCTTGTGGTATATGGCTACACAGGATACTTTGTTAAGCATAGGAACTACATTTAAAGTGTCCCCAACAACCGAAATGAGTATAACTAATAAGGTGCTCCACTTTATGGTAAAACTGAAGTCAGCCTGTATCAATTTTCTCAAAAATGAAGCTGAAGTACAATAACAATATCCAATACCCGGCAGAATTCTAACTTGTCACATTTCAAATAATAACCAGAAATATAAAACTACTCTTGAGTTGGGTAAATACCACAATTTTGCGGTGATAACTATGACATATAACAGCTGATTCGTGACGTCACGGATCTTATAACCAAACTGATAACTACACTCGCTTGAACGGATCGGTAAATACCAACCCAAAATGGTAAATACCATTTCCATTTGGTTATCCGCTTGAATTTGATTAAAGAGTTCTTGAGAATTGGCTATTTTTTCTGTACTCGGGTACCAAAATGGAAGAGATTAGCATATTACATTGTACGCCGTTACTAACCCCTTCGTGTCGGCAAATGCGGTGTGCAGATCTCGCTTTAGCAGCGATGTGCGAGATGTTATGCTAATCTTTTCCATTTTGGTACTAGTACCAGATGTTCACTATTTATTGTATATTATGTATATATTGTTTATTTAAATAAAAGTCAATCGTCAGGCTCAATAGCACGTAGCATCGGCTAGCTTTATCTAGTCTGTTAGATGGCGAATATTGAAATGTCACATTGACACGTTAAGCGCCACAGTAGAATCTGAAAATCCAGTCCACTGGGCCAAACTGTTATTATTGTCAAATTAGCTTGTTTTAAGTTTCGGTTTAATATTTTGACTTGACTTTTTTCTCAAATCCTATGATTTTTCCCCTTTTTTGATTTTTTTTTCTGAGGTACTAATTGTATGTCGCGTGGCCCACAGACCAGTCGGGTCGCGTGGCACATAAGTCGCGTCGCGTTTTTTGCAAGTCAAGACTTGCATCATGTCGCGCGTTGAGCACTGTTTCGTGTCATTTATTATTGAAGCGTTGTTGGTATTGTACGTCATCTTGTCCAAATTGCTTTACTGTTTATAAATTATTGAATACCAAATTTGTGATGTCGCATTACGAAGCGGAGCAAAAAAGGCTTGAACAATTGTGTAATGAAATACTATCGGATGAAGAGAGTGGCAGTACTGAGTTATGTGGGGATGTATACTTATCTGATGCGTATTCTCCAAGTGGTAGTGAATCAGATAGTAGTTGTAGTAATTCCATTATTATCTGTATTACTGTTTATTTATACCAGTATTTTGTTTATCCCTGCATAAGACTTTGTCAATCTGTTTAGTTTATAAGAGTTCCTCCATATTTGTGTTCGTTAGAATATCGACATTTACCATAACTTACTGATTTGCTGTGAAATTACTTTGTTCATTTTTGAATGAGAATGTCTGATTATTTTATAAGATTTGCTTTTTGTTTTAGATTTGTAGAATATCCTCTTTTTGTAAAACTCTATAAACAACGTGTTTTTTAATGTTTTCATTTCCAATTCAGTATAATTTGGTCCCTCAGGCCACGGACTCTTGGTTCCCGTAAGAAAATCACATCAGCATGGCACACGTCTTACGTTACGCGGCCAAATATAACTGCCAGCAGTGAGACATATCATGTGTGTCACGAGGCCCAAAGCGCCAAATGAGGTGCGACACACGCATTATATCTCATGACGCTTATCGTGTTAAGTTTATTCTACGATACTCCATAAGGTTAAAGCTAAACAGCAAGTGACATTTTATTTGTGGTAAATGCGTTCACTATATTATTTTTAACTAAAAAGATTACCGCCTCCAATGACCCTGGAACCACCTGGAAACTTTTGGTCACAAAGTTCTGTATTTGATATGTAAATTGGGGGTTTTGTACAAAAGTATGTAACTCGCAATTTCGAAACGGCGGCAATCTTGGAATCAAATTTTTAGTGAAGTACTGTATTCTACAAGGCGACGACTCTTATTTGAGATATTAGCAAGTATGTTATCCGCCATTTTGTAACGGCCGCCATCTTGATTTGAAACTGTTTTCGTATTACTGTTTTGTACAAGTGCTTCCATTTGATATCCATATTGGAGTGATTGAACAAAAATGATTTTTTGTGGTATCACCTCTGAAGCATGGCCTATTGTATAAAAAGAAATGATCAAAATCGATTAAAAATTTCCCCTCTTTCATTGAAGTCTATTAAAAATATCACTTAATGGTCCGATGTTTATCTCGAACGACCGACGTTAAAACTGCTACTGTTTAACTTGGGACAACAAATTATCTGAATACGTCCTTTCTTAGTCCTTACACACCGCCGCGTTGCTTCGACTGGCAGCACGAGATAGTGTATAAAATTCGTGTAAAAGCCTATTTGCAGAGGTTTTCGCGCTTCAAAATTGACGCTTCATTTTTGAATATTTTTCAATGAAATTTTCACAGTGCACTAAAAACAAGACTCCACAGGGTGCTATAGAGCCACTTTTTCGTTTTTTCCTCTGGGTTATTTTTAAAAAAATCGAGAAGTCGAACAACAATTATCTGCACTTCCACCCACCATAACTCCTGAAAAAAATTTTTTTTTAGAAAAGTGGCTCTATAGCACCCTGGACAATTGTCTTCTGAACATACTGTATAAATTTTATTCAAATATATAGAAAAATGGAGCGTCAATTCCGAAGCAGCTAAACCCTTGTAAATGGCCTGAAACTCACTGCGTCGGAGCCGCCTTAACTCGCATCCCCAGAGACGCCGTACGGTGTGTACAGAATGAGTCCATCCGCCATCGAGCGCAGGAATTGGATCTGTGTCCATCCACTTTATGGAAGATTTTGGTTTGCGTGCTTGCAAAATCCAACTCGTGCAAGAATTTCGTTGTTCCCGATTTTCATAAGCGAATTTTGTTAAGCGATGAAGCGCACTTCTGGTTGAATGGCTACGTCAACAAACAAAACTGCCGCATTTGGAGTGAAGCTAATCCTCAAGTCTATGTCGAAACACCGTTACATCCAGAAAAACTGACTGTTTGTTGGGCTTTATGGGCTGGTGGAATCATTGGTCCGTACTTCTTCAAAACCGATGATGGCCAGAACGTTACAGTCAATGTTAATCGGTATAGAGCCATGATTACTAACTTTTTCATTCCTGAATTGAACAATCATGATGTCCAGGAGCTGTGGTTCCAACAAGACGGCACAACATGTCACACAGCTCGTGCTACAATCGATTTATTGAAAGACACGTTTGGTGACCGCCTAATTTCACGTTTTGGACCTGTGAATTGGCCTCCAAGATCTTGTGATTTAACACCGCTAGACTATTTCTATGTAAAGTCGTTGGTCTATGCGGATAAGCCACAAACGCTTGACCATTTGGAAGACAACATTCGCCATGTTATTGCCGATATACGGCCACAAATGTTGGAAAAAGTCATCGAAAATTGGACGTCCAGATTGGACTACATCCGAGCCAGCCGTGGCAGTCATATGCCAGAAATCATATTTAAAATGTAATGCCACAAGATTATCTTTCGAATAAAAACATTCATGTCAATCGAATAATCCATCGTTGTTTTATTGCAATTTAAAGTTCTATATCTCTTAAAAAAACACCCTTTATGCACAGTTGGCACTACAGAAGTTTCGAAGAATAAATTTCCCCTATCATGACGTCGCTTCTGATTCGTGGTCCGATTTGAATCTAGCGACTAGCAAATCTATGAACTGACGATACTTTTTAGGCACTGCCATGGTCATACAAAGCAAAAAATCCAGCCACCGGAGAAGAATATTGGACAGGCTATTGTGCCGATTTTGCTATGAAAATTGCCGAACTGATGGATTTTGACTATGAATTTGTCGAACCAAAAGTAGGAACATTTGGAAAGAAAATCGATGGCGTATGGAATGGAGTTGTTGGTGATTTAGCAACGGGAGTGAGTGAACTTGTTAACACGGAATTCGTTTATACTACTTTCCGTTTCGCATTATTCAATAATATCATCAGGCATACATAGCAACTAATTGCATGTATTTATTCAATGTATACAACATACACTGCTAATGGCAATTTTAACGAATGGCGAAATACATTCCAATACATCGATCTAAAACAAATCAAACTTGTCTGTTTCTTGATATCGGGGTATTTCGACCTTGTAAACCAGACAATAAATAAACTTAATCTGATGTGCTGAGAAGTGCTAGCAGAATGTCATAATGAAAAGAAAAAACAGAGAAACTGTCACCTGAAAGACAGATAAATCAAATATATGTCATTGTACTGAAGAAGATCATTTGTGATTGAAACGATTACTACAGTAAAGATGATTCTGTCAATACATGTGGTTCATGCAAAACTGAGTTAAATTTCCGAAATGATCTTGAAAAACTCTCGATAAGTTGCAATATGCTTATAATTTTACAAAATATCAAACATGTGAAACTGCATTCGACGCAATGTTTGGGAGTTGCTATTTTTCATACTCAGGAATAATAATATCTATATTTGTTTTCAGGAAACAGATATGGCGATTACAGCATTGATAATGACAGCAGACAAAGAGGAGTTTGTCGACTTTGTAGCTCCTTATTTTGAGCAAACAGGAATAACAATAGGTACATTATGTAGATTTCTTCGTTTTAAGAGTCTACAAAAAGTCTAACCCTTCCACGCTAAGTATTTAAAGTTCCTAAAGAGTAAATATAACATCTGAAACTTATATTCTTGAATTACTATTTTAATGTTGCCTGGAGGGCAGATAATTTAAAAAATAGTTCAAGCATATTTATGTCGGCTTTCCTTAAGTGACTCTAGAAGTAACTAAAAAACTGTATACATACGAGTAGACGCAAATTATTGGGTCATAGCTATGAAATATAAGTTACCTTACATATATATGTATTCTAATGTGTACCATCCAGCTATAACCTCTATTTTCAGTTATGAGGAAGCCTATAAGGAAAACATCGCTATTCAAATTTATGACTGTTCTGAAGCTAGAAGTCTGGTTGAGTATCGTTGCAGCCCTCATTGTAACTGGGTTTATGGTATGGTTTTTAGACAAATATTCGCCTTATAGTGCAAGAAATAATAAGGAGGCGTATCCTTATGAATGCAGGTATGAATGAGAGATGAATAAGAAACCTTGAAGCTCCTTAAACAGTCATCGTTTGTTTACGACCCACGTAAGAAAGTGTAATACCGAAAATTTTCGAAAATGAGGTTTTATCTATATTTTTTCATATGAAATGACGTCAAGAAAAGCTTTGTTTTTGACGCTCCAGAGAATCCTGATCATTTTTTAAAAATTGTTTAGCGGTGAAAATTTTGGAGGTGGAGGAGGGTTTATCTAAATTTTTTTGGGGTTTCCAGTTGCGGTAATTATACGCACCTATTAGGTATTCTTCGCTCACTATAGACTTTTCCGCACATTTATCCTTGAAACTTGGCCGTTTTGTCTAGAACTCAAGCATCCACAACGAGACATGTGGCATTTAATAAAATGCAATGAGTCTGTGTCTGAAGTAATCAAAAGTGATTATTTCAAGAAACAACTTAAACCCTTTGTACATCTTAACATACAATGATCCAGTCAATAAATTTTAATTTAAAGATGTGTCATATACCTAATGAAGTGAGGTCAGCTATCAGCTCGATGAAAAACTCTAAAAGTACAGGCATTCATGGCTTTACTGCTGGAACCATAATAGTTATTTATTATACAAGGGAAAAAAAGTACTAGATTTAGAAGTAAATCTAGTATTTTTCTCGTGTATAATACACAATTCCCCGGAATCAGCCAAAGTAGCGTCACAAATATTATTGCCAGCTAAATCGTTTATACAATATCAAGGAAAGAAGTACTCATTTTTTCCTGGGGAAAAAAGTAAGTTCATAAAAAGTGACATTTTGTTACCTGCCAACAGAAATAAAATGTCAAACTTTTTTCCCGTCACAGAAAAAAAGCAATAATTAATTTGATTATCACCCCACTTACAAAACTCTTCAATGAGTCTATTCAGAGTGGCATATTACCTGATATTTTGAAGACATCTGTAGTTGTACCAATTTTTAAGGAAGGCTCAATAAACGAAATTGCAAATTATCGCTCGATTTCCTTAATATCGCATCTCGCAAAAAAATGAAAGATCAGCTAAGTGACCACCTTGAGTCAAGCAATTTATTAGACAATATCTGTGTGGAAGAATAGACCTACAATCGCTGCTATTAACAGTTTCATAGAAACAGTAAATGAACGTTTCGAGAATCAACTGCTCTCGCTAATCTTTTGGATCTTTCTAAAGCACAGAAAAACTGGCAGTTTATAACATTGAACAAGCTACTACAGTCTTACCTGCCTAGTAGGTAACAGACAGTCAGGTATAATAACTGTATGTCTGACAAGAAAAAGGTCATTCATTGAGTTCCACAACGGTCTGCTTTGCATCCACTTCTCTTTTTATTGTATGTCTACGACATCACTAGCAGCATACCTCCATATTTAAATAATAAAATATTCTTGTATGATGATGATACAACTATTGTCACCACTAACACTTCTCCCCATGTTCTTGCTCGCCCAGATCTAACCTTGCTGATTGGTTTGCAGCGGATTTGTTAACTGTAAATGTGGACAAGACACAATCAATAACTCTCAGTTTGCGTTGCCATCAATTAGAAACTTCATCTTCAGTGAGATTCTTAAGTTATCATATTGACAATACCCTGACCTGGGGAGTTCATGCTGACTATGTTGTATGTTATACATACATCAAAAAGAACGATATTAAATAATATACTCGTATGAGCAGAACACCATTGGCTTTACAGAAAATGAAACGGCACCAACTTTTATGGAATCAATTTCTTTAATAAGTTGCCACTTGGATTGGATTGGATGATGGCATTTTCAATAAAACAATTAAAACGTTCCTCCTTAAAAAAGCCTTTTTCTCGTTGGAGGGATTCACGAATGATGACCAGTGTCATATGATATGAATGTTTGTGTGCAAACTTTATCATACTTATTTTTATTTACCTGCTTTTCTGTGTTTTTACAAATCTGTATTGTTTTGTTTTTACTTATGCAATTTTACCAGTCTTTTTCGTTCTGCTTTGTGTTTTTGACTGATGCAATATGCGACCCGATTTCATTTGATCATTCATGTATATATTTTTGAACTCGTCATATGTATATGATTGTCATTTTAGAGACCTGTACTGTTTTATTTTTCACTTATTTGTTTTGTGTAATTGTGTAGTTTGTAAATGTATTGTGTTGTTTTGCTGTATGTTTATCAACTTATTTATTGTTTTTAACACTTAATGATAACATCTTTCTGACCTGTGTAAGCACCTTAGTGAATTAACACCAATAAATTATTATTATCAGTTTCGATCAGGTGCGCCCGCAAGAATTTTTGGCAGGGGAATCCATCAGCAAAAGATAATTTTGTGTGAATGCGTACCTGCCTCCAAAACTTTCTGAAGGGCATATTTTCTCATGCAGCCAATATGCGAATTTTAATTGTATGAGCCTGTTTGACTAACTGATGACAGCGTTTCGTAGAAAGTGCGGAGTCAACCTACTTGACGCGATTTTTTAACATTACTTGACATCTAGTACATCACGAAAAAGCATGTCACTCATTTTCCTCGGTCTGTCTTTCCGCTAATCAATCAAGTGGTTGCAGAGCCGGGTAAGATATGAAAAAATATAAATCGGTCATAAACTGCCATTTTCAAAGCAAGCTGTGACGATGTTTTTTCGAAATAACTATATGACATATAATAAGAATTAAAAACTCTATTGAACTGTGGAAAACCCAATATTACGTCTATAAGAAAAAATAAAGTTGATGATTGAGGACAAGAGACAAAATCATATATTGATATTTAATTATTGTAGTGGAGAAAAAGGGACAACGGCAATGTACTTTATATTTTGAAATTCAATCTCATGAAAACAGGTAAATATAAAAACGACTTTGACAAAATTCGAGTTCTTTCGTCTATCTCCTGTAGTGCTCGGATTTGTAAAATTTTCTAAGTGCCACTCTTAGTTACCTAAATGCGCATGCTTGCTCCCCATTAACCATCTTCGTATCTCTTACCGTTTCCGAGATGGCAATGATGAGAGTCCAATTTGAAATACACTGCCTATAAATTCTACACTATTTACAACTATCTTATTTACATATGTCAATGGATATTTGTAGGGAATTCACTTTAAAAGAAAGTTTTTGGTTCGCTCTAACATCCTTCACGCCACAAGGAGGTGGAGAAGCACCTAAAGCACTGTCTGGAAGAACGCTAGTGGCAGCTTATTGGCTCTTTGTCGTACTGATGTTGGCTACATTCACAGCAAATCTAGCTGCTTTTTTAACAGTGGAAAGGATGCAGGTATGATAAACGTGATGATTAATTACACTGGCATAGCACTCACTGACCTGCTCACTGCATCCCTGGTCTTCATACTACATATTTAATGACAGGCCGTAGTTACAAGCGCCTATTCCTGTACCAAATTCAAGCAGAAAAGTTCATATATTATAAACATGTATCCTAAAAACACTAGTTTTTAAGATATAGGATGTGAATGTTAAGAAAATGTGTTTTATTAATAGCTCAAAGATCCTTATGTTTGTTTTATTGAATTTTGGCAGTGTTTTTCATTGTGATAAGACATTAAGTTGGCACCACTTAGAAGAAAATCTCGGGGGCCAGTACCACTCATAATATTGACAAAAAATGTACGCAACTGACTTTTTTCAAAAAGTACATATTTTTTGGATTGAGGAGCCAATGATACAACTTTTATGTCTCTTGATATCTCTTCGGACCTTCCTCCGTTTTCGAGAAAAAGAATAAAAATTGCATTACACGTCGAAATAATGTTAAAAAATAAAACTAGTTTAGTTCCATCGATGCACAATATTTACTTATATCATTTTTTGAATCTTAAGAATGAACAGTAATAACAATTTGACAAAATATTCACAAAAAAATGTTCGAAATGATCACCGCCCGCTTCTATGCAGGCTTTTGCTCTCTTTCTCATCACGCGGAGTAACATATATATATTTTACGAATTTCTTTCAGGCACCCGTACAATCTTTGGAACAACTAGCAAGACAGTCTAGAATTAACTATACTGTAGTAAGGGATTCGGAAACACATAAGTACTTCATAAATATGAAGAATGCCGAGGATACACTGTATAGGTAGGCTTTACAAGTCAAGATTGCTAAATAAAAATATATAGATTGGTGTAAGAACTTGTCAGCTCACAGACCAAACAAAAATTTCTAAAAACCAAATATTTTTTTGTTTCATTTCATACTGCCATCTTATTGGTGGTTTTGAATATGCCCTGGTAAGTTCGTTATATACAAGCTGCGCTTTGAGGTGAATTCTTCATTCTAAATACATTGAAAAGAATTTCGAGACAGCATTAGGTCACTTGACTCCTTTTAGTGAATGCATTTTTCCCAGATCATAGCGGCTATTTCAAATTCGACATTCACCATTAGAATTTGGTACTGCCAATGCCTGACACGATATACATTTTTGGAATCAGAATAAAAAACTATTCATCTGTGCATAACCCAATATAGTGTCCATAAGAAAAAATAAAGATTCTGTAGTTCAATAGACGAAAAGTTAAAAGTTAATTGAAATTCTGATTATTACATCTTATAGGCGACAAAAGGTGGCAAAGTTAACGTAATGTATAAATCTATAAATCCCACTACAAATAAAGTCAGGTAAAAACCGCAACGATTTTGGGAACACTTGATTTTTTCCATCTTTGAAACTATGCAAGCAACTTTGCCTCCATTTAAGCGACTTAGTATCCCTTACCGTTTCCGAGATCCCGTTGGTGAGGGTGGAATAGAGGTAAATATCATCGTATATTGCATACATCACAGGAAGTCATATATTTAATCTCATTGCAAATAAGGATAGCTTAGTATACTTGTACATTAATCTACTTCTCAAATTAACAGTTCTTGAGATATCAAAGAAGATCAGTTATTCTATTGCAATAATGCACCACACGGCTCAGTTGGCCATCGTACGGCGAAAGTGCCACATCCCCAATGCTCACTCTAATCTCAACATGGCCAACTGGGATTAAATGATCGTTAAAATATATACGGGGCAATATTGCAATAGGAAAACGAATCTTTTTTGATATCTCGGAAACTACTAAGTTGTAAAGCAGACAACCTTACATGCAACTATTCTTATTTTTGATGATTAATGAGACAATATTATGAAATAGGCGGTTTCCATTTGAAACATTTTATGTTTTGTGGTTTTTTAGAAATTCTGTTTCTCGTTTTTGTACCGCCCAGTATTATCAATTTAAAAGACGAATAAGATCTATTAATGTCCCGATCGTATAAGGAAGCCGTTACAAATCGTGTGGAAGACACAAATGCAAAACATGGTTATCATTCATCTGCTTCCATTTGTGATTCATTACACAAAATGCCTCAGAAACATTTAGGCTTAGGTGAATCGTAGCACTACACTGACATCGAATTCGGAATCTACGCACTGGATTTACCCAGAAAACAAGCTTCCATCCAGATGACAGACGCGCAACAATTTTTGAAGATTTTTTATTAGTCGTTTTTTGGTAAGTAGAGTTCTTGCCGGCCCAAAAATGTATTATCAGCTTGGTTGGGCTCATGTCCCCGATTGACCCATTTTTGTCTCTTATTAAAAATTAAAATGTTTTTAATGGGGCGCTTAATTTGAATATCATCAAAACACTAAATAAAGGGTCATAGTGCCGAATTAGGGGTGAAAAAATTGTCTAGTCACCCGGGGCCAAAAGTGAAACCTAGCACTAAATTGACAACGAATTTGGAATCTACGTATCCGGTTTACCTAGAAAACAAGCTTCTAGTCATAGCATGAGCGCGTAACAATTATTGAAATATTTTTTTACTAGTGCTTTTTGATAAATAGAATTCTGCCAGTATTTCGAAGATGGTGCATTTCCAGACTGAAAGGGCTCCGGATTTGACTTCAGCGACTTGAAGAATCTATTATAAGCATGGTTGGGCTACCGTTCCCGACATACCCATTTTTGTCCCTTTTTGTAGCACAATGATTTATGCATGTATGTTTACTAAATAAGGGGTTCGAATGACCTCCTTCTTACGTATTTTGGGTTGCTAAGCCCGAATTCGAAGTCATTTTACTACCTCTACCTCGTTTATAATGGGTGGGCCATTTAAAAGTTTCGATTTAAAAATAAAATAAAACAAAAACGGTTTGAGATATTGCCAAATTTATTTTTTTGTTTTGAAGTACAATTGTTCCGCTCAGAAATGAAATATTACTTCATTCAAATGGCTGCCGCGGCTGGCCTCACAGTAGCCCATTCGATCGGACCAATTTTCGAGCACTTTTTCGAGTGTTTGGGGCCGTATCTCGTCAATGGCATCACGAATGTTGGCCTTCAAATGGTCAATTGTCTCTGGATGGTCGACATAACACTTGTCTTTAACAGCGCCCCACAGGAAATAGTCCAATGGTGTCAAATCGCAGCTTCTTGGCGGCCAATTGACATCACCATTTCGACTGATTAAACGGCCATCGAAGGTTTCGCGCAATAAGTTGATTGTGGCATGCGATGTGTGACAAGTTGCACCATCCTGCTGAAACCAAACATTCTCCACATCAATACCATCAAGAGCAGGAACAAAAAAATCAGTTATCATGGTGCGATAGGTGTTTCCATTGACAGAAACGGTTGCGCCGTCCCCGTCTTCAAAGAAATATGGGCCAATGATGCCTCCGCTCCACAATCCACACCAAACAGTCACTCGCAAGGGATGCATTGGCTTCTCTAAGACCTCGTGTGGGTTTTCCGAGCCCCAGATACGGCAATTTTGCTTATTGACGTAGCCACCAATATGAAAATGAGCTTCGTCTGAAAAGATTATTTTTTTCGCAAAATCGACATCATTGATTAGTTGCTCGTTGGCCCATGTAGCGAAGGCAGAACGAAGTGGATGGTCACGCGGCTTCAACTCTTGAACCAATTGAACTTTGTAAGGCGTCATACCGAGATCTTTCCGCAAAATTCGTCGTAAACTGGTGCGGGAAATGTTCAATTCTTGGGAACGATGACGTGTTGACGTTGATGGATTTTCACGCACACTCGCAGCCACAGCATCGATACCTTCGGGTGTACGCACTGTACGAGCACGCTGACGTGTTGGAGCATCAACAATGAAACCAGTTTCACGCACTTTATTAATAAACTTGCGTATACCGGGCGCTGTTGGTGCTTCGTTGCGACCGAATTTTGAACGGCATTTTCGTGCAATTTCTGCCCAATTGTCTTTGTTTTGGAAATAAATTTCCAATATTACCCAACGTTGCTCAAGCGTAAATCGATTCATTTCGTTCAGCGGAGATAATATACTGAATTTTATGACAAATCAGATTGACATAAGTATTGTCAGCGTCAAATTAACACGTGGTTCAAATCGAAACCGATAGATGGCCCACCCGTTATATCTATTATTTAGTGGAAAATTGCAAATTGCGACTTTAGGGTGCTAAAAATCCATTTTCTTTATCGGTGGCGGTATTTGAACGATACTCTGTACGTGAACGTCATTTGTGGCGCTAAATTATCAAGGAAAAACCCTAAAGGCATCATGAAGCCGAATTAGAGGTGAACATTTGTTAAAAATTGGTGGCACAGAGCTACCGGTGGATACTAGCAGAAAATTGACATCAAGTTCGGAATCTAGCCCCCGATTTATCTAGAGAAGTTTCTATCCAGACGCGCAACAATTCAAAAGATTATTTATTAGTATTTTTATTAGTATTAGTAAAACCTGATCACATCTTACATATTTTGATGCTAAATAGCAAACTAGACGAGATGAATCGTTTTTAATATTCCATATCAGTTCGCGATGTAACCAAAACTTTGCAGTCGGCTATTGGACTATTACTGGTTTAAAAATGAAAACAGCGATCTATGTCAGCGTCCTTGGCTATCGAGACGGTGATGCCAATCAGCCATAAAATATTTACAAAACGCTATATTCATACTAAGCAGAACGCAGTTCAACTCTTTTCACGGTTTTTTTGTAATTACGTCAAAAAGCCATAAAAAAATAAATAAACACCAGGCTGTCTAGATAACTCACGAAGATTGGTCAAATAGGCAATTTGAGTTTAGAAAACTTAAGATGACGTGCTTCTTTTAATACTGAACTAAGTCGTGAAGTATTTCGCGTATGGGCTCAAAAGTTAAATAACGAACTCACATATTTTGAGATGAGCTTCTCTCACGGAAAGTGTAATTTATAGCTTTATTGAATGAAAAATATATTTCGTAGGTTGAAAATGAATGATAAATATTCCCACCATGGACAAAAGTACAAACAAAAGTAAAATTGAACAAAATGCGTTCAATACAAGTGATTGTCAATGAATTCATCCAAAAAGGATTATCTATCTGATAACAACCCATTTATTTCCGACGAAGTGAGAACAGTTGTGTTTAGACGCCATCCGCTGTTTTGTTGGAGTCATCTCTTATCTCTCTCTCTAATTTTATTCGCCTTGCCAAGTTGTCTTCTCTTTAACTACTTCTTGTTTCTACTGTATAGAATGTGGAAAGAGCTAACTCTGAATGCTTCTACAGACGATACAAGGTACAGAGTTTGGGACTATCCGATCCGCGAGCAATATGGTCATATCCTGTTGGCAATCAATGATTCCGACCCGGTAGTCAATGCTCAAGAGGGCTTTCGAAATGTCCAGAAGCATTTGGATGCGGATTATGCGTTTATCCATGATTCTAGCGAGATTAAATATGAGATCAGCAAAAACTGCAATCTTACTGAAGTGGGAGAGGTTTTCGCCGAGAAACCATATGCCGTGGCTGTCCAGCAGGGTAGTCATTTGCAAGATCAAATCAGTAAAACGTAAGTAAAAAAACCATGCATATTTAGCATGATATTGAATACAATTTCGAGGATTTTTATGATTATAGGTAAATACGAGTATTTTCACATTTCGGAAATGTTTTGCAATAATTGATATCCCATAAAGCACCAGCGCAGCATGTGTAAATCTATTTAACATATCGTACAGGTTACCGGAAAAACAATATTTTATACTTTTTGAGTAGTTTTAAATTCCTTCACGTAGAGTGGTGTCGTTAGCAAAGCTGTGGATCGGATTGATCATACAGAAAGGAGATCGTTGATATGTAAGAGGAACAATGCCGGAGTCAAGATCGATCTCTGGGGAACATCCGCGTTGAAATTGTCGGATAAAGAGGAGAACCCGTCAATTACGACGGATATCTCGCGGCCAGAGAGGAAGTTAGTCACCCATTTGCAAAGTTTCTCCACTAGGCCATAATATGATGGCAATTTACACGAGAGGGCAGCTTGCCAGATATGATATGATTGGATGAGTTTACTCTGCAGTCTCTGCACAGTTGCGTGATGTAAGGTAGGAGGTTCCCCGTGGATCGCTGCTGTCGGAAACCATACTGCCGGCCGCTAATCAAGCCGTGACGTGCGAGGTATTCCGATTTATGCACATTTCCATCACCTTAGTTATAGCAGAAAGCAGATCTATAGGCCTGTAGTTGTAAGGGTCGTCTTAGATCCTATTTTCGGGGTGGGTTGAACATAATTTTTTTTTGGGAAAGTGTCGGATCCGTAAGATATCTGGAAGAGGCGGGAAGTTCTTGAATGCGCCTGTTGTTCCTATATTAGAACAAATGTCTTACGACCTGCCAATCATCATCTTCCAAAGGTTTGTTTCCCCTGGATAAGCAATGAAAGATGTAATTATTATCTCTACTACTACTAACAAATACGCATTAAAGAAATAAAATTCCATTTTATCTAAGTGGCTGTCCCTTAAGGTTTTCATCATCACATCTTAATAGGCAATCGGAGTTAATAGAAAAACACTGAACGTCCACGCATGCTAACTCTGTAGCTTCATTTACCCAGAAAACGTTGTTTATTTTTCGTTTTCAGCATACTCAAACTTCAAAAAGATCGATTTTTCGAAGGTCTCCAAGAAAAATACTGGAACCACTCTGCTCAAGGAAACTGTCCAAATACCGACGATAATGAAGGCATAACTTTGGAAAGTTTGGGTAAGTTTTACAGTGCTTTCCAAAAAGGTTCCCCCTACTTTTTTTAAACGGCTCTAGTTAGCTTGCTGAAATTAGGGGTAATGAAAATGATTCATGAATAGTTTAGCGTAATAGTAGTTAAAATTTTAAAGATTGCGGCCCATCTTGAAATTTTCGACAGCTGCTTTTACGTAAGTATACGAGCCCCTTCCCACTTCAGTTCGCCCACTTCAAGATTTGTACCAAAATATGCCTTTATAAACTAAACATGACGAAACTATTTACTTCTAAAACAATTTATTTTCTCATAAACATTTTAGATACACTCTAGTCGTAAAAAATACATATTTGAAATCACTTAGACCTATAACTAATAGAACATCTGAACAAATAAACAATGTGCGAATAAATGCGCGAAGTTAACAAAGCAACAATTGAAAGATTACCATTTAGTAACATCACCTTTATTTTTTATTAAGGCTGAAATTCTTTGGGGCATAGTGTTAACCAAGTTTTGGCAAAAATTTGGTGCAAAACAATCCCATATTTCTTGAAGCTTTTGTCCCAGTTCGGTGATTGTACGAGCAGGATATTGTCGTAGAACCTTTTTCATCTCGTGCCACAAAATTTCAATAGGTGACAGATCTGGACTGCTATAAACCCATTTCAAAAGTGGTACATTATTTTCTTCCATCCATTTTATAGCCTTTTTTGAGGTATGGCACGCTGCGCCATCTTGCTGAAACACAAAGTCTTGGCCGGATGTCAAACATTCTTCCATCACTGGTAAAAGCGATTCTTCTAAAATTGCTAAATATTTGATTGTATCCACATTTCCATCAATACAATGAAGTTTTCCTACTTCTTTTGATGACATACTGCCCCAGACCATAATGGATGCTGGAAATTTCAGTGGGGGGAGGTGTCCATTGTCCAGTGGCGGCTCGTGGTATTTGAGTTTGGGGGGCGCAAAATCTAATTCAAAAAATGTTATGCCTCTGTATTAAACAATTCGGCTGCCTGTAAATGACCTCGAAAGAAAAATCTATCTTTTACTTGCATTGTTATTATGTTGCACACTTCTTTGGCAATGACCCCTCGTATACTGTCGTCAGTTCTTCTTCTTTTATTAGATTCAAACTTTGTTTCGGTATATTTTTTAATATCATCAATTTGACCTCTTATATTGTCGGTACTCTTTTCAAAAATTACTAAGTCCTTTTGTAATTGAACACTATCTTGATTTCTTGACTGCAGCTGGTTATAAAGGATGTCAACATGCGGAAATATTTTATGGAATACTGTCAACCCAAACAAGAATTCTTGATCTTCTAACGCTCTTCTCAAACTTGAAGCTTCATTTAAAGTAACACCTCTATTACATCTCTCTTCTATTTCTTCAAACACCTCTATGAGTTTCTCACGATGTTCATAGACAAAGTAAACTGTACGAATGTTATAGTTCCATCTAGTAGCAGCTACTGTGGGGATTTTCTTATTTATAATTTCTTCTAAAACATCACATCGATGGGTAGAGTTCGAAAAAAAAGCTGGTATGGCCGACAAATTATTAAAAAACACACGTACTTTTGAATTTTGTGATGCACTTTTTTGCATAATAAGGTTTAGCTGATGGACATAACAATGTATGAAATGTGCATTAGGATATTTTTCTTTAATGTCAACTTGAACCCCACCGACAGAACCACTCATGACATTCGCACCATCATATGTTTGTGCTATCAACTTTTCAGGACTTTGTAAAAGAAACGGATCAATTTCAGTTTTCTATGCAAGTTTTTAAACCTACTGATGTCTTATCTTTAACTCTCAAAAAACTCCAAAAAAGTTCTTGTATGCCGCCTTCGTGGAAATATCTGAATATTAAAACCATTTGGCACTGATTTGATATGTCGGTCGTTTCATCGCATTGAACTGACAGGAAATTTGCGTTTTTAATTTGCTGCAAAATTTCTTCTCTACAAACTTGTAGCATGCTATCTAATATGTCATTTTGAATGCTTTTAGAAGTTCCCTTGAATACCGTGGCATTTTTTAAATGATTTTTAAGGGCCTCATCTAACTCAGCGGTAAAATCAACTAATTCTCTAAATATTCCTCGATTCAAAGACTCTTCAGTCTCATTGTGACCTCTAAGTGCCAATTCAAAGGCACTGCAAAATTTGACACAGCTTATAATCCGTTTCAAAATGAGCCGATTTTTTCTCACTTTTTCGTTATGTTCAACTATACTTTGTCTATAAGCAGAACTTATTTGTGATGCTATATTTGTCTTATCAAGAACTGCAAGCGCCGTGCACGAATTAATGTGTCTTCGGGAAGCCTAATGCTTTCTAATCTTTTCAGGAAGATGATGCAGGTCTTTGATTCCCGTCCTTGACCAACTAGAGTCCATACCTGACGCGGCATTATAAAATAATAAACAGGGGAAACAGTACAATAAATTTGTCTCCTCACATCCACATATCCAATTATTTTTTTTATATGTATCTTTAGAAAAATGACAGGTAAAACTTCTTTTTTCTGCCTTCCGTTCACTCACTTGCGTTAACTTTAAATCCGGCAAAGGTCTGCCCAATTGCTTAATTTCTAATTTATTCTGAAGGGACGCGTCTGTAAAATCATTTTTTAAAATGTTACTGACACTATTCATTATCATTTGCTACTTTATTCTGCAATAAAACAAAACCCGACACTAAAAATGCAGCGCGTAATCAATATTCAATAGTAAACAACAAATGGAGCTAGCTATGCGAGACGCAGCGAGGCCGCAAAAATAATGCGCCCTAGCATAGCTATTAATACTGTACCTCGACTCTAACCGAGTCGTATCGAAAGCGCTCGAAAACACCGACGTGCGGCCGCGAGGTTCGATGCGGCCCGTATAGTCCGGGCAAATAAGGATAAAATCGACTGATTTCTTACAAAATAATTAGGGCGACGTTTAATATATAGTATGTTCAATAAAATGTTAGCTAATTAGAAAAAAAAATAAAAATGGTTTTATTCAATGCTTTTTTAACGGCATTTTATCTGGGGGGGCGCGCGGCCATGCGGCCTTATGGTAGAGCCGCCACTGCCATTGTCTATGTTCTTTAGCCCATCTAAGCCGATTTTTCTTTTGCAGTGGAGTTAATAGTGGCTTTTCCTTGGCCTATAAACAAGTTGTGCAACTTTAGGGTTTTTACTTCACTTTTTTTTATAAGAAAACTGACCTTGCAAGTGCTAAATCCCAGTTTGTTTGCCTCTCTATGAGTTGTGGACCTCGAAATTCTCCTTCCAACAGCGTCACTCCACAGAGCACTTAATTGTAAATGATTGGCACGCCTGTTTTTCACGATTATTCTTCTTAACGCTCTTCGGTCGGCATTTGTGATATTACTTTTTTTCACATATCGTGGCTTAATATTAACTGAACCAGATGCGTTATATCTTTTAACAATATTTCTCACACTGTACCGCGATAAGTGTAACAAAGTTGCAATTTCTGAGTTTGATTTCCCAGAATTAAAAAATTTAATTATCAGTAACCGAATTTTCTCACTAATAGCCTTTCCTCTACCCATTTTGAAAACGTTAACTACCCAAAACTATTTTAAACGTATTCTGACAGCTGTGATTAATAAAAACAATTGTCATGGCTTTTATTTTTCACAGCCACGTATGCGTTATATACTTATTTCGCATTGAAATGAAAATAGGTTGATATGCTGTAATTGCAACATGTGTCATTTTTATGCTGCAAATTTGATTAGGGAGTGATACAGTTGGTGTTTTCTACTATATATTATCAAAATCTTCATTGTTAGTATTTTAAACCTATAACACCCTGCTACACTTTTATTATTTGTGTTTGATAAGAGAAAAACTAAGATTTCAATAGTTGGGCCAACTGAAGTGGGAAAGAGCTCGTATAGGGTTCATGGTTAGTTAAATTGCATCATCTCGAACTTTTGCCTGCTAACTTTTGAATCGTTCAAAAAATAAGTAGGAAAGTTCTGAAAAGTGACGTATATGATAGATGAATATGCTTTATTCTCAGAAGAATACAATCATTATCAATGACAACGCTAAATAAACTAAAACAACATTAGATATGTGGATCAACAGTAAATGGATTGTAGAACTCACAGTTTACATATCAGAAAGTTTTTAAGTTCACGGCGGAATATCTTTATATTGTTGATTCTTTTCATATCATCCGTGAGGCATATATAAATTTTCAGACCATTATAACCGATCGAGTCTTTCACATGTGTTCAATAATTTAAGATCTTGTTTTCATCTAATATCGGAACTTATATTTGATGTTACAAATTTATACTTGTTTTTAAAAATAAGAGTTGCTGTTTCTAAAATAAACAATGATACCACTGCCATTATTTTAAGGTTTAAAATTAAAGGCCTGCTTGTAGCTCTCCTATTGCTTTTAGTTATCTACTAATGCGTTTTTGTAGAATAAGCACTTTTTCAAACAGTTTTGGGAGAAGACACACCAAAATCTCAAATCTCAATTTACTTTCAAATAAGGCTTTTCCGCATGTTGTAACTATTGTTCTAAAAAAGGAAGGCCTTGCATGTTGAGTAAGCAACTGGTCCAAATAACTAATAAAATTTAATTTATGAACAATGGTCAGTCTTCAAAATTTGATGTCTGTTTTGTGTATCAATTCACTATTTAAATTTATAAATGTCATAAATTTGGTCTTATTAACGTTGAAAGTTAAGTAATCGTTGTTACACCATTTTTTGATTAAATTTATGTCACTCTCAATTTCATTTATAGTAGTAGACAGATTTATTTAGCACAAATAGCTGCATAAACAATTGGAAGTAATACGTAAAACAATAATAATTAATTGAAACCATATGATTCATCACCATTTTGGTAATTCTGACAGAGTTTCTCAGTTTTGTTTTAAATTTTTTTAGGCTACATTGTCGTTTTATGTGTGACTCTAATTTGTTGAAATTCATTAGGCCTTGATGGAAACCCGATTTCATACATATACTACATTTTTTGCGTTTAAATGCAAATCATAGTTGTGCTTGGTATCATGTTTAATATACACATAGTTCTCTTCTTTCGGTGGTAGTACTTTATTGTTTAGGGGAAAATACGAATATCAGATCGTTTTCAGGTGGAGTATTCATAGCAACTCTTTTCGGCCTTGCTCTAGCAATGGTAACCCTAGTAGGAGAAGTACTATATTACAGAAGAAAGCAAAAATTGGAAGAAGCAAATCGAAAACAACAAAAAGCTTTGTACTCAACAAAAGGGAGTTTCTTTACCGACAATGTTATACCTGGTAAAATACTGGTGTCGCAGTTCCAACCTAAGAATCAGTTACCAGTCACTATAGGCACAAGTTTCAATCCTGTTAATGTCAAAAATAGTGAAATTGAGAAAGAGCGCCGAGATATGAAACTGTCTCATATTAATTTGTACCCTAGAGCTAGAAATCGGATAACACACGTTAGCAACAACTGAAAGTGAAACAGGAGTTATATTTTTATTGGTAATAATAGTAATTCTGTAGTAGTAACAAAAGGTACCTTTCAGTTTGTTTACCTTTTAATTGTGTGTTTAAGTACATAATAAAATATAGGTATGTAGAAAGTGATGTCTTCTATTTAAAAAAAATAATGCTTTATGCGAACGTCGTCTTATGTATTCGCAATCAATGACAGTAAGTTTTTGAACAAATATTGGTCGTCCTAGATCTCATGATCGGATAGATACAACAATAAGGTATCTTTGACCCCAACAAAATTGCATTGTTGTAACTGAAATAGACTGCGTTAGCGTTTAAAGGATGATTCAATTTATCACTGTTTTTACAAGCTTTTATTTAATTTGACCTGTTTGTTAGTATGTGTGGGACAAATCTTGGTACTGAATTTGAGCCAGTTAATCTTAAACAATTGAGCTGAATTTTGTACACACGTTTGGATCAGGTGACAATACAAAATTAATTAAATCCAATATGGCAGATGCTACAAAATGGCGATTCATCATTTCCATAGTAACCCCTATGATATGGGTATCAAATGAAGGGCTTGATGAGAGAAACACAACAGGCAAAGGGATGCCATGCTACGTCCAATATGGCGGACGCCTGAAGATGTCGTTTATAATTCCTACAGTCTAGGTATCAAATTAAAGGGCTTTATGAGAGAAACATAAGCAACGCGTCGTCATTCTCAATCCAATATGGCGGCAATTCCAAAATGACGATTTATAGTTTCCATAGTTACCCCTATACTATGGATATCAAATCAAGGGCTTAATGAGGTAAAAATATATGTACTTATATTTTTAGCTCATTTTATTAAAAGCTAAATATAAGATTGTTTTGAAAATATATATTTTTATCTTATTTGTCCTTAAAACGGATATTTCAAATCCAAAATTTGACAGAAATCATTTTAATCTTGTAGCAGTGTTCCAGATACGGAGGTGATCATACGTCAAACTGTGAATGTCAAAGAGAAAACGCTGTTTGAATGAGAGAGAGAGAGAGAGAGAGAGAGAATGTTACTCTTATCTTTTGTGACCGCGTAATATCGACTGCAAATGTACAGTAAATTATGAGGACAATGCGTGAATTTTGAAGATGGTTTTGCCATTACTGAACATATCTAAGTATCTGCAGATTTGTCTCAAAAATTTGATACTAGTATCTCAGTAGTAGCAACTTTTATATTCTGGTGTAAGTGATGAGAAGTCATATATTTTTAGGAATGAAAGCACTTGACCAACTTAGAATATACATCTATTAATACTTATATAGGAAATCACAAACGACAAAACCTAAGAGCAATTGTAAATTGATGTTATTTCTTTCCCAGTTTATTGGTGGCATGTCTTCTTGGTGTCCATCTCAATGCACTGCTGTCCACCACTAGCCTAGGCCGTTTGTACTGACTTGATTTTATGTGTTCGTCAACTAGCTTTGGGGTGACGCAAATCACATGTTGCCCCTTCCAATACTTTACCATATTCATGCTTTGTAGCGTGGAAATGATGTCAGTTTGAGTAATACTGGTCATTTGACTAAAAGAGAATAAAAACGTTCAGTTCACATATTCAGCACGTAAACAGATCCTGCGCAAAAATTTAATGTATATATATATATATACAGGGTGAGTTTTTAGTGCAGTCTGGGTAGATAACTCTATAATTACGCATAGTATCTAAAAAAGTTAGCCACAAAAATGGTAGCCAATTGTATGCCTCTTACTTGGAAAATATTTTTATTTCTACAGGGTGATTCATAATTACAAAGCTGCCCAAACATACATTTAGCTTTAAACCTACTTACTTACATTTTATTACAGATTCGGGTAGACCCTTCGAATCAAAACAATTTGATATGACATACTGTATGTAGGGTTCTATTTTCAAATTGTCTAGATATTGGGCAATCTATCGAAAAAACAAACACTTAAATTTGACAACTCGCATCATTGCAACTGTTATAGCTAGAGCACTGAATTTTTCGTTGGCAAAATTTTTTGATTCCATATTTCCTCCCTTTCTACTTTCTTTTCCTATTTTTTGGTTACTTTATAGAGGGAGGTTAGGAACGCAAAATGAACGGTTTATCAAAATTTTAAATCGAACACTCTGTATATTGTCACACTTTTTGATTCCCCCTTTTAGCAGGCTGTTTTCTGATATCAGGTTTATGAGAGTTTGTACCACTCGTTTTTTAGTTGCTAAAAACAGGGACACCTTGTCTTTCTGATTTTACTGCATAAGGTTAGGAAGATTTAATTTATAATGAAAATAAACAAATTTTAACCATCTGCTGTTAATAACTGAATGCTGTTTTTATTTTGAAAAGAGGAATTACAAAGCCTGTTTGAACATTTTGAGAAATTGTTCATTTCCAGTTATCGATCACTCTCTATAGTCTATAGGTAAAACTGAAACAGTAAGTGTATAGAAAGAAAATTTGGGATCATGAAATCATCTGACGACATATCTAATAGTCTAGCTGAAATAGTTGCGGATGTGCAAGTTGTCAATGTTGTGTCATTTTTTTGATAGATTGTCCAGTATATTAACAGCTTAGAAATAAAACCCTGTTACATCAAATTGTCATTTGAAAGGGTCGATCCGAATCTGCAATAAAATGTATAGGTCTTCAAATTGCTATGTATCACCCTGTAGAAATAAAATTATTTTCCAAGTAAGGAGCTTACTGTTGGCTACAATTTTTGTAATTAATTTTTTAAGATACCATGCTGTATAAATGTTGAAGTCTGTCCCATATGTCAGCATCACGATTGACCCACAAGACGGAGAAAAGTAAAAATGTGTACGCTTACTAAGTGAAACCTGAGGAAGGTTATAGGCATGGTTCTTTCCGCTAAAATATACAGCCTGTTCAAAAAGTGTAGATCAAAATATCTCGAAAAATACGTTTCCTCGAAAAAAAAAATGTAATACAAAGTTGTAAGGTTTGAAAAGATTCATCCGTTAGTGATTTTGAACGTGACCGTAACTATGACTTTCAGGGTCATTTGAAGGTCAGTACAATTTTCTTAAATGAAACCCCTATTTTTGACATCGGGAATGTAAAGAGCTGGAAATTTGAAGTTAAGGTACATCTTCTATAACCTTGCCCATGTCGAAAATTATGTTTCATAAAGAAAAATGTTTAGTCGTAAAATTGTAAGGTTTGAAAAAAACCATCTAACGGTGATATTATTTGGTTGGTTTTAGGGATGTTAGGCCATCATAAAACATTTTTACTTGACGTTTCGTCAACACGAGTGGATGGCATCTTCAGAGATGTTCACAGTTTGGAGTCCTGTGAGCCACTCGCTTTGGCGAAACGTCAAGTAAAAATGTTTTACGATGGCCTAACAACCCAAAAACCAACTAAATAATATTGGATGATGGCCGCCGAAGCCTTTCGCATTTCATCTAATGGTGACCTTTAACGTCACCTTGACTATGGCCGCCAAGCTCATTTCAAAGTCAAGACAATTTTCTTTAAATGTAAGCCCCTATTTTTAGCACTAAAAATAAAAAAAAACAAGTACGTGCACCACCTTGACTAAGACCATCAAGGTCATTTTCATTCCCTATTGCCGAATTAAAACAAACTAATAAATATTGTTAAGGCGGATTTACATACCTACGTATTATTGTACGTTTTGTCGGGCTACAAAACGTACGACAAAACCTAAGTTTTGTCCAGTGTATACATACTACGTGTTTTCTCTTCCGCTTTCTACTACAGTTACAATCTAGACTCTTGAGTTGTGTGAAGTTTGTTGTGATTTTTTTTATTATGAAGGAAACACGGCTGCTTTCTTTTAATTTTTCAACTATAAGGATACAACGACTGAGAGGAAAAGGGATGATGCGGGAACAAACAAGATGGTCAAGGGCATGGCTTCTGAAAAGAAGCCACTATTCCCACGTCTCGTTATTGAAACAAGTGAGGAGCGAACTTGATGACAGGCGCGATTATTTGCGAATGGACACTTCAGCCTATTGTCAATTTCTAGAGTTAGTAACAGAGATTTCTGATGCCCTCACTTTTTTCAACTCAATTGTATTTTTTTATAAGATCCCCCCACACGCGACTTTTTTTTATTAGGTCACTATAGTCTTTTCTTTACCACTTGCCACAAACTTGGAAAACTTGTACATTTCAATGAATTCCCCGAGAAAATCGTGGGTGCATTGCAGCAAGTCTAACATTATTAGGTTTTTTGGGGAAAAAGGAAGCAAACTGAAGTGGAGCTACTCGAGAACTGAGCCAAGATCGGAGTCCGCACGTTTCGTTTTGTCCTATCTGCTATCGCAAAATGATGTTTCTCCCATCAGTTTTTCAATCTGACCTTGGATTTCATTTCGATTCGACAAGACGTTTTGCTGTTTACATGCCAAGTTTTATTGGATAAGATTTGTCCTGTCCCACAAAACGTACAATAAGACGTAGCGTGTAAACCCGCCTTTACATACATTATCCTGAAGTAGACAAAAAAATCTAAATCATTTCAGCAAACATTGATGAACAATTTTTGGACATAATGAAATATGAAAATTCGAGCGTACCTCAAGTCTTTGATTGATAAAGTCCCTCTGAAGTCCCTAAGAATTTCCAAAAGTACCCAGCTCCAGTAGCTGCGGTAGCTGAGCTTTCCAAGGTCACTCAAAGGCTGCTCAGGACTGCCAACAGTTCCTTCTAGCCTAGATAATTCATAGCTGAAGGCAATCAGCAGTTTTCCATATCCTTGACGTTGATAAGGTGGTAAGGTTAAGATGCATGCTACATTGTTGCCGTCTGGAGATTCTTTTTCCTAAATATAAATATTTGAAAGTACTATATTTTTGGTCTATAATTAGGATCAATCAAAATGTTACGCTTTTTTATTTTATTTAATTTGCACTTTAAAAATGGATGGCATCGTAACGGGTTCCTAAGAATACAGGGCATGTTAACAGAGTCTTTGACCCAGCAGACCTCAAGGATTACAACTGTTTGGAATTACAAATTACTTATGTTACACATTTCCTATTATTAAAAATCTAAACCTACCTTTGAGAAATATCCAACAATATGAGCTCCTTGCTTATCAACTTCGCAAAGAATGTAGAACAGAAATGGCTCCACATCAAAATACAAAGTCTTGTGGTCTAAAAATAGTTTTGCCAAAAGGCACAGGTTCTGACAGTATACTTTGTGATCTTTTCCATCAACCTCATATACAGATAGGGTGCCCTTACGGTAGATTTCTTTACCAACTGGTTGTCTTTGGGTACATTCACTCTGGATTTAGGTAAAAACAAGATGAGTTTGATGAATACATTTGATTTGAGATGTGAAAAACACTTGAAAAAATACATTCAGCATAAACTGATACAATTTTAGACCTGCATGTCATGGGGGTGGCTGAGGATCTCGCGTGTGAATGCCGCAGGGTACAGGAGGAGTCCTCGGCGCATGTTCTGTGTCACTGCGAGGCTCCGAGTTACTACAGGCAGACTTTAGCAACACTTTGGATCCCTCGAATATTAAGGTGGTGGAACTCGGAGCAACACTAAACTTCGCTAGAAAGGCGGGGCTTAAGGCGCATAAGAACCCGTCATGTGTCCTATGTGTTGGCTCCTTGTCGTGGCCTGTATGCCCCTAATTTCATAAATTAACTCAAGGGTGAACTGAATATCTTCAACACGTTTATTAAAAACTTGGCTGGATAGTCGAGTGTTAGCGTGACCAGTTGCTAATCCATCGACTCGAAGACTCACGGGTTTGAATTTCCGCGTCCGAAATTAATTTCGAGCCGTGCATTTATGATTGTATTTTATGCACCAGAACAGTGTAAGACATTGTATCCCTGGTGCTGGTTACCAGATACCAGTATATGGTATGTAGAGTACTGCAGTGGTACAAAGGGTCAGAAAGAAAAGTAAAATATGTTGCCAGTTTCGAGACTTCACCTCCCTACCTCTACTAATACTTTAATTTTGAAAAATAAATTATAGACGTTCCTTAGACATACAGTTACTATGTTAGGGATAAAATAGTAAATCATAAAACAGAAAAAAAACTTATGCATTATTCTACATTCAACAGATAAATAAAACGTACCATGTGATACCTATAACTTTTCTCCAATCTCATGTATTTCAAACAGTATTCACATATCCATAACTTGCTTTGTCGACCATATTCTTCAGGATAGGGACTAAAATACCAAGTATCTATTTCAAACCTGCCAATCTGTATCTTATCTATGTATTTAACTTTTGTTATTTGTTCATGTTCCTTCTCCAAAGCTGCAGTTGTAGGATCCATTTCTGCATAGCTGGAGCAAATAGCTAATATAAATAAATCATCATCACTGGAGTAAATAGCTAGTATTAGTAAATCCCCACAGCTGTATTTCATAAATATGAAAATGTTACCCTTGTATCCAACAAATTCGGACTAGATAGAAGAGGGAAGTATATAGTCAAAATCACTAAAGATGACTATTACTTCATACCATAAAATTGTACTGAAGTAATCAATGGACGTACGTCGATGATAAAATCACGAGTCAGGAACATAATGACAACAAATTTATATTATGATTTTGCGACGCTGGTTATTTTACTGATTTTTTTCTTTTCATTTTATTTCATGGTTTTGAGTGATACCTTAATAATCATTTTACATTTCACATTAAATTCGTACTTTTATGAGAGAACATAAATATGTGTGGGTTCCATACAATACCCGTGTTCCAGACGGTTGCTGAAAATAGTGGAGGTTTCTGTGATTTGCAAAATAAATATTTTTATCAACAAGTGTTATATATTATAGTGATGGACGTTGCGCAAGGGCATATACCTCAACATTGGGCTTTTACCTGGACATGTGAGGTAATTTTGATTTATTTCATTTCACTTCATGATTGATTGAGGACTCTGTCACAATCTATGGTATGTTAAGAGAATTGTATATCTAACAAAAAATTGCTTTGCTGAGTTTATCCATAATAAGCAAGTGATTCACACCACAGCACAGAAAGTATATCTGCCTTGCTTTCTGTGAGTACACCCTGTCTGAATAGCTACCTGAATGTCCTTTCCAGAGATAAAAATGTGCGGGTTTGCCACTTTGGTAGGCAATGATAATCAAATTAGCCAAAAGTATGTACTCAGACTACAGAATTTTTGCAACAAACAAAGCTATGTAAACACATAGGCTTGGCTCCTAATCTATCACAATTTGCTGCTTGTATCAGACAACTTCAGCAATGGTTGCAAGCTCTCGATTTTTAAATGGCATTCATGTTGGTAGAACTCCACATTTTCTTAGCCAAATGAAACCACATATAGGTCTTTCCATGGTTTTTGGTGGTTACATCACAATGTCATAAGAATTTGGTAAACAAATTGAATAACTGTTCCATGCACATAGCCTAACTTCCCTGAGGGTGCACAGTGTACAAGTCAGTCCTTGGTGCAGTTGCTACTTGGTCTTACACACCTGCACACACATATGAATTAGATGATAGAAGAGCTTGGTTTTTATCCACTCTCTGAAAATTCCGCAATAAATTCAACAAAAATTATCATTACTTTATTTGCATTTTCAGGAATTGCTGTTTAACACGTTCACTGCGAACGACGCTGATCCGCGTCCGACCGATGTTTAACGAAAGGCGGCGGGCGCGGATCCGCGCTTCTGGCTGATATAAACTCACAAGACTGTGGTGTTGTCAGTTTGTACCGCACTCGCTTTCTGTTTGGTCACCTACATATTGAACATCTTTTTGGACTATTTTACGCGTAGGATCATGTCTCGTTTATTTTTACATTGCGCAATGGCGGATGATGTGGAAGCAGGTTGTTCACGTCCAAAACAAATGAAAACGTATTGTAACCGTAATAAAGGGCTTACAGAAAAATAACTGTATGATATTCTTGCCAATTCGGGGAGTGAAATCGAGAATCTAAGTGACTCAGACAATTATGTTCCCAGTTCAGATGGAAGTGAGCAGTATGATGGAAATATGTCTGAAACGAGTGATGATTTTTCCAGCCCACAGAAAAATCTTTAATAGGGATTCAAGACATGTTTCGAGATAGAAGAAGAAAATGTATATATGAAATAGTTTTAAATTACTCAACGCACATCCAATAGGCTTACGACGCGAATCCGCGCTTCGCTTGTGCAGCGCCTAAAATCGTTTAGCCTCTACCGTGCGCGCGGCAGGTCGCAGTGAACGTGTTAATATCTGAGAACAACATAATGACAGTAACAAGCATAAATGAGAAAAATTCATATGAAGATGAGAAAATGTTTATAGTGGTGAGACAAAACTAAAAACTGTATGCTTGTGAGCTTATACAAATGAATGGACATATATAGTCCTATTCCATATAAATGTTTGAAGGAGATAGATGGATGAAAGTCATTCCTGTAGTTTTACTGCGACTTGCTAAAAACCATGAAAAGCACTATAAATAGTTGATACTCTACTGAAATTTTATCCACCACAGTGGTCTTCTGAAAGTAGACACCAAATGATTTTTAAGTATCTTCAGGATGTCACAGAAGTCCTCTATCACCTGATTATGCATTATATATAAGCTTGCACAGCACATAATTTTCCCTAAGGAGGTTAGGCACTGTATATTCATCAATCTGTTTACTTCATTCATATGGTATTATAATATATATAATGTAACCATCAAAAGAACTACATATGTGCTTGGATTAGTATGTTCTACTAAGAGTTGTTTACGTTTTTTGTATGTGATTGATTTCATCATGTCTCCTTTTCTGGTTCCTGGTGATCTTCCTATCAGAGTTATCTCCAAGTAAATCTGTTATTACTGGTCTGTCTTTCCAAACTTTCATGTCTACCGCCCCCTTTTGGCCGCTTTCAGTCATGTTAAAACGTGAAGACATGATTCTGCCTCTTGGAACCTAGAAATCATTCTTTATGTACCTACCTACAATGGTTAAATGTACGGTTTTATCACATACCCATTCGTCCAGTCGTCTGTTATATCCTTCATAATGAACGTAATACTCGTATTGGCGCTCTAGATCGTTGTATCTTGACTGTATAATCTCGGCAGGGTCTGAAAAATGAAAAACGTAAATAAAAACAAATAATGTTAGGTTAGGAAGATAATTAATATCCCTTACGCCATGAATCGTCAGATCTTCGCACTAAGTAGTGTTCCCCAATATCCAATGGTTGTTCTTCGGCACTTTCGCTGTCTTCATCTTGGTTTAAAGTGGGTTTATTTTCGCTTTCCGATTTTTTCCTCATACTTTCAACACAAGCGCTCTCACTTCTCTCAAATTCCGCCATCTTCTTTTAGGAACGTTACGTCACTGGTACTTGACTTTGACAGATAAAGCGATAAGTTTGATTCAATATGTTTTTGTGGATTCACCTAGGAAAAAGGGCGGTGCTAGTCGGAAAGGTTGAATGGACAGGATAAAAGCACGTAAGCATGTAAGTACATAAGAATACTTACAGGAACGTTAGATTAGTGCACGTTTCTGTAAATTTCTTTTTATAATAATGTATTACAGGGTGGCGAACATAAGGATCAGGCTAGGTTAAAGTCAGTAATCACACATCAAGCATTTGTTTGCAACGTCTACTTAAACTCTGGGCGCTGAAGAAAGACATTAAACGTAAACAGTGATCAGCACGTGAACAGATCCCTCGAAAGCATCGACGGATATACTCCAGTCACTTTAGGTCTAAACATCCTCGGCAGTGTATTTCTAGTGAATCCACAGACCCTTTTTCGTGTCATCTTGAGACTAGAAAAAGGATGACTGTTAAAATAAGTTACCTTGATCTTTCATGAGCTCCCAGTACAAAACATCATCGATATATTTTTGATGTAGGAACAACAAATTGGTTTAGAAAACATCCACTTTGAACCTAAATTGACTGGAGTAACATCGATCTACAGACAAATTCAAGGTCACTAGCAGTCGTCGGCGCTCTACGAATCTGCACAGGTTTGGACTTGTAAACGTGATTCTAGATGACACGACAGGCATCTAACAGTTAATTCACGCACAGGATTGCATTGCATACGCATTATGCATTCAGTAGCGTATACTCGTTTTTCGCGAGTGGAACGTTTTGTTTATATATTGCCTAAGATACGATGTCTGACACAGATACAGCCGACGAAGTGGTAGACATCAGCGCAACCCCACCCAAAAAAAGGGCTAAGAAGCTACATTTAAGTGCAAATGAAAAACAAATAATTTTAAATATATACAAAAACCAAATTCAAGAAAAACCCGATTTGGTCGTGGACGAAGTTATATGTAAGGTAGCACATATTTCTGGAGTATGTCGGTCCAGTGTTTATAGGATCATTAAGGAATATAGGAGCACTCACTCACTTTCTGAGCCAAAACCGTATCCTGCAAGAAAAAGGATAACGGACGGAGTAGATGACTTTGACAGAACTGCCATCAGGAGGAAAGTGCATAATTTTTTCTTCCGAAATGAGATACCTACAGTAGATAGGATATTAAGATTAGTTAATGCTGATGAGGATCTTCCATCATTTAAAAGAACCACATTCCGAAAACTTTTGAAGGAACTTAATTTTCGATTCTTGAAACGGGGAAGAAACAGTATGTTAATAGAGAAAGAAGAAATTGTTGTGTGGAGAAGGGAATACCTTAGGAAGATTCGGAAGTTTCGCGATGAAAAAAGAAAAATTTACTATTTGGACGAAACGTGGGTGAATGCTGGACATACTCAAGCGAAAGTTTGGGTCGACAAATCAGTAACATCATCAAGGCAGGCTTTTCTAGACGGTCTTTTGGCTGGATTGAAAAATCCTGCAGGTAAGCTCCTTCATCTATCCGGCAATTTAATTTTGATAAATTCGGCCAAATAATATGCTGTGATAGCAGATAATGTGTGATATTCTCCAAAAATGGTGCATTCGCAGTGTAGTCATTAGGAAAAAAACTTCGACCCTCTTTTAAGCGTTATTTTGAAATTTATTATCATTTTTGGGTGCAGTCAATTTGCTTTGAATGGGTTTTGAGAAGTTGCAAACTTCAATTTTCTACGTTTTTCAGTTTTTGATCAGCATTCCGTGACTCTTAAATTCAGCTAAATGAACTCAATTGCCTCATTCCTTCAAATTTAATCAATCCATAGTGTAAGGAATAATTTATTTCCAGGAAAAGGCAAACGGCTGATCATTTGTCACGTAGGTAGTGAAGACGGCTTTGTTCCCGAAGCACTGTGGGCCTTTGAATCAAAAAAGACAGGGGACTATCATGAGGAGATGGACGGCAATTCCTTTGAAAATTGGTTCTCCAAAATGTTACTAAAGCTGGAGAATAACGCTGTTATTGTACTGGATAATGCCCCGTACCATTCTAGAAAAATAGAAAAAATTCCCACAATGGCAACTAAAAAAGCAAACATACAACAATGGCTGGCCTCAAAACAGATCGATTTTGATGAAACAATGGTCAAGGGTGAATTGATAAGTATAGTCAATAGACATAAATACAAATACGATTTTAAAATGATCGACGAAATGGCCAAAAAACAAAGTAAAACTGTCTTGAGACTGCCACCCTACCATTGTGAGCTGAACCCTATTGAGCTGATTTGTGCCAACATAAAGCAATACGTGGCGTCGAATAATAATACTTATAAATTTTCTGATGTTAAAAATCTCTTTCACATCGCAGTCAATAGAGTTACGGCAGAGGAATGGAAAAACTGTATCCGCCACGTTCGGGAGAAGGTTGAGGTCAAAATGTGGGATTTGGACAATGTCATCGATACCCAAATTGAACCTCTAATAATTCATTTAAACGATTCAGAAGATTCAAGTTCCTCTTCTGAATGAGTGCGCGCAGCTTGCTTAGTAATAACTAAAAAGTGTAGTTAACTCATTTGTGAATCTCTAACTGAAATTTACTGTAAAAGATAATAATTATCTTGTATGAAATTTTTGATGACTACCCATAATATCTTGATGCGGTCCTGTAATGTCTCCTGCGCCTAAACACTCACTCACGAGCAATATGCGTGTATTTGTTTGGGTTTAGTTTCTTTCTTCAGCGCCTAGAGTATAAATACATTGAAAAAGTAGACACCTTTGTTTATAACTAAAAAACAAATGTAACGTGATACATCGTTGAAGTCATAGAAAAAGCTGCTATTAGATACAGTGTAGCGCTTCTATAAAAACACCAGCATGTGTTGCGACTTGATGTTTACGTTGACCGGTAGCAGACGCGCGGAGTGGGAGATGGGAAAGAGCGTGGTTGTACTACCCGGCCGTACCGTATCGCCGCAGCGAGGTATAGCACTCACACGCTTCTGTCTCTCGGCAACCGTTGACCGTTGGTGCAGCGGAATGTCTAGGCGTTCACAGCTCTGTGCAGAGCTCTATTCGGTTTAGCTACTTTTGTTCAGTAGTGATGTTCACTATAGGGATCTCGATTGTCTCTCAGTATTGCTTTGGTGCTTTAGTGTTGTAACGTGGGTGTCAAGTGTCTCCAAAGTGGAAATTAGGTCTACCTCCAACTCTTCTGAGGGAAACAGGATATCTGCGCAACAACCGAGGTGAGCCTTGCATACCCATCTAGTTGTGTGTTAGGGTTGTCATGCTATGTTTTTTTTTTAAATAAATTGCGCACAACGCATACACTGAGAGATTAGTCATATACTGAGGTATATCTCAATCGCCAAATCAATATTAGTCAAAAAATCACTTTCAAAGTGACTCATTTTCACTACAGAAGCTGACTAGCACTGTTTAAAAACAATATTACAAAATTTAGCCTAACCGCCTTTTTTTGCTGTCCTGGGAGGCCATAATTACTTGTTATCAAATGTATTGTAATTTTTGGTGACAACAGCCGACAAGTTTTGCCACGGGTAAACTGGAAAAAAATGATGTCATACAATTTTTCCATCTAGAAACCATTTGTAATTCAAAATTCCGCGTTTGTGATTAGTATAAATTAAGACGAGGGAAATAGTCGCTCGTTATGAAAACAGCAGGATAAGTTTCAGATGCTACATTAACACAAAAACTGGTGCCACGGCTTGACTTGTGTTTGAATGTTTATGGTGGCTATATTGAAAAATAAAAAAATGTTCATATTATAGTTTGTGATACAATTAATGATCATGTAATTTTAGATCAAATACTTAACCCATTTATGCCTAATGTATTATGAATAGTACAGCCTAAACTTGTTTGTTCCTGTAGATATCTGTACGATTTGGTTAAATTGAATAGCTCGCGGTGACAGTTTGCGGGTGGATCTCGTACAGTACGGAGTAATTTTGCGTATTGTGCAATATTTTGTATGTGAAATCAGTTTTTGTATATTGGAAAATAGAAGGTGAATGAATATGGCGAGCGATTTGCAAAGTAAGTAGGTTTTTTATGACATAAAATAAAAAAAACTACTTTTTTTTTTTTATGAAAATATTATTTCCTTAGTTGCGGTTAGTTCTAGATTTTATGATGTGTTTCATTTATGCTTTGTTTGTGAGGTTATGATAAAGTTAGTTGTACTATATTTAGTACATCAGGAAAAAAGGGGTCTACGAATATGTTCATAGTCAAAACAAAAATAAAATGGTTTTAGGGAAATTATTTTTGAATAAGTAATTATTTTGCGAAGGAACATTTGTTTCAGAGGTTTTTCTTTGCATGAGGCGCTAGCAATGATAGAAGATAATGATATTGAAGCTGAGTCTATCACTTTGTTACCTCCCACTAATGCATGCGGTAACATAACCGACGAGGATTCTGGAGATGAGAATCAAAACGAGAATATGTGGATTTCAGAAGATGAAATACCATTCAGTGAAATCAGGCGTAATAATCGGAAGGAAGTGAAAAAGAAGAAAATATATAATTACGTAAAAGAAGATTTGCCAAGAAATGAGTATGCCTTTCCAATAAACAACGAAAATTAAAACGAACAAGAGCAGTCCCCAACCGAGATATTTTTTAGTTTTCTTGATGACGAAATTTTCAACACAGTAGTTGAGGAGACAAATCGGTATGCTCAACAGAAAAATAGGAATATTATAGTTACCAAATCTGAAATCAAATGTTTTCTAGGCATATTATTGTTGAGTGGCTACAGTAGTGTATCTCGCAGAAGTATGTATTGGGAAAAATCCAGTGATTCACAGAACTTGTTTCTGAAGCTATTTCTCGCGATAAATTTGAATTTATAATGTCTCGCATTCACTTTCTAAACAATGAAGCTCTGGATGCAAATGATAAAATTGCTAAACTAAGGCCTCGTCCTAACTGGCAGCAACCGTGCGAAGAGATTCGTACGAATAGTATTCGTACGAATTATCTTAGCATTCAATCAAGGAGGCTGGAACGGATGTGTCCTAATTAGGGGATTTCACCGTCCGGCGTCATCGCACGGATCGTCCGCACGAACGAGCTCGGTTTGATTCGGCATCGCATCGTGTTACTCGTACGGCCAGTCAAGTTCCAACCTGCGTTTTTCAAGTGTGGTGTCCTCATCAGAAATTTCGAATAAGCGACGAGTTGTGATCGTACGGGAGAAATCAAACAAGTTTGTTTTTCGTCATCCGAAGTTGGCTTAAATATTATGTCGTTCGAAGAGAATTTAATATTGGAGGTCCAGGCAAGACCACTATTGTGGAATAAACAAAATGAACACTATAAAAATCGGAATAAGGCTCACGAGGAGTGGGAGAAGATAACAAGATCGTTGGGAAAACCCAGTAAGTACATGATTTTTATTTCAATTTCTTTAGAATTTATGCACAGGTTTGAACTTATAGATTATTAAACTAAATCAGATACTAAGTTATTAGGTCGATTGTTGTCGCGAGATGGAGTCAAATTATAGTGGGTACTGTTAGAAGTAACATTACTTTCTGCATTGAGTTGTGGCGCGAGACCTTCCTTATCTATTATAACATTATGCAAAACACAAATAGCTTTATCAATTGCGGTAGCATTGTTGACGGACGTCTCTATCGGCTTATTCAAAATTCGAAACTTGACGGCAGCTATTCCAAAAGAGCATTCTACTGTTGCTCTAGAAGCAGATAATTTTTTATTGAATAAAGCTTTAACCTCGTCTCCATGTGATGTTCTTCGTGGAAATGGCCTCATGATAAAAGTGGTTAGCGGGAACGCTTCATCCGCCAAAAACACGTTCGAATTTCTAATTCGTTCTTCTGAAGGTAACTTATATGTACCGTCTACGAATTTTTTGAAAAATATGGAGTTACTCAACACACCTCCGTCGCTGTCTTTTCCGTATGCCCCCACGTCGACGATTCGGAATTTATAATCTGAATCAGACACAGCCAGGAGCACAATTGAAAAAAACCTTTATAGTTGTAAAACATGGTTCCTGATTTCCGTGGCTTTTTCACACGGATATGCTTTCCGTCGATGCTCCCACAGCAATGCGGAAATTTCCCCTTTTCACTGTATGAGGCAGCAATAGCTTTGAAATCTTCTGTACTGGGAAACTTCATGTGCTTGTTGTGTAACTTCTTCCAAATGGCTTTACAAACTTCGATCACGATGTTTGCAACCGCTGTTCTTGAAATCCTGTATGTGAACGAAATTTTTCGAAAAGAAATTCCAGTCACCAGAAACCTGGAAGAAAGAACACGAAACAGATATATAAATGACTCTATGCTTTATTCACTTTATATAAAATTAATTATTATTAGCATTGTGGCTGATTATAGGTTTTTTTACAGGAGAAGTGGTGAAGACCAAATGGAGAAATTTGAGGGATACTTTCCAAAAGGAACTGAAAAAAATTACTGTTCACTGTTCGGGTGATCCAGGTATTTCAACGATTTATGGTTCCTAAAAGACGTCATGAAACCTCGTGAAACTGAAGGCAACTGCCCTGAAGAGTCTCAAGAAAGTGAGGCGAACTCTGCAGAACAAGATATTCTACCAGAGGGATGAGAAACGCACAAACGCCCTCCTCGCAAGAGCATGGTACCCCATTTTGCGAGTCAGCACCACAGTTTACAAAGACAAACGGTTACATAACGCAGCCTACGGATACAGTAGAAATTCGCCAACTATTTGAACAATCCAGTGGCACATCTTCATCCCAGACTTTACTGGCATCACCACCATCACAGTCAAGAGTTACAAATGTTGATACTATTCTCCGACGTAATGAAAAACAACCAAATAAGAAAAGGAAACAATCGCCATCGGCGGCCGCCATTACGGGCTTCCAGAGGCAAATGTTGGAGGTCGAAGAAAAGAAAATCGCAGCTTTCAAAGAGAGAAGTAGAATGGTTGATGACGAGGATATGCTATTTGCTAAGTCCTTGGTTCCTTATCCGAAAATTCTTCACCCTATTCAAAAGCTGAGATTGAAAAGTAAAATTCAAAACCTAATTGCTGATGAAATGGCAGCATCGCCTGTTTCTGATCATAACATCGTTCTTTCCTCACACCGCTTTTCAGAATTCCAAGTTTCATCCGGCTGTATTCAGCCTCGGGATAACCTCGACAATATCTCACGCGATGCCTCAATACCCATTAAAAATGCCTCTATCGCTATAGTCGATGATCAAACATTGTATTCTATTTAAGATTTCCAGCTACGTGTTTTTTGTTAACTTTTGTATTTTTTTAATAAACTTTACTACTTTCACTATATTTACTATTTACTGTAATACATTGATAAGAACTTACTGTATGGTTAACATCAGTCTTTCTTCCACGCTTATCGGTTGTTTAAAGTTGGTGACCTGGTGGGTGCATTCATCGCGTATTTCATTGCAGGTGTAATCGAACGTTGATTTGGATATTGCAGCATACTCGAAAAACAGTTCTTCGTCATCACACAGTTGGGGATAAAGATGATGAAATTCTCCATGCATGCAACGATCTTTCCATATAACCTTAGCAGATTGCCGTTTTCTGGGTGGGTTGGGAAACATCAATGATTGGAAATAAACATTCCGGGAAAACAAAAACGTGGCTTCATCTTCGCTGTCCATCTCGCAAATGAATGTAGAAGTTTTGTCGTACGAATGTCTAGTCCTCTCCTTGATACGTTCTTTTCGCAGGTAAATAAGGACACCCAAAATGCTCGCGCGAAAGTCGGTTTCTTCGCGCGAATATTTCGTACGAATCTCTTCGCACGGATGCTGCCAGTTAGGACGAGGCATAAGGCGTCTTTTCAATCACCTAAATAAAAAATTTTTGGAATACGCAGTACCAGAAGAGCATCATAATAAAGATGAGGCAATGGTTCCATACAACGAGCAACATGGTTGTAAACAGTATATCCACGGGAAACCAATACGTTATGGGTTCAAATTTTGGGTTGGCGCTATTACTCTTGGTTACATCTTACGGTTTGAACCTTATCAGGGTGCTTTGACGTATGTGAACGCGGCTTACAAATCTTTAGGTGTTGGCGCATCAGTTGTATTGAGCTATGCTGAGAGGCTAAAAAGCAAATGGGCAAATCTTAGGTTTCATTTTGTATTTGATATTTTTTTTTGTGTGGTAGAGGAACAATTCGTGAAAATCGTATACCCATGTCTTCTTTGAAAAATTCAAACAATTCAACTTATGAAAAAGGAACAACGTGGAGTGTTTGATTATACCAAAGTAAATGATAAAAACTTAATTTTTGTAAAATGGAATGACAACACTATTGTAACTTTTGGGTCTGCAGCGATTGGAATTGAACCAGTAAATTCAGTAAAGCGGTATTCTCAAAAAGAAAAAAGTTTATGTATGTAGATCAGCCCCAAGTTGTCAAGCAGTATAATAAATGTATGGACAGGGTGGATAGGTCAGACCAGAATATAGCTCAATACAGAGTACAAATCCGAGGCAAAAAATGGTATTTCTCGTTGATCTCTCAATGTGTGGACAAACGCATGGCATATTTATAAAAAGAGAGGAAATGACGTGGATCAATTACAATTTAGAAGAAGTGTAGCTACAACTATCTTGACACAAAATAAGAAGACTTATACGTACTAGCAAGGTAAATCAAGAAATTTTGGTGACATAAGGTATGACCGCTTAGATCATTTAGTCATTCCATAAGGCAAACAAACAAGGTGTGCACACTGTCATGAGCGCACGACTACTACATGTAGAAAATGTGATGTCGGCCTTCACGTGAAATGTTTTGTTCAATATCATACTCTTTAAAATTTGCAATATTGATGTGTTTCAAAATATTTGTACTATTTTCAATATTTTTTTTATTATTATTCTTATAGCTACCTTTATTCCTAATGTACTATGTATAGAACATCCTAAAAAACTAACTGTTTATGTATTTTTTTTAGAATAAATTGAAAATACTTCCAAAGTGTCGTCGTTTAAAAAGCTTTTTAAAAAATAATAAAAAAAACTTTTTTGCAACTCTTTAGGCATAAATGGGTTAATAAATATATTTATATAATGCTGTTTCTTCTTGTTCCAGGGACTAGGGCAGTTTGCTGAAATGTAACTGCATTCCGGGGTTTCTTGTTGGTGTAGGGTTCACAGCCGAATACGAGCGAGATTCTTCATACTGCCCTCGCCTCATTTATATTTTTTTTGAAATAATTTATTTAAACACAATAATACAAAATGTATAACCAGTTTTAACAATAATTCCCCAATCAGTACTTGCAAACACTGGCCCCGAGAATAACAAAACAATAATCAATAACTATGAACTATAGGTACACTGCAATGTTGTTCATAATTTCAACAAATAAATTCATTAACATTTTTAAAATCTTTCAATTCTCTAACAAAACTTCTATAGTTATTTGAATCTTTTATACAATGGGGTAAACTATTAATTTTTTTAATTGCGTCTGTGATTGGTCTTCTTAGACCTATATTAGTTCTTGTGGAAATTTGATAAATATTATTTAGTGATCTTGTTAGGTGATCATGCACGTTATGGTAGAACCTAATATTTATGTTACTTTTTTGTAGATTATTTCTAATTTTATAAACAAGTTTACATTGTTCCACCTTCAATAACACTCTTAATTTGTTTAAATTTAAATTTGAATAAAGAGTATTAGAACTTGTAAGTTAATCAAAATTAAACAATATTTTCAGAATTTTATTTTGCAAAACTTGAGTTTTATTAAAATTACCTTCACCGCACATACCCTATACTGGCAAGAGGTACCCAAAATGTGTGAGAAAGAAGGCATTATGAATTTGAAATTTGCTTTTGTTGGACAAATAATCTCTACTCTTATGTAAGGCAGATAGCATTGAAACTATTTTATCAGAAATTCCATTTAAGTGTAGTGACCAACTTAAATTTTCATCTATTAGTAATCTCAAATATTTAATAATTGTCACTTTTTTTAGCGCTATATTATTTATGTTAAAATTTAGATTATTGCTATCTTATTTTTTTTGTTTAAATATAATGTATTTTGTTTTTTCAGTGTTAATTCTTAATCTATTTGAAAACAGCCATTTAAGATAACTATTTAGGTCATCATTAATAAGATTCGTTAAAGCAATTTCGTCTGTTCCAGTATATACGAGTACCAGTATAGTGTCACCTGCAACGGTAAAATATCTTCCCCTTAGATTGGCCAACTTGAGATTCAGTACATAAAGACTGTTTAACATAGGTCCAAGAACTGACCCCTGTGGTACTCCGTAGGTGCTAGATAACCATTCACTATCAATGTCTCTAAGCTTTATGTACTGTTTTCTGTCATATAAATAAGACTTAGTCAAGCTGTACGAAACACGTCGAAATCCCGTTTTAAACAATTTATCCAAAATAATGTCTATGCTTACTACGTCAAAAGCTTGTTTTAGGTCAATGAAAACAGCTACAACTATTTGTTGTTTATCTAGAGCCACTGAAATGTAGTCCACAAAATCAACATCCGCACCAAGTGTGCTACTGTTTGTTATAAAATCATATTGAAATTCATCAATCAATATATTGCGAGTATCATGAAAGATAACATTTTTTTTTATTATTTCTCTATAATCTTAAGGAATACACATACCACTGAAATAGGTCTGTAATTGTCCATACATTTTTTATCTCCTGACTTAAAAAGTGGGGTTATTTTAGTTATTTTCAATTCTGATGGAAATATTGTTTTTTGTATAGTTTCATTGATTAATCGTACTAAAACAGGTATTACGTATTCTCCAAGATTATTGATATCCTTAACCGTGATACCATCATATCCAGGTGCTGAGTTTATTTTTATTTCTTTCACAATTTCCAACAACTCTTTTTTATTAGTCAATGTTATCGAAATAGAATATTCGTTGAGAACCTCACCAACAGAAACAAACTCATTCAATTGCCGAATCTCCGCTTCCAAATTTTCAACAATTGATCCACCGACACGAGAAAAATATTTATTTAATTTGTTTGCAATATCAAGTTGAGTGTTATGTTATTTTCAGTTATTAGTTTATCAATTGTTACTTTATACTTCTTATTTTTTATTAGGCTGTTAATAAAAGCCCATTGTTTCTTTAAATTATTTCCAGATAAGCTCCATTTAGTTTGAAAATAACGGTTTTTCAATGCACGTATTTTATTGTTTATTTTATTTTTGATGTTTTTAAAATCAGAGATGATAGTTAAGTTTTCTGGTTGGTTTATCTTTCTTTTGTATAATTTATCTCTTTTTTCATAAGCTCAAGGACTTCATTATTTATCCAGGTGTTATTTGTACGTATTCTTAATTTTTTTATATCTACCGATTTACTTTTACAGCCTTTAATTAAATTGATTAATTCTTGAAAAGTTATTACATTTATGCTTAAAATTTTTTGTCTAAATAAGTTTAAACATTTTTTATAATCTACAGATTTTACCTCATAATCAACTTTTTGTTTATAAAATTGCACAGAAGTTTTAATATCAAGCAATATAAGATTGTGATCCGAAATTGCATTTTCTTTAACACTAACTCTACAACTGAAATTACTACTATAATCGCTAAGAACATGGTCTATAAGAGATTTTGACGAACTGCTAATTCTAGTAGCGCACTACTCATTTATCGTATTATTAATTTTAAAATTGTTTAATGCTATTAAATCTTTGTACACCTTGGCTACTTGTGAGACATCTAGCAAATTAATATTCATATCCCCAACAATTAAATGATTTTTAGGCTGAGTACGCATAATATATTATATAGAACACTAATTTTTAAGTTTTGTTCTCCTAAGCTAATACATATCCAGTTTATTAACTCACATCTGTTTGATTTCTCAATTTCACGAAATTTAATAGATTTCCTCACATAGATAGACACACCACCTCCTCTGCCAGTCCTGCAGGAATGAACAGCATTATAGCCATCCAACTCAAACAAGAATCTTTCAATTTCTTCCAACCATGTTTCAGCCGCCAACAGTATATCCCAATCTTCACTCACAATCAAACACTGCACCAGATCCAGTTTATTTCTTATACTTTGCAAGTTCATGTAAGCAAGTTTTAGTTGTTCACGAGGCCTTACTAGTTTTCCAACTGACTTTTATTACTAATAAGAATAACTTTTGAGTTTTCGTCCTTCCTTAAAAGAATATTACCATCTCCAATCCAAAGGTACTTAAAATTTCGCTTTTTCTTAAAAGCTTTGGCTGCCATGTATAAATCTAAAATTTTCTTTTGCGAGTTCATGGTTGAGAAATATTTTATTATCTGTCGTATATCCCAAATCCGAACTTTTCAGGCCAAACTTCTTTCTTGATTTTAAAATCTTCAAAGAAGACTTCAACAGGGTTGTTTTTATTCTTATCCCTACTCAATCGAAATGCCGTAAACTTGTTTACATTCGGGACATCAAGGTAATTACCAATATAGTTGAGGATCTCTAGGAAAAGGCGTCGGCTTAGTAGAAAAGTTCGCAAAAATAACAAGATGGTTGCAAACTTTGAAACGAGCTAGGGAATTTTGTTTGGGCACCTTGCGATGTGGGGGCATATCGAGGGGGATGAACAACTCTTCATCATATCCCGGCTCGGAGCATTCGGGAGCACACTTATCATGCTCTTGGGGTTTTCCTCGTCAAAGTGCGAACGCAGTCACTAAAAACCGTATTACTCTGATAAATAGTAGAGAAAATGAAAATCGTTATTCTTCTAATAATTATCATGTAATTTTAGATCAAATAGTTAATAAATATATTTATATAATAAAACATTGTTTTTTCCAATCGATGCAAGAAGTCTCGTATTCAAAAAGTATTTTATCCTATAAAACTGTGCGTATATAAAAGTGTTCAGAGACATTAACGCTCCGCCGCATAGACGCCAGATCCGCTTTCCAGTACTACATTTGTATTACTCGGAGCTACCCACCACCTGTCAATACCGTTCCAGTGCTCTAGAGTGTCATGCACCTGAGCTACTCATTTTCGAAATCCCCTGCCTCCTCATGCCCCAGATTTTTATTCGGTGTTATACGCTCCGAAATAGTCGGGTTAACAAAAATAAGAATGTGTCAAGATTGTTAGGTTATGTTTTTCCATTGTTATTTTTTTGCATTAAACTCACATTGAACTGATACCAGGCAATGGAGGATGGTAAAAAACTGATAACGTTATGACTCAGAGTCACAACGTATATTTGAGATGTTCCTGAATAATAAAGATCACAAGAGAGTGCAAGAATGTAGGTTCATAGCGGCTTGTAGTTGCCTTCATCTATTACTAGACACTTGGAAAATAATTTTGAATGTTAAAATATGAATTCGACACATTTATCCAGAAGCTTTAAAATAAAAATGCAGGCCTATGACGTGTTGCGTCATCATTCTAAAAGCATCATCAGGCATCAATTGGATAGTCTGACAATGCTTTTGAAAATAAAGGCAAAATGTGTTTACATTTTCATTGTTTGGCAGTGTGATACAAATTTTTAACGTCAAAGCAAAACATCAACAAACGTCGTGTACCCGTGCGCATTTGCTAGAGCAGTTCGGGAGCGTCACACTCCGGATGCATACAACTCTCAATTCAAAAGCACTGGAAAGCATCTCTTACATGATGGTAGATTAGCATTTTAACACCAAGTTTGGCCTGAGTAAAGATAACATGGCCACGCAAGACAACTATTGAAATATACTCTACCAGGCTCTAGAAGACTATCCGTAGCGAAATTTTTCTCGAAATCGTTGCAGAACACTAAAAAAATGCAAATGAAGATTGTGACAGATAACTTAAAAAAATATATAAATATTTTTAAAATAACTCGATCAACAGGTCCATTGAGTTTAGCTACAAAAACATATTTTTTCTCTTTATAGGTTTTGGTAACTGGTCTGTCAAACTAGATTATTTACGTTCGTCCCTGTAAATCCAGTAAATATTCAATTTACTTGACAACCGTGCGAGAAGCTCTGCTTTTTTCTAACCGCCTTAAAGGTCGATTTATAAACTCTGACGTATTGTTTTCTTTTATACATATTTAATGATCAAACACACAATCTCCTGATAATTCATATTATTTTTTAAATAAACTAAATAAAATATAGCAAACAATCTCGCAGTAAACCACGTCGAGCAAAACAAAATACAGGTCGCGCGAAACAGCGCGAAAAACGCGGAAAAAATATCTGATACTCGTATCTTTCAACAAACTCGTGATTTTTATGCTCCCTTTCATTGGCGGAATCGGGAACAGAAACGGCAGAATGTTAAAACTTAGGGCCGTTTCGTCAGTCGTTCCTACAATTTTGTACGGACGATCCGGCCCTTAGTCAAGCCTAGCGGCAGGTTTGCGGATGAACGTCGAGGATTCTTGTTTATAAACAGTTTAACGTCAATCGCATGATCCAAGTTCTGCGCTACGGGAGTAGTCTGAACGTCAGAGCTTATAAATCGATTTTTATGGTCAACACGCGTTTAGCGCTAATTTATCTAGCTTAAGCATGATAGTTTAGATACTGGTAAGGCAACCGTGTATCTAGCAGTCGAGATGATCCATTTGGTACGAGGAGATATAAAGAAAGTCAAAGTAGTTTTAACCCAATATATTTTTATAAATCGTTAAATAGAACAATGTTACGTAAAAACAATATTTTTTAAATTTGTACTGCAAAGTAACAGTTAGGTATATAGTTTTTTCGTATATTTATTTATATTATGATATAACTCTTCAATGATAACATTAATATATTAATGTATACAGAAAACTGTTTTATTCCCCTTCTTAGAATTTCATACATATTACTAAAACTATGTGTATTTCTAATCTGGACTAGCTCAAAAGAAGAGAATTGATTTGCTGGTTGAAGAGAAATACTTATTCAGTGTTGCATTCCAGGCGCCAAGTACTTCCATCGAATTTTTCATTATGAAATTTAACTGATCAATTTTACATGATCCTTTAGCTCATGTGAATTCAGTATCTAACCTGATATTTAATATGATTGTTCATATACGGTTATTCGATAATCATGTAATACTGTTAGACTACAATAAATGATGGTGTTCGAAAGGTCGCTACAAATCATTTAAGAGCTAAAACTACATCCCATTTGGAACACATTAAATCATATTTATTGATCATATTTCGTAAACTAATACAAGTGACTAGTCAAAGAAGGAAAAAATGATTAATACATAAGACATATTAAAAATTACAATAAAAAAATATAAACTCGATTAACTATCGCTTGTTCAACAATGAATAGTACTCAGTTGATCTGTTATTTTTCCCATTTATCTTGATGTTTTTCTCTGTTTTTGAGATTGCTTATCCTGAAACAGAGGACTTCAACATTATAAGTAGTTTTTATTAATATTGTAATAAATATTGTAGTTCATATTTTATTACAATAAAGAAATTGTGTACTATTATTCTTCCTCATTTGTTATATTGTTCGACTATTTTGTTCACTGCAAATGAAACTTTATTTTAAAAATTACTAATATGACAAAATAAAGCTATGAGAATAATCTTAAATAAAAATAAATATACTAGAATAAATTTTATGCTGAAAGAACTACAATGGTCCAATATCAAAAATTTCATAGCCTACTTGGTTTTCATTTTCATATTCAAGTTAAAAAATCATCTACCAAATCACTCAGAAAATTTTATAGTATTGAACAATGAGTGCCACAATTATTCTACTAGAGGAAGTATAGACTTTCATTTACAAAACTACAGTAGCAATATAACGAACAAGTCAGTATTTCAAAAGGGATTGTACAAATTTAATAAATTAAGTAATGATATCAAGATGTGTATCAGTTTGAAAATGTTCAAAGGGAAATTGAAACAAACAAAATTTAATTACTTTGTAGAATTTCCTGAAGAAGAAGATGCAACATTTTCAAAAGCTTGGCATCAACTCAGAACAAACTTTTTTGTGACCTTGTGGTTTTCGATTGTGTTGCGGCTGCAACTATTTTGCACTTTAACTCAATAACTATCCTTTGTACCAAATGTAAGGCGTATGAGGCTCAATGTGTTCCACAAGAAGCGTACTACCAATAGACGATTAATATCGAGCTCTATCATGATATTGTTACTTCACCATAAATTTTGACGTTTTGTCATGTTTAATCTCTCATAGTTATAACCATAATTGTCTGTAAGCTTTTGAGTACCAAATCCTGGCGTTTTATCAATTTCCTTTTGACTCGTTCTTAATTGAACAACGAGAAAATATTTATAATAATGCAGGCATCTGTGAATTCCCATTGTGGACAATTTAACTTGCTAATTGCACCTTATCAACAACCTAAGAACAGTGAACAGCGAGTTCAAACAATTTCAAAAGTAAGCAAAACAGGAGGATTTCTTGCAATATGTGGTCTCTTGATCCTAGTTGCTTAGGAACTATATAAAAATATCCAAGATTAGCACACAATTTATTGCTTTGCTGTGTTTGCACCATTAGAGATCAACATATTTTTGTTATACTCGTAATAGTTTCCTTTTTATCCGAAGGCATTTTTAAACCAACTATTAGCCGCTGATTAATTTTATTAATGTTTATTAAGTTTGTTCCCGAATCCCTTTTGCAAAATATTGTTGCGCATACAGCAGGTTCCTATAAAAATGTCGCATTGGAGGGTCAACATTTTTATTGCACTGTCATAAAAATGAAAATGTTTTCCTTTTGATGAGTATACATACTTGGCACCCAGTGATGAATAGCATGAAATTTGATTTTAATGATATATGGTACACAAAATAAAATGGAAAACGTACGAAAAATATGGAGATATATGGTGTTCAAAGTGATAGTATGCCTTAAACTTTATATAAATACAGATTAAGTAATTTTTGTGGTAATGTTTGATTCAATACAATTATTAATTTTTCTAACACTTCATTAACAACGATAAAATTAGAATCATTAAATAACACCCTTCAACAAAAATATACAGTATTATGTTGTTCCCAACAAACAGACAGAATCATTGACAAAACAAATGCCTAGCTATCCAGCGGCAGTAAGCCTAGCATAAAAAATAACCTAAGTAGCAGTTAACACTACTAAAGTATATTTATATCAGAATGCTTCAATAAAACAATTAACAGTAGTCCTGAACGCTGAAAAGCTGCATTTATTATTAGCAAATAAGATATTGTTCAGTTATTGCTTAGGCAACTGAGGCATTCAGATTTTAGAGCCGATATTTATTCTGAAATAATGACAGATACTATGTTTGTTTTCTGTGATCAGGTTCATTTTGACTTGTATATCCTGCCACTGGCTAAACCAAATCAATATCGTATCTTTAAAGAATATTATTAATACATCTTTGGGATAGTTATATCAAGGGAAACTAGCTAAACAAGTAAACACATTTTTAAGTATGGAAAGCTTAACGCTATCCTGGGGTTTCTCAATAATGCCCCAAAGTGTTTAGGGACAAATAAAAATATTATTTATATAGCAATTTTTCTTTTTATGTGTATAAAAAGTACAAAATACTAGACAGAGATACATAAAAAACGGTTAGTAATGTACACTGAAATAAAGAGATGTTATTTTCGCTCACACACTTTGTTATAATAATATAATATTACATTGTAAGAATAAACCCTGTTTTCATTAAAAACTGAACTGGGGTGATAAGAAATTATCCTCAAATTCAACGAGTATGTCCATTGTTAGTTTTTCTTGTCTTTATGAAAATCAAAAATCTATTTCACCTAAATATTATATTCTACCCGCTACTATAAACACTATTGGTTTATCAATGCACACATACCATCTCAATCTCTAGTTTTTTTAATGTTATTAATACTGAAAGCCTAGACGAGTATTAGTGATATGACTTGACCGATAAACCATTCCACTCAAACAAATATATATCACAGAATATTTTGAAAATGTAAACTAAAAGGTTCCAGCGACTTTGCCTTACTATAATTTTTGTTGGTTGTATTAACTGATAGCAGTATTGAGTATGGATTTCTTTACGGGTTCAATTTTTTTATATAAATACAGTTGAAAAAATTGAAACACGTCTATCGCTTATAATCGAATATAATTATAGTGTTATTTTCTAAAAAAACTTCAACTGTCTTGAAATATTACGTTTTAGCTCAATACTTTCAGTATGGGCAGTTTAAATACAGGGTGTTCTATTTGTATATACTTGTAAATTGTATCCATCTATTAAGCAACACATTTTGTCGGAATAAAGAATATCTCTGACCAATGCGAGAAGTTGGTCCTCCTACAGTCAGGCAGCTAAAACCGGAGGTATAGTTATTAATTTTTTATGTTCTTACGATATACGACGGATATACCCTCATCAATGATTGGTTTTTTGGTTATGCGCTTCAAGATCAAATTGATATTCCTTTATGACTTCCTTGGGTCTATTTGTCGGAAACTTATTACAATTTTATCTTTTTGTAATATTCGAATATTTTTATTCTAAGATTTATTGATTGGTTTTTGGCAACATAAAGTCGCTGGACTAACTTCAGAGTCAGAGCAACACAAAACTGATAAACTAAACATACGCATTCGCCAATTTTCTATCAAATATTGTGTCCATTATTAGATATGAAATGGTTATATCTAGAAGTCCCTGTCTCTCGACAGAAAAAAATACATTCTCCTAGTGAATCTATAATTTTAATAAACTTTATATAAGTTTTTGTTGCCCCTAAGTTCGAAAAAGTTTTCGTATTTATCAGCTGTCTTATTCTTCCTCGCTTTTCTTCCATTTTCATACTGCAGACATTTGAACATTTTGCTTAATACCTTTCAATATCTTAACATCATAGTTACTAAAGCTTACGCGTCACCGATTCTGTTAGAATCCGAACCCGATGTCATCGATTTTCAAACTCAAATCTCATTCCGCGAGTCACGATTTCCATTCCTTGAACTTCCTAAGTGACACTTTCTTGATTCTTGACATTATGTCGCCTTCTTTGGTCTCATCATCGCTCAGTGTCTCTCCCTCCGAATGCACCTGGAAAAAAATGGCGTCAAGTAGACTGACTGTGTATTTCCCACACCCTTCAAACAACTTCTATTACAATTGATCGAAGAAACCTAGGTATTATGAGAACCGGTAATACTTATATTATGTCAGGAAATGAAATAACATTATAGCATATATCGCCCATATAACAGGTTATTCTCCAAGGTGACTCACCTCCATAACTTTTTTTATTATTGAAGGTAGAAAAACGAAATTTGGCGGTTACGTATTTTAGATGAATCTACATTTTTTGACATATTCACTTGCTTTGGCGTACTTCCGGTTTGACCGGAAACCACTCGAACTTTCGATTTCTAAATGTGACACCCGCACGGGTATCACGTATCTTGAAAAGTGATATTATGCCGATTTTTTTTGATATTATGCTGTTTTTTTGACATTATGTAGGTTTTTCTACAAGATGTTAACTTAGCACTTAGTTGTACGTGTTGCCTAAACGTCATGAGGCTTTAGTTATCAATGCTTGGCTCTGATTTTATGTAAAATCTGCTGAGAGATGGCATTACTGGAGGTCTAAGCTGTAAGTTGTATATGTTCATGATAATTCCATTGGATTCTTGTCTCAAATACACTTAATCGAGATTCAAAGCTACAAATTAATTGCGTAGCCACTTTTTTATACATTCTGGAAATTACAGATACAAATTTGCTGAATTTCAAAAATGAGAGAGATCAGAAATAATTATATTCACTGTACACTGTCGAAGTACAAGCCATATACATGCTAACAGTAATTACGCACAACGCGGGCGCGGTGATGATTTCCCGTAATTCTCCTCGGTTTTTCGTAATTTATAACTTTGAACATAACCTCTCTTCAGAAAGCACAACATATAAATAACCCGTCATATTCAACATATTCAGTAATGATTTTCTCACACAGCAAATATCACTGATTTTATACACATTCAGACCAATACACATAATCATGCAGATGCGATCTTGCTATTCAACCAACTTTCTTCTCATGCGTGTAGTCCATAGACGTTCACAACGTTCACAACGATCCTGGTGAGCTAAGTTAGAATGACTGTTTGCACCCTAAAAACTACCTAGTTTGCAAGATGACATCTTATAAGTTTTTTTTTGACGTTTTATAGGTTTTTTACATGATGCTCGTGCCGATATATTTTTATTTATTTCGACCAGGAATAACATTCTGAACTCAACAACGCCTCACTTGTCAATATTTGACAAATACAGTCATTTTTATTTTAATTTTTATTTTTCACGGATAACTATATACAGACTTCGAAGTCGAGTCATTTATTTTAACAGTGAGTAGATCTGATCAAAAGAAAGGTTTTTTTCCTTTACCATTTTTCTGGTAAAATTAAAGTAACAAAGTTATAGCCCTTTGGACGTTTGAGTACCGCCCTGTGTCAATAATAATATTATGCGCTCGTGTTTGGCGACAACGGATATAATCCGCCTTATCGGTTCATCGCATCGGAAACAAAAAAGCGAAAGAATTTGGAACGATGTTTTTACAATTATTTTATTCATTTGTATACAGTCAGTGTCAGTCGGTAACGCGTAAGTGAATAGTGGTGTCTGTTGCGTGGCTCAAACGAAATAAAAAATGGCACATGTTTATGCGGATCGGTTTCCCAATCGAGTGCAACCAACCTCTCGTGCCTTTGTTAATGTAGTACAACGGGCTCGTGAATCAGGTGACGGCATGCCGGTGCTCCAAGACCTCACGATCAAATACAGGTCCGCACTGAAATACTTGTCGGGAGGATACTTTATAAAACAAGGTAAATTTTTTTTTTATTTTTACGCACATATTTTGGTTTATCTTCCTTCTACAATCATTATCTGAAAATTAATGACTCAACTTTAAAGTCACCCTGTATATATATATATATATATATAGGTATACCGAATGCAGATACAAATTATTTGTTGTTAGGTATGATCGTTTCTTACAAGTATTCGGAAAAATAGTGAAAATAAAATAAGAGTGTATAGTGTCAAATTATTAAGCCGACGAGCCACCCCCTTTCTATTTTAAAAAATAAAGTAAACTGAACTGTAACTTAAAGAAAATCTCTCAAATCGTCGCTAAGGTCGTTAGCCTCAAAATCATATTTTTACAGATCAAAAATGAAGCGATTTCTAGATCGAAAAATAAAAATTGAAATAAAAATGGGTTTATTTGTCCAATATTGACAAATTAGGCGTTCTCGATCAAGAAATAAAAAAAATAGCGTTTGCATTTAAAAATCGATAGTTAGAGTCGTTACCAGTCAAACCGGAAGTATGTCAAAACATCTGTAGACCTAAAACTTGTAAAAGTGTGCTCAAAATTACAGCACTCCCAGTCGAAAAACGAGGTTTGAGCGATTTCTTTTTCATTTCTGGCCTTTTTCTGCCACTGGGCCGATTTCCAGAAGTTACAAAGCTTTTTCGCCATTGTAATAGCAATGTTCTGTAAGTAAGTACAGTAAATTATATTTTGGGTTGATGAAATTTCGGAAGGGATGCAGTTCGGTCTACAATTGACAAAAAATCATCCCACATACTGGTATTTTTTATTCAAAAACAGTATTTTCTTGACATACATCCAACTATACAAAATTATAAAGCGCTGGTGTAACAGACGTCATTTTTTTATGGATCGGCTTGATATGCTAGCTGTAAGGGGTGTTTACCATGTAAAAATTTTCGCCCCTCGGAAGTTTCGAGCTTCCTGTGAATTGACAATGGCGCACTGTGTTTCATCAGATTCGGTACCATGTATGCTTATGGCAGCAATGCGTTGAAAAAAATATTTCATTTATACACTATCATTATTAAAAACAAATTATGTAAAGTTATTTTTATACAGCCTCTATAATATGGCATCGTGTAAGTAAAAATGGGACAATTGCTGTGCTGCAAGAGTTTCATAATGAATGAACAATTTAAGTGTTATCATAGTTTATAATTTTTCATAATGATAGCCAATTTATACGGCCTAACTAGAATTCTGCAATAAATGGAAAATTGATAATTCCTACGAAGATCGCACTATGGCTGCTAAAACGCCGTCATAGGCTCAAATAATCTCGTTGATAATTTATCACTGCATACATTTTCTTGAGACCCTTCATTTTTTAATAATTATAAATCTGGAACATCATCTCATTATCACCTTAATTATTAACAACTCGTCCACTTATCGAAAATATAGTTTTGCATAAGCTATGGAATTATTATCTGGGGATCCGCGAATAATAACCATCTAAATTCCTTACAAGTGATACAAAAACTATTCATAAAAACAATTCATAATAAACCTATACCTATCCCTCCAAATCACTGTTTATAGAATCAAAACTTTTGGATATAAAAAATGTTATACTAGAATTCCATAAAAACAAACATTCGACCATTTATAAAAATTATGAATATGATACTAGAAATAAAAATAAACATAATAATTGCAATACAAAAAAATAATGTTGAAATCTTCTATAAACCCAGAATTATATCAACTTATCAAAATATATTAGAAAAAACCGAATATCATTATTTAAAAATAGATGTATACGAGTGGCTTTTGAAAACTGAACATTATGTAATTTATAAAAAAACTAACACATATCTTTTCTTCATTGTTAGTCTACGATCCAAAATTAATGTACGTATTACACTTAGATTATATAGATTTTTTTAATTCTATCAGTTTATTATAACTGCTGTTACATTATGTATGTTGTGTTAGCATGATATCCACATACGAGGATATCTTCGTTTTGTGGCATATGCATTTGTTCACAATGTGTAATTGATGTGAATAAATTATTATTATTATTATTAATCATGAAATGAAACATGTTTAGGGATGTTTAGTGATTTCATTGTTCCTTATGCGAATGTGACTGTAAGGCTTATAGACCACTGAAAATGAGAAAATACATTACCTCTCGACAAACCTCCGTTTTTTTGCTGACAGATGTTGTAGCCGTTTCTTTTTCGGAGCTACCTTTACTACCTCTAGATTTGGTTTTAGGTGAGGAATCTTCACCAGTCTTGCTCTTCCATTTGGAAGTTGTCGGATCACTTAGTACTACCTGGAAAACGAGATTAAAAATTACGAATTAATTGAGTGACGGTTTGCTTTGAGGTGAATCTAATGTCTGATACAGACCTGGACAGGCATTTTGATGCTATTCGTGGCGACATTCCTGGCAACGTTCAATCCTCTGCTGATACGATCCAAAGTCGCAAGTCTCAGGGTAGAGGCAATCCTATTCCTTCTAAGCGAAGTTGGGGTAGCGTTAGCTCTTTCTTGCATCACGAACCGTCCGATGGTCTGCCAGTGCGATTGCGCACTGTAGACGTTCTCGTAATCGGACAGAGCGCGCTGTTGAATATTGTGGCCAGCTCCTCCCCATTCCAGTTCTTCCACTATCACAAAATTCATTGGGTCCTCTAAGCGTCGTGCTTTCACTAACGCTTGTGCCAGTACGTCTTGGGCACATGCATTTAGTGGAACCTAAAAAATAATTCAGATTCAGTATGTATTTAGCCACCCAATAAATGACTGGGTCCAGTCTTTCTTGTAATGTCATTTTTGTTGAAATGGGCAATGTTACACCATATTGTAAAAATATCAATATTGGTGACCCACAAGGTGGAGTGTTTGTATTCCCATTATTAGATCAGTTTTAAACTGGGATAACGGGTAATAATAATAAAATATTAGTTAATATATACTGAGTGACAAAAAAGGTAAACACCTACGTATGTTTATCCGACTTTAATAATTTTTTGCATATATGTTCAGTGTTCTTTACTAGTAAACTGATTGATTTTTCTGCTCGATTCGTCATCTGACTGCAGAAGCTGGTTCAATAATGTGTTGAGGATCCACGATTTCTTATACACTCATTGACACGCATGGGCATCGCGCTGATGTTCTGTTGGGGTATCTCACAACTTCTCTCACGTTGAAGTTAACTGATTCAGTTCTTGACATGGTTGAACAGAGTTTTTAGGGGTAATAGTAGATCAAAGACTCAGCTGGAGAGATAATCTAGATTAAGTCATGAAAAAACTCAGTTCAGGGTTTTATGGGTTGCGTAACTTGAAAAACATAATGAATACCTACTAAGTATTAACTGATTGTTTATTTTGCAACCGTACATCCTCATTTGAAATAGCTTGTCCTATGCTGGGGTTGCTCTGTTGATGTTCAGGCGCATTCATTTTGGAAAAAAGGATTATAAGGTTAATATTTTCGTTTAGCGCTCTGATTTATTTGTTAAAAATAATTATACTAAGTTGAATACTACAAATATTGAGGATTAGCAAAAATAGAACCTTCGCCACAATAAGGACATATCTATCGCTAATTCCAACATAAGTACTTATCGTAAAAGTCATCAGTATGTGTAATGCCATATACATACAATCAACTAGCTGATGATTAATGAGTTTGTATTGATTTTATCATAATTTTGAGTTTATTTGTGTGCATAATCTTATCTTGTATTGTAATTACTGTAACCTGTATTTTGACTTTTCATATCCGCAGGGCTGTCATGAAGTTATTATTATTAGTATTAGGAATCATCTGTGTCAGTTTTGTTGAAAGTTTGGCAAACATTACAGCTTAAAGATGGACAATGAAGTCGGATGATACCCATCGTGGCAAAAGATGATAAAAACAGACCAAAGAACCAACAGCAGGTTTCTATTTTCTGTGTAGTACCGCGTGGGCCAATGGTAAACGACGCCGACTGTATCTCGGCAACTGCTACTAAAAGTGGCCAAGACATATTACTGGAAATTATTTTCAGCTTCTTAAAATGGTCGATAGGTGAGTCATTCCAATTCCAGAAATTCAAACGCTATTATTTTGCAAAGCTTCATAATTAACATACTAAATAGCCTTATCGTGTTGACCGCAAACTTTCTTGTCTATGTCATTTTCTCATATTTTGGTTAGTTTAGGGTGGGGAAAGGGTTGAATGTAATTTCAGAAAAATTCACATAACTTATGTTTGATTGCGGCAATTTGAGTTTCATGTGAAAGAGTATTCATATGCGCTCCTGAAGAATGCTCAATCGTGTCAAACTAGTTCAGTCTCTGTGCCATTAGATGGTTTTGTGGATGTGTCAGCGTTTTTTGGTTCCACCAGCAGTGTGGATTATGAGAAATGTGACATCTATTGTAATAATATAGGGCATATTTCGTTAAAAAAAGAATATTTAAAAAATCTAGTGTGCAAAAGAATAAACTAATTTTTTCAATGAATCTTTTTATTAAAAGATGTATGCGGTCCTAAAAAGAACCTATTGCATTTACGAACTATTTGGAGTACTTCCAGTCAAGTTCACGTGTTCGAGCTGCTTTCATTAGATATTTGACGTTTGCACTAATTTATTTTAGTTTATTCTCTTGTTTCTGTCGTAGCATGTCACGACACGACACACTAGATTTTAAATAAAATAGCCGCTATATTACAATGAATATAGCACATCTCATAATTCACACCATTAGTGGATACAAATAGGAGAAAAAGGTAGAAACACGGTTTTAATCCTGTACATACGACATATAATAGATGCCTAATACCTCTGGTATGAAAACCTAGCGCAACGGTACCCAGAACGACGAGATGATGCAAACATTGCCGTTATGGAATGTGTAGCAGATGACTGAGGCGGTTTAGTTAGTATACCGCTACTAGAGAATCTCACACTTTGCGCTATTTTGCCTGAGAATGGCTATCTAAGCTTTCCCCGATAAAAAAAGAAACAAGATGGGCAATGAGGACTATTACCTTAAGTATTGCATAAGGAATTTCAGGAGAAACGTTGTATATGCACACTAAGAATGTATCGTTTTCCTCCCATGCATTACTAGGCGCTCCGTCTGATTTTCTAGCTTCACGTTCCCTATTGGCTACGCTCCTTATGGAAGAAAGCCACGCTCTGCTACTGGGATCGTCTCCCATCCGTTTTAGAATGAATCTACCTTCACCTTTCCACTGTGACTGAGCTTGTAAAGGTCTTTCATGCAGATCTAGAATCCTTTGGGTGGCTGGTAAATTATGATCTTTCTTTTCCCACCTGAAAAATTGTTTTGAATTGGTCATTTATACAATTGAACGCCAGCTTGGTAGGATTAGTTCTGTAATTTAGCTTAGCAAATGACCAATTGCTTGAAAGATAGCACATCTGGCAGACTTGGATAGTATTCGAATACTCGGTATCTTCAAACCTATTCAGAATACATTTGACTGGTACTGGAATACATTTGTGTGTTTGGTATTTGGTATTCGGTTGAATATTTTTTGGTCAGTATCCGGTATTCTGGATTCCCTATCTCAATATTCGAATACCGACTTTGTATTCAAATACCGATATTGGAGTCCTGTTTTCGAATTAAGCAACACGTTTGTGTGGTCGGCGATGTTTCTGAATTCGCGTGCCGACAGGCTGCTTAAGAAACGAGATTAAATTTCGTATGCACTTGTGCTTGAGCAGTACTGTCATTCTAATTTATAATAAACTTGAATAGTAGTAAGTTCATTTTCTAATTATGGTAAGGTACATGGTGTAAGATTCATATATTTCCTTATTAAGTTTTGTTACATCAATTTTCTATGAAAATCTAATAGAAATCAAAGAATATTTTTCATTATAGAATTAATTTATCTTACGGTGACACTGTGTATCAATATGCTATTGTAACTTTTATCATCTAGTTACGTATTTTTAATTTTTAGTTTATTTTTATCCTTAAAGTACATAAATAAAAATCAGGTTTAAAGTGCGCATATTTGTTATTTTTACTTGGAATATTCAAAGACTATTCATCTTTAAATGAATCCAAGAAACCAAAACAGTGATATCCGAATACCTTTTTCTTTGTATTTGAGATTTGAACATTCCAATACAATTTAGAATACAGTATTCAGGATTCGTATTCGAATACCGGATGCCAGTATTCGACCCAAGTGTGACATCTGGTACGACCTCAGTTTTTGGAATTTCGTTTCCCAGTCTCTCCACATAGTGTAACAAAAATCTGTTTGTTCACTTTATACTGCTGGTAACGAGTACAACAAAATTCATTTTTAAATATATATTTATATAACGACATACCCTCTGGCTACTTCCTCGACCAGAATGTAATCGTTGACTTTGCTGGGACTAATTCCAGCTTTTTGTAGACAGAGAAGCAAAACGTCTTGAGTGGTACTTTCTTGCGTTATCTTCAAAATTGTATATGGTTCCTCTGAGACGACTCCGTAAACCATTAGGAAGAACATACGCCTTTTAACGCATATAGGTGTTCCTGATATTCCTAAAAGATCGTAATGCTCACATTTTGTTCTAACGTTTTTCTTTACTATATATCCTGATTTTATATGTACGTTCATTTATTACTATTTTTTGAATTAGTCAATTCTATATCAAGATGAACATAAATTTTGAGGTACTACAGGGTGCGGCAGCCATATCTTCTTTTTTTAAAATGCTCGCCATTCAGTCAGTTGATGTCGTAGCGGACTTGTTTGCATTCACCTAAAAACACAGTGTGGAGTGCAATTTCCTCAGCTGGAATTATTGGTCCTGGTAAATAAAGTTGCAGTGACAGTAGTTAAGTTGGATTTAAGGGACAATTGGGTCCAACAAGACGGCGCAACGGCACACACCTCAAAAGCATCGATGGTAGTCTTGAGGAGATAACGGGTGATTTTTTAAGAGGTATAGGATTTGATTTTCAAAAAAAACACAAAAAATTTGAAAAAACGATTAAATATTTATTTGAATCGATAGAACGGGATAATTTTTAAAGATTATTTCATGTAAATGTTGGCCGCGGCTCCGCTTTAGATGGCCCATGCGCGAGGTCCAATTTTGGTACACTCTCTCCAACATATCGGCCGGTATCTCACGCATAAATGCTTCAATATTGGCTTCCAGTGCGTCAATCGTTGCTGGTTTAACACCGTAGACATTAGCCTTAACATGGCCCCACAAGAAATAATCCAACGGCGTTAAATCACACGATCTAGGCGGCCAATTGACGGGCCCCAGACGTGAGATAAACTGTTCACCGAACTCGCCTCTCAATAGGGCCATTGTTTCGTGTGCGGTGTGGCATGTGGCACCGTCTTGTTGAAACCACATGTCAGCCAAGTCCAGCTCTTCCATTTTGGGCAAAAAAAGTTTGTTATCATCGCACGGTAGCGCTCGCCATTCACAGTTACGTTCCGGCCATTGTCGTCTTTGAAGAAGTACGGCCCGATGATGCTACCGGCCCATAATCCACACCAAACAGTGATTTGGTAGCATTGGTAGCTCTTGCAATGCTTCTGGCTGGTCTTCACTCCAGATGCGGCAATTTTGCTTGTTAACGTACCCATTCAACCAGTAAATGAGCTTCGTCGCTGAACACAATTTTTCGATAAAAATGCGGATCTTCCTCCAACTTTGCCAGCGCCCATTCACCAAATTGGAAACGTTGTGGGAGGTCGTGCGGCTTCAATTCTTGCACCAGCTGTATCTTATAAGGTTTTCCACCCAAATCCTGTCGCAAAATTTTCCACGTAGTGGAGTAACAGAGGCCCAATTGCTGCGAACGGCGGCGAATCGACATTTCACGGTCATCACTAACACTGGCGGATACAGCCGCAATATTTTCTTCAGTCCTCACTCTACGTCTGCGTGTTGGTGGTTTAATGTCCAATAATGTAAACTGGGTTCAAAATTTAGTCACAAGCTTCCGAATAGCTCCCTCAGTAGGCCGACCAAATTGCCCATAAATTGGAAGCAGTGCTTGATGCACTCTCTTAACCGAGCATGAATTTTGATAGTAAAATTCAATAATTTGCAAGCGTTGTTCGTTCGTAAGTCGATTCATGGTTAAATTATAGACCAAACTGAACAAGTTTGACAATGACACAAGCCACGATTCACGCGTCATCTGTCAAAAACAGTGTTGCCAAAAAGATACTAGCAAAAAAATCACCCATTACTTCCCAGAGCGCCTCATCTCGATTAGGGTCGATTTGGAGTGATCGCCCCGCTCTCGCAATTTGACCCCCTGTGACTTTTTTCTATTGGGTTTTTTGAAATCCCGTGTCTACGTAGACTGTCGAAGGACCCTATAAGATTTGAAGACGGTTTACTCAGTGTATGGAGAATGGGGGACGTCACCTATCTGATTTGATCTTCAAAACTATGTAAAACAAAGCTTTACACCTGTACCTACAATATAAAAACAAAAATGTTAAAAAAATGGGTTTTAATAAGTTTTTAAAAAAAGGAAGTTATGCTGCCTTACCCTGTATATCGACATATCTATGAAAAATTTCTTATAATCAATTGATTTTCCTTAGATTCAATTCTTGAGTCGCACACTTGATATTTTTTTATTATTGAAGCGAGACTATCAACTTTCATCGCGTTTATTAACATATAGAGCTACTGATTAGATCTTCCTTATGTAAATTGAATCCATTACCAACGTAAGTGCTGTCAGATCCAGCACTGTCTGTAACCTCTTTTTCCATTGTTGTTGGAGGAGGCCGTTCGACTATTCCATCTCCAGCTTCCGCGTTATCCATACTTTCTTCTTCCACTCTTGAATAAATGAATAACGTGGTCATATTGAGAGGTTTGTTAATTGCCGAACGTAATCTCAAATGTCTGTATCCAGGTCTCAGGCACTTGAAGGGTACTATTCGCTGGGCTAACATATGATTGGTTTGGGCATCTATAACTGTAAATCTACAAAAATATGTACCTAATTAAAATATTACTACCACCCGAAAATTCTATGGTCGAAATGTTAGTGAATTTTGTCCTTCAAAATTTGCAAATAAATTGCAGAGATTAAACCATTTTTTATTTTCATGTTACCGAACGAAAAAATTAAGTATATCGTGCTCATACCATTATCACATATAAAATGACACTATTTAAGAGGGTGATTTTTGGACCCACTTAAAAAAAAATCATATGGACGTATGTCCTAAACTTCTTAACCTTTGAGAAACACGACGGTAAAGTTTTCAGAAATCGGGAGATCAAACTTGCACAGAAATGAATGATAACGGTTTTTATTTAGAGTATTGGCGTATAAATTGTTTCTTCAAAAATATTCAATACAAAACCCGTACGGACGCCACTGGTAGCAATAATCAAATTGTTTGTACACTAAAAAATGCACATTGATACAGAAGGTGTATACCAAATTCCATAAAGATATCTACAATAGCATCACAGTTATTATGAAATACAGATTTTTTTCTGAAAACTTTACTGCCCTGTATTTCAAAGGTTAAGACGTCTGAGACATACGTTAATACAGTTTTTTTCTTACAATCGGTCCAAAATCACTCCCTTAATTATAAGCACAATCACCTCCTTAAATATTAGCATGTCATTAAGGAACACCCTGTATTATTATAAATATTTGCAAGACTTACCTCAAGAAGGCCAAATCTTGAAACATCACTCTAAAATGAAACGTTTCATTCCAAATGGGATTGAGTGAATTTTTTTGTACTGTCTTGGTCCTTTGTTTGTTACAGTCTACTTGTATTCCAATTATTTCAACTTCTACATATGTGCTCAAGTTTACGTTGTTCTGACTCACATACTGACCGGATACAATATTTATTACAATTTGTGATGAGTGTAAACCATCAAATTCCTGGAAAAATTGTTTTTGTATAGTTATTATTCGTTTTAAATGTGGAGTGAAAAACTTTGGATAAATTGTTAATAATTTCGATCACATTCGCGCCCATGTTAATAAACTCAAACAAAAACTATTGTATGTAGATATAGAACGAAGCTGTGAAAAATTGTTTTTTTTGAGTTTAGAGCACGGGGTATTGAATTCCATTACTTAAGGAACTCTTATGCCCGATTTTATTAAGCAGCGCAAAAAAGCGTGTCGGTCTAATGGATCTGATGAATCTAGCCGATTTATTGTAAAATGTCTCACAAATTAAAGAATAATTATATGGTTTATGTAACATGGTAGAGGGGCATACCTCATACTAAATTAGCGGCCGTGGTCATAAATGCATCAAAGAAAAAAGAAGCATCTATGCCTTACTCGTAGCATAAACACACATCTGATACAATATCTATATTGATATGACATCAATTGATAGCAGTAAATTGAAGATACAGTGTCAAACTGTTGCTGTACAAAATTCTGCTTGATACATTCTTTGAGGATATAAATAAAATTACAGAATCTTTATTGTTTAACAAACATTGAGTAAATATTCAATTTACTTGACGACCGTGCGAAAAACCCTGTTCCTTAAGCCAGCCCTGGTAACAGGGAGGTCTTGCGCCCTCTACTGGACAGTAGGACGCCTACTTTGATCCTTGCCACCGTCACCGCGGCGCCGTGTGGTCGCGTAGTCTTCCCATCGTCTAAGTATAGGGAGCGACATCTCTCTGTTAACAGTAACATGTAAATTAATTATTTTCTCCATGTTTGTTATAGAATAAGCATTCTGTAATTTTATTTATGTCTTCAAATAATTTATTAAAGCAGAATTTTGTACAGCAACAGGGAGGCACTGTTATTTCCAATGAAATGTTTAGCAATGGCGTCATGTCAATCTACTGTACAGATTTGATCCATGCTTCGAGTACGCCACAAATTTGGCGGAATTTGCGTCAACTTTTGTGTCTGGACACAAATGAAAAATAGGTTTTTGTAGCTGAATCTTTGGATGTATGAAGTATTTCTCGATTAATATGAGAATTAGGAGCCCATTTATAATTACTCTTTCTCTTTAGTTTGAGAGACATTTTACAAGAAATCGACCAAATTCATTAGATCCATTACAAATTTTGATTGTCGCCAGGCAATAGTAGAATCCGGTCTTCATAACATGGTAGCACTAGAGACTTCCTAGAGAGCCATGGATTTGTTAGTTTTAATTTTCAATTTTACTCCGAGAGTTCGGAGTAGTATCAGCAGCTGGGTAGTACGAATATATTTTTGTTTCTGGATTACAGAAATCCTAATGCAGTCCTCTATGAAAACTCCATAGCCAGTTACAACTAGCTAAAAATTCGTAACACTAAATGCTTCTCAAGATTCTTTTTGGTATTTAAGCTTTATCTACGTAGCTGCTAAGTATATAAAGGGGTTTACCTTATCCCAAGGATTGAATCTTCTATACATGACATGTGATCGATCCCACATTACGTTTGGTTTGCTGACGTAACCACATCTTCCGTTCGTCTCAAACAATGCGGTATTTATTTGCATGGGAGTATCTTCAGTTTGGTAGTTTAGTGCCGACATTTGGATACCAAATGACCAGAATATTACGGGATTGAAATTAGAAGAGTCGATTCGCATACCCGCAGGATATGTTCGCATTAGTTGTGTCTGGGTGTGTGCTACTAACGCCAACGGTTGTTTTCTGAAAAAAAAAATGGCGTCAACTGATTTATTCTTCACTTCCTACGTGACGTAATCGTCAGTTTAAGGATTAAGGATTATATTCAGCGCAATTTAGTCGGACATACAAAGCAGCATGTTTAAGTTAGACCCTCTGAGAAAAAGGTCAGTTACGAACATGTACAAAATGGAAAATTAAATGGATTAAGTCAGTCAAACATGCCGATAGATATTCTTTCACCGCCCTACCGGCAGTTACAGCCCATCTGGCAACGTTGTCCCTTTCTATATCTCCGCAACAGCGCTGTGCGCTGCATTTCGTGCATGGTCCGTGTGTGTTTTTTGCGCTGCATTGCTGATAGAACAGTAGATGCAATTTAGTTACATGGTGTTTGTCATGTAAATGGCGTCAAGTAGGTTAACTCTGTACTTCCCACCCAATTAATCAATCAATATTAGTGATTCTTAGAAACACTATGGACTTTGAATAAGCACGATCTGAGTCAACTGTCTTACGCGTACTTTTACTATGGGCCCTTATAGCTGGTCATGTAATATAATTAATATAATTGAAAAGTATTGTCGGTTTACTTTTTTCTTTTTGAAATTAGGTCAACTTCCGCGCGCTCGAGTGATCAACGTTTGGCGCCTATAAAGTCACTGATAAGTCTGTATACCGACATGCGGTATTGTGAGTTGAGGAACAGGTACTAAAAATAGATGAGACAATGATATCTTCCATCTTCGAAATATCTGCATAATCGCCGATGACCGGTGAACGTCTATAATCTGTTATTTGACACCTGAATAAGTTTTGCATATGGAAATAAAACAACACGGTAGGTAGTTTTAAATGACTTTATTGTTTTTCGAAGTATTCTCCACGAAGATTAATACACATCTGCATGCACTCGAACCAATTTTCGAAGCACTTATTCCACTCGTTTGTTGCCAGATCCAAAACGGCATTTTTGAAGGCGTCAGCTGCTTCTTCTGGTGACTGGAACCTTTGACCACGCAGTCTGTTTTTAATTTTCGGGAACGTAAAGAAATCGTTAGGACTTAGATCGGGACTATATGGAGGATGGTCAATAATTCCACGTTTTCTTTTTTTGGGCTGTGTGCGAGCTTGCATTGTCTTGGTGGGGTTGATTTTTCGAAGCTCGGTGATGAATTTTGGCAAACAAATGGTGGTATACCAATCCGCAGTAACAGTTCTTTGCCCATTAAGAGGAATTGTTGCAATATGACTCGCTTTTGACAAAAATGTCGCGACCATCTTTTTCGAAACACTTCGAGAACGGATGACTTTTGTTGGCTTTTCTTCAATTTGGAACACCCAAACAGCCGACTATCGTTTATTTTCTGATTGATAACAGTAAATCCACGATTCATCACCACTAACAATGCTGTACACATTTTTTGAGTTTCCGGAATTAAACGGTCAAGCGTTTTTTGACACCAATTAACCCTGGCTGCTTTCTGCTCTTCAGTCAACAGGTGGGGTCTCCAACGAGAAACTAATTTTCTTACTCCTAATTCTTTTCCTGGGTGATTGCGGTTTTTGGTGCACCCACCCTGGGATCGTCGTTAAGACTCACCCGTCCACGTTTGAATTCTCCATTCTAACGGGCAATTGTCGACTGATGTGGCGCTTCGTTGCCGAAAACAGACGGTAACTCAGCAAGGCATTCTTGTTGCGATAATTGTCTCTGAAAGTTGTAATAAATTATGGCGCGAAAATGTTCTCGGTTGAGTTCCATTTTCCTAATGACTTGGTGTTGTGAAAATTTGAATTTAAGTTTACTAAAGAGTGAGGTTAAGATTCAGTACTGACGTTCGATCCGCGCGTCCTACTATGTTTCTATATGCAAAACTTAAAAGATATCCCTCGTAACTACACCCTTAATGTTGTCACCGTATTTGATTATTTACATTCAATAAACTATATTGCTCAGCTGTTCCGGTAAAAACTTCATCCCCTGGAATTTCGCTCGACATTCAGTGTCAGCGGCTAGCGCACAACTTAAAGGCTTAACATATTTTATTTATTTATTTCAAGTCTCAAGTCTATGTGTGAAATATACCTAATCGGCGCGTAGAATTACTGGACCGAGAAATTAGTTATTGGTATAAATAGACTACTGCAAAAATTGAGGTAAACCCTCGCCCACTCCACTACAACCCTCACCCCTTAATTTTTTACCCCTCAAAAAAGAAATAAAAAACGATCAGGGGTCTCACGAGCGCCAAAAACGAAGCTAGAGTGATTTCTATTTTTTTTTTTTAGTTTTTTGCCTTAAGATTCGCCACACAGGGCCGATTTTAAAAAAGTATAACGTCCTTGGGCACGTAGTTCAGAGCATTACACAATATAAACAGTTTTACTGCTAATCTTTGAAGCGAATCTTGAGAATAAAATGTGAATTATCACCTGCACAACTTCTTGGCCGTGTTTTCGTTGATGGACGAGCACTGATAGCAAGGCAAGTTGACGTTCGGCCTCGGTTGCTTCTGCGCCAGCGTGTCTCGCACATCTTCCAGACCAGCAGAACTTTCGATTGTCGTTGCTGCAGTGGACAATGTGACAACACCGTCGGTACTTGTCGAGACTCCTCCCACGGAGGCGGCGCTAGAGGCGGAGCTGATGCCGGAGGTGGTACCTGAGCTGGTGGGAGGCGGTTTTGGCCGTTGCTGGACTGACTGCTTTACTGAACTACTGGGGGAGATTGTATTCAGGCCGCGGAATTTGATTGCCTGAAAAAAATCACATTTCTCGCGTTTTCATAATGTTCTTGCGGGACATTTTGTTTAAAAAATTATATTACCATACCATTTCTTGGTAACATTATGTATATACACTGTACATGTGAGGTCTTATAAACTATTCTATTATCTATCCGAGTGACGTCATAGCGTCAACGGACTCATCAACTGAACAGTGACTAAGCAATATTTTTTTAACAAACAAGCAACGATTAGACATATTTTCAGAATTATGTTCGTTATTTGCACTGACGAATAAATTATATAATTTAACGTTACGTTTATTACTTTCAGTCATATTCAGTCGCGAGTACCGATTCCTTAGGAAATTAACATCACGTAGGGGATGGGTGGGTTTGATATTTGTTTAGATTTCTATGCATAATAACATATGGCTTCAAAAGTATCAATTGATAGTGGCAATATTTGTGAATTCTACACGTTGATCCATAACTGGAATTTCAAATTATCCTCATAGCTGTTTTTTGTAAAATGAAAATTTTGCTAGACGCTACTGAGTTTTCCCAGAGCACTGTGTAATAATCAATGTGATTATGGAACATGGTAAAGTTCACTACCCTTAAAGTATATTGTTATCGAGGCGTCTACTAAGCTGTTCTTATAAATAATTATATAGACAGTCTAGAATGTGAATAATCAATGTGGGATCTACACTTTAGTGTTGTATCGAGTACTATTCTCAGAAGTTTCACTGGTTCAGATTTCACAACCCGACAGTCAAAAATATGATATGATGTGTCTTGATTTCATTTAGGGACAACTTGTTGGCTAAAATCAATTTTCTGACTTGTTCTAGACTATCAACACCCGTATTCTGGTCAGGTTTTGACAGCAAGGTGGTATCGTCTGCAAATAGGATGCCTTATCATTACTCAAGGAGACGTTATTGATATACATTAGGAATAGCAGGTGGCCAAGTACTGATCCTTGCGGTACTCTGGTGCAAATAGGCAAAAGATCAAAGGTGGTGCCCTAGGAGCTTAGATAGTGCTTCCCATTTGACAAATACGAATGAAATAGTTCTGGCTCGATATTTCTTATGCCATAGTATTCTAGTATTAACGGAAATGATTTTTTTGTGACTGCCGCATATTACATCTGCTATTATAATCATATTTTTGGAAATTACAGTCTTAACTTGTATAACCTGAATTCGGAATTTTCCTTACTTGTATGTACACCACCATGTCCGAAAGTTCCTTAGAAATTTGGTTCGATTTCTTCTTCAACTTATCGTCAGGCGTTGCCCTTTTTTGTGAACTTGTTTTAGCCGTTGCGTGTGATACTCCGAAGGGTCGTGCAGATTCGTTTATATTTACAGCGGGAATGGGCTTCTCTGAAAAAACATCAGTCCTATTAATACACAAATTTATCCATACGCAAAAGTTGGGAAAGCGAGAAATTAACAGTGCTTTATCGGAGTAAATACACTATCATGCATAGGTGTACGCTGTACGTAATTAACACGAAAATAAAAAATGGCGTCAAGTAGATTCTCAAGCCCTCGAAACAACTTCTAAAGTCTATTTATCCAAGAAAGACATTAAACAAAAACAATACTCAGCACGTGTTTAGTGTGTATTCAGCACGTTGATATGCGTCCTTCTACTGCCACTCTTTTTTATACCGAAGTATCCGCGCAAGCAGAAGCCCAAATGCCGGGACAACGCGGCTGCTATGAGGATCCCATTTGTGCCTAAGGTTAGTAGAACTGGGAAAAGCTTCCCTCTTGTAGATTGTTCCACAATCTCGATACTCTCGGGACAAAGGAGCGCTCGTATCGGCACGGTTAGGATTGAAGGCAGGCACATCACGCGGCGGCATCATGGAAGACAGCTCTGAGGAGTAAAGCGCGTTGGTGTAAGGGTTCCGAGACTGTCTTTTAGAGAAGACTCGTCGATCAGTCGGATAGCCCTCCTTTGGACAGCATCGAGCATAAAGAATACAGTCGGGCCGCAGTACCCCAAACGTGTGAGCAATACTCGAGGCTAGGCCTTATCTGGGCCTTGTATAGGGTGAGAAGGTCATGCGGAGAAAAGTACTTCTTAGCCTTAAACAAATAGCCTAGCTTTTTCCCAGCAACTGCCGTTATGGACGAGATGTGTTCGTGCCAGATTAAGTCCTCGGCCATCTGGACTCCGACTAGCCAAAGTGAACGGCGCTTTGGCAGAACTCGCCCATCCATCAAAACGGGATGAGCGCTAGGACGCTTTTTGTTCGTCAAGGTACAGTGTTTTGGAAGCATTAGACTGTACCACATTGTTGCGTCCCCAAGCAGTGATAACCTCCAAGTTTCTCGTTAGAGAGGAAGTTGTCGCTAGTCTTGTTTTTTCCAGCTCAGCCGCAGAGATCGGCTTGCCACTTTGAATTCCTAAATATAGAGGAGTATCGTCAACAAAGCTGTGGATTGGGTTGGAGGTCGTTGATATGTAAGAGGAACAGTGTCGGAGCCAAGACCGATCCCTGGTAAACACACGGGTTATCGTGGGATGAAGAGGAGAACCCATCAATTACGACGGATATTTTGCGGCCAGAGAGAAAGTCAGCCACCCATCTGCAAAGCTTTTCTGGGAGGCCATACGATGGAAGTTTGCATAAGGGGGCAGCGTGCCGCAGATGATCGAACACTTTTGTGATATCAAGAGCATGCCACTGGGGGTGTATCGCAATGTTTTGATGGTAGTGTATCAATACATTTCCAACCCCGATAATCCTACTCACCTATGTGTTAGACATATTTCACACATCATAGATTGCCCCGCACATTTGCTCTCAAAACTAGAACGATAGTGTTTTCGACAAGCGTCCGTGCGGCCGGTGTGCCGGTGTTGGTATATGTCGTGCATCACTGGGGCTTTGTGGGCGCTCAGCCGCCTGACGAATCATTCTTTCAGATATTGTAAAGAGGCGACGCGACGTTGTCAGATGAACGGTACTACGGATAGGGCAGGGAAATAATGTTATGGACTAATTGTTCGGACCTGTTTGACGGATTTGTTCTGTTTAATTTATCTATTTTTCATGTTCGTATCTAGATTTTTTATCTTTTCTTAGAGAGTCTAACTTAAACATGCTGCTTTCATCCATCCAAAGAGAGATGTTTCGTGCTTTTTTGGCAACTTATCAGCATGATCTAAGCTTGATGTCTCAGACAAAGAACGAGAGCATAGCTACTATCCTCTATCCAACATATGTAGGTCTTATTTCGATAGGGTCTAACTTGTACTGAATAGAATCCTCTACGAACTCATGACGGCGTTGCGTGGGAAGTGTAGAGTCAACTTACTTGACGGCATTTCTTTAATCCATTCAAATGGCGTGGTATATTATAACACAGAAAGGCAACCATTAAGAACTGAACCAGTTAAATAGGAAAAACGCACCATCAATATTGTCCTCGTCATCTTCGTCGTCATAGTCATCATCGCTGAAATCATCATTGAAAGAACTACTGCTAGTGTTGCTGATGATAGAGCTGGTTCTCCCAGGCACCGAATGCCTGACGCTTGTGCTGCTTGTCGCTGTAGGTCTTCCAGTAACCGCAGCAACGGTACTGGCGGCTGTTGCCAGAGACGGTACAATTTCGGCCATCAGCTTTTTGTTCTTGATTAGGATACGATTGCGCAACTGGTGTGGAGATGGCAAGCATGGTTCGTCAGTGTAGTCCGCTTCGAAGAGAAACGATGTCACTAGTTTCTCGCCGAATATACGCTATTATAAAAAAATAATTCATTGGGTAAATATTAGGAAGCTATAAAAGGAATCTACCTAGCTATGAGAAAAAAAAAACAAAACAACAGATACGCACAAGCATAATATGTCTAATAGTCGTATGTGCCATTTGAGCTAATTTTTGTTATCAGTTTCCAATTTATAAAGTGAATTCTAGGAAAAATGAGTAACTTGAAATGTCGCAGTTCCATAAAATTTCTGACAAAAGAGGGCCAACAGTGGAAAATAATTATTAAGAGAATGATTGCCGTCTATGCGGATGACGCATCATATTACTCAATTAAATTTTGGTCGAAATAGTTTCGATGGGGGCGTGAATCTATAGAAGACAATCCCAGACGTGGAAGACTCAAAACAGCAAAAAATGATGAAATAACTCTAAAGCCATGGTTCTCGAAGATCGTCGTGTGAAGGTATATCAAAGCCCAGCATATGAACTATCTTGCACGACAATTTGGACATCAGTAAGGTGTCGGCCAGTTGGGTCCACGACTGTTGAACAAAAATTGCGCAGGTTGGAAATTTCAGAATGTGAACGGTAACTTTTTTGAAAACAGGTGTATTTCTCGAATAGCAAACGAGTATTTTATAGATACCTGAAAAATGTGCGCCATCCTTGTTTGCTGTTGCAACGAGCAATGATTTTCTATCGATAAAATAACTGGGTAAGGCGATGTAACAAAGGCATTCTTGTCTATTGTCTCTACGACAGCACTGAACGGTATTTTCGTCGTGAACGTGTGTCCATGGTAGATCATCGGATAACCATCATCACCGTCCCAACAGTCCAGCTCAACACATCTACATCCAGTCAGTAAAACCTGAAAACAAAGAAGCATTTTAGTGAATTTATGTTTTATTATTACTATGGCAGTCGGCCTTCTACACGCTGTCCTAGGATATTGGAGAGAACTTCTCAAAGTTTAACCTTTTCCAGCGTGCCTGCCAGAATGGAACCATTGTAACCGACTCAAAATCTAAGGCGGTACTTCGTACATCTAGTACTGACCGATACGACCACTACTTTATGCCTAGGATATAGAGACTGTGGAACAATGCACCTGAGGAAGCTTTTAACTGTTCTATTACCCTTGGTCCGTTCAAAAATCGGATTAGCAAAGTAACCGCGGTGCCCTGCCATTTAGGCTTCCGCCTGTGAGGCTGCTTCGATAAAAAATGTTAGAAACTAAGTTTTATGTTTGGTCGGTGAAGTGAAAAGTAAAATTTTCAATAATATTAGATAACCCTTTTAACCTACCAGATGATGACATTGTACATGTTAAATTATCAAAAAATTTGTTTGTTTAAGATTTATTTAGCATGATTGCTACAATTACATTCTTTTGAAAAACTAAACAATTACAAAACTTACAGATATTTAGAAAAAATAAAATTTGCATTCTGTTTTAAACATCTTCAAATTACAAGTAGACTTTATATCATTATTTAGTTTATTAAATTCAAGTAATCCTTTTTTTAAATTTTGTAAATGAAAAATCTATATTATCTCTTGTATAATAATTATAGTAATGATTATTCAATTCTATGTAGTTTTCTAAATGTGGTAAAAGATGATTTTTTATTTTAAATAAAAAATAAGAACCAAATATGATATGAAATTTTCTAAATTCAACCAATGCTATTCCTGTAACATAGATTTTAATTTGGTATACTTATTTTTATTCAATATTATTCTCATATCTTTATTTTGCAGATTTATTGGCAGTGAACAAGATAGTTGAACAATATAGTGAATCCGGTAGAATAATTGTATTATAAATCCTATAAAAGTAATTTGTTTTTTGAAATAATGTATTCATAGTGATCCTGAAACTTTAGCTTTCTATCAATGCATAGGTATACCTAAATATTTAATTGATTCAACATTTTCAATTATTTCACCATTTATCCTAACTGTGATAGTATTTTTATTTAGGTATTTCCCTATTAGCATACATTTTGTTTTGGTATTTAATTTTAGTTTATTTGCATTTAACCAGTTTATGATTTTTGCCAAGTCAGAATTTAGCATCTTTAAAGCAGTGTCTATATTTTCATCTGATATGTGTATTAATGGATCATCTACAAATATCTGAATTTTAAAATAATCTAAAATATTACAAATGACATTAATGTATAAAATAAATAGTAGTGGACCTAGTTTACTACCTTGTGGTACACCAACACAAATATTTTTTGACCTCGATAATGTAGATAAAAATTTGGTTTTTTGACTTCTGTCGATTAAGAAGTTTTGTAGAATATTGAATACAGATTGGTAACGCTACTACAATATTTATCAAAGGCACTAATACCAACAAAACCAAAGAAAGTAAAGTAGACAATTTGAATGCAACTTTAAAAGCTAATGATCTTTCAAAATCATGTCTATATCTAGTATCAGAAGAAAATTGTACTTTTAGTAGTGATGCAATTTCCGAATTTTCATCTCAGAAATTCATCTTTTATAATTAATGAATAATCAAAGCTATGCTGAAAAGTGTAAAACGAAAATCAGATGCGACTAACAATAAAATTGACATGTTATGGAGTTGCCGGCCGACTGAAATTGAATAAAACATGGGAGTTGATAATATATTTATGTCATGCCTATCAAATTAATTATAAGTAAATAAATGGCAATTAAATATCAGCTTTCTGTCTAATCGAGTTTTCAAAACGTTGTGGATGCTATCTGATAAAATTAGTGTTAAATTTAATTAAAATTGTGTGTACATGCACATCATGATCTGAACTGATAGCAAGAAAAATAGATTTGTTGGCTGTAGAATCATGACATTTTATCGAAGCATCGTCGGTATTTCAAAAAAGGTTTGATGCCTCGTGTCTTGAAAATTGAAGTATTATTTATCAGACTTATATTCATATGTTTTCGTCTTAGAATCACCCTCATGTTGTTCAACTCTTGTAGAGTCCTGTTAAAGGAAAGAGTCGGTATCGTGATACATCACCGAATATTATATAGGATAATCTTGTAATTTTTTTTAGGACTTCTTAAAGATTTGAGAGATTTTATATGTGTTTACCTGGCTGTATAATTCAACGGATGATTCTCCTTTCAATTGATGACCAGTTAGATAAGTATTGTGCGATGATGAAATGTAATAAGTGGACATTGGTCTCATCATGTCACTCTCCGCTGGCACTTCGCATTCTGGAATGAAAGCGAAGTTGTCTTTGTCCATGAGGTACCGCGCAAATCCCTCAAAAGATAGGCACTGTTGAGCTCTGAGAGTTGCATCGGGTTCATGTCTCTGAAAAAATAAAAATGGTGTTGACTAGTGACTTATTTATACAAATACTTTTTGAGGCTATAGAATGATGAAAAATGAGTTATATTTAATACCCATAGATTTTTTGAGTATTATTACAACATGTAGCTTTAAAAATGAGGCTCGTTGCATTTCAAAATCTCCAAAATGTGTTCACTATGCCCTAAAGCTATCAGAAACTTGAAAAAACGAAATTAAGGATGTTTCAAAAATGTTAACCTCCCATCATTCTCTTGACCTTAAAAAATAGCGTCGAGTGGGTTTATTTTATACTTCTCAGTAGATGGCGTTTAAAGCCGCCGAAACGTGAATTTTCAATAAAGTTTTAAGTTGACCGAATCCCAGAATTTATAACAACGTCCAGGAATACAAAACTGCAAAAATTACTATTATTGTGTTTGATTTTGTTACGGATGGTGAGTGGAATATTTAACATAGGTAACATAATAAATAGGATAATGAGAATGAAAGACATATATTTAACTCACGTATATGAGAGCTTTGACTTGATCTTCTGTCCACACTTCCATTTGCCTGGTCTCTAAAAATTTTGTAAACGTCGACATCGTTATCACCTGTGAGTTATTGGTGTCTATTCCTGCACAGTTCGTGAATATACTAGCCGCTGCTATTGCATCAAATATTTTCTTTTGGGAGTTCACGACTGTACCTTCTAGTTCTGCTCGACTATTTCGCGTTAGCAAACCTGAAATAGCAAGCAGTTTAATGGCGCACTTTATCAACACTGTGTGAAAAGTGAGTGAATAAATTTTACATAATTTATTTTCTTTATCAAAAGTCAGGCATCATTTTAATATTTCATTAAAAAATATTTCTTCGATGCATATTTGTACAACAGCTTGTATACATCTGTGTAACGTGGCTTTTCTTATGCTCCCATAGAATATTAGTCTATGAAAACCGTTTTTAAGTATCGTTTGTATTTCACCCATGTGATCTAATAAAATATTGCTCATATTTAGCTAATTTTGGCACACTTCTGAACAGGTAGTTTCTAAGATGAACATATCAAAGTTGTAGCCAATTCTGTCGAATCTTTTTTCACGTAAGCTTGGTGCCATGTTCTTCAACTGGTGTTCAAATATTTCATGTCTAGTGTGCATGATTCTTTACGAAATTTTCTTCAAATGATAATCAACAAACTTACCAAACTTTTGAGGCTTCTTTGCCGCATCAGCCTTAGATTTAACACCATTTATCTTAGTAGTATTCACAGCCATACTTCTGTAAGATATTGCTAGTTGCTCGAACAGATCCCTCAGATCTTTTCGAATTAGTAAACTAAAGGAGCGAAAAAGGGTAACAAAATCCACGAAATCCAGTTGAGTATCATATAGTATAGAGCCCACTCGAGGATGTCTACCGTGCCACAGTTGCTCAGTGGATCCATGCCTATCTCTGGAATAAAAACAAAATAAGTAGATGTCAGGAAAACACTAACCAATGATTTCAATCATTACATATTATATATTTATATATTATATATTACATATTACATATTATATATTATATATTATATATTATATATTATATTTTATATATTATATATTATATATTATATATTATATATTATATATCATATATCATATATCATATATCATATATTATATATTGTATATTGTATATTATATATTATATATCAAAAGGCGGCATACACACTTTGATATTCGATAAATAGCTATATAATTCGTAACAGTTAAAATCTATTTTGTATTTATTAGGCGACACATTAGCCATACGCTGGAAATACTGCGCATCTTCGATGTTATACGGACGCTAGTTAGAGGGTTGCTATGGACACGATGTTAGCATAACGAGCACGATGACGGTCAGGCTTGATATCATAGCCGTCATGTTAAGCTATCCATTCACGCTGGCGCAATCATAATCAAAAACTGTTATTGAACATGGAGACCCGATTGGTGATCTGAAGAGGGCCTGGCCTGAAATCTAATCAGCACAAAATCGACCACAAAAGCTGCATTTTTATCCGGCGATGATGCTTCTAAAAAATAATAAAGAATATGCATGCTTTTTCTACTCCCTGTCGATTATTTACGTTGATATAAACCGTAAACATATAGTTCATTCATGGAAGTATCTGTATCTGTATTTTTTCAAATTAAATATTAAAAAGAGCAATACCAATGACGTTGATTTAAACGCAGCATTTTTCGCACGCTTTGCAGTGACGTTACAACTCATGGTTTGTCATTTTACACTATGTACGAAGACTAGAGCTAGGATGTTGAACTGCGTAAGGGATACACGTATATACGTTTTTGTATGAAGCCAATTTTAGACTATGTACGAAGACTAGAGATAGGATGTTGAACTGCCTGAGGGATACACGTATACACGTATTTGTATGAAGCCAATACTGTCACCAAGAATGGAAATCTAGTGGGCTTAGAACGTCTGCACATTGAGAAATATCAACATAACCTGCCGCAATCTGCATTTGCATTTCACTCACGTTTTATTACCACTATCCCATATTACTGCTTGCAACTTGTGCGAACTGTCAAAATTGGATTTGTTTTCAGTCATGATGACGGCAACAGAGAGATGCCACATGCGCAAAACATGAAATTTTAGCAGTGTACATACGAGAAAGATGCCATATGCGCAATACCTGAAAGGTATTTGTTGCGCAGTGCACCACGCCATTGTTGACATTTTTGGTTTCACCCCCCACTCCATCAGTTTAACCACTTATGACTAGTCTTCATGATCCTATGTTTGGCTAAAAGCGTTATAGTCTGTATAGCATATTTCTTAGAAACTAACGAATTTACCTGTCGAATCTTGGTTGGGAGCAATTGTAGGCAAGTTGTCCCAAGCTGTGGTGCCTGGAGACGTCGTGTTGATGTTCAGGAAATGTGGTAGGCGTTGACTGTCGGTGGTGAGTTGGATTCCTCCAGTAACTGCTTTCCATACACATCGTAGTTGGCTCTACGAATTGGGACCTCAAGCTTCGATCCTTCAATACGTTCAATTTTTAAGTGTTATTATAAAGCGAATCCCCAGTTCAGTCGAATTACATCAGTATGCTTTAAAAAATACTTTGTATTTTGCAAGTCAATTGGGGTCCTTTTGATTGTTGAATTGAAGGAGCAATAGATATGATGGAGCATAGAAACTTGGAAGGCTGACAACTTTTTAAATCCTAGCATGCATGAAGTTGGTGCGCTAGCAGTCACTTACGCGCGAGCATTTTGCTTTTAGTGGCTCACCAGATGCCACTAGCGTCTTTAAATTATTGAATATCTAAACCCGTTGCTCGATAACACTTGAGGAGCTGAAAGGTTGTATCAGTCTTTAAAGATAAAGATTTTGTGTGATTATTATCCTACATATTACTTTTGCTGAATAAATTTAATAGACATGGAGGGAAATAAGTATCAAGTATTTAATTACATGTATACAAACTTGCTGACCTTAAATGTTTGGTTACTAAGCAGCTGCTTCTTTTTGATTTTCATCGAAACTTCCCTTCTCAGAGCTCCTGTCTCTTGCCCTTGCCCAGAAGATGATGTCATCCCCGCTAGAGACCAATCTCTACCACCAAATGACTGAAAAATATCAATGTATTATAATAATAATAATAATAATAATAATAATAATATTAATAATAAATAACGTCTTTTTATTTGTAATAGTATTACAGGAGGTGAGATTTAGATAATATATGTATTTTACCATCTATATATATATATATATATATATATATTTATACCTCATTTAATATCCATCAAAGCAAATGTTAGTGCAGGATGTTTAACTTTTCTCGCTCCTCATGGCTAAATGCGTTTGACGGTATACTATATCCGTCCAGTTTCAGAACTTGTAGTAAGATATGAATTGTCACACTGATATCCCTTATGAAAAACTTACCCGAATTGCGTCAGCAGCCAGTGGGCCGCAGCAGTATCCGTCTTCATGATACAGCTGCATGTATTGCTCCCTTAACCAAAATAAACGTCTATCACAGAGTGCTTGTTGACGAGATAACCCTTTGATCAGCCAACACAATCCGCTGAACCATACTCTAAAAACAACAAAGTCAGAAAAAATCATGATAGACTCAAATTTGGCATGTCTGTGAAACTGACATTCTAAAAGTAGTACTGAAAGTAGAAATCCACCAAAATGCTTGGAAAGTAGGACAAAAATGATCAAATCTCGGTAAAACAATTGATGCATTGTAATAATGTTAATCATATTAATATTCTTATCGTATTGTTAACATTTTTATTAGCTACGACAGATCGGAGAATTATCCCTTAAGCAGTCAAGCATTTGTTTAGTAAACAGCCACTTGAGAGAAGGGAACAATGGGCGTCATGACGCCACTCTTCCTTTGATCTTTCAAGCTGTTTGATCCCCATCTGACGGCATACAGGTTATAGAAACCGGATTGGTAAGGTATCTCCAATGGATTTCTAGTAGCACCACGCCTTGGGTACCTACAACGGTAGCTGAGTGCGAGGACCGTGATGATTTTTCGGATAAACGCATCCGTAACAGCGGGTATGTTCAGTGAACAACAACTTAGGAGAAAGGAAAACTTATTACAATGCGAATTGTTTATTGCAGGATCAACAGTTTTGGACGTACTTCATACCTATCCTCAGTTGGTTCTACCTCTTACTTCTAGGCACCGAAGTGATCGACTGAACTTGGATCTCGAATGGAATACTGTTGTCTTTAGTGATGAATTCAGATTCCGTTTGGAGATGCATGATCGCCGTACAAGTGTAAAAAGATGGCGAGGTGAAACACGAGATTCTTAATTTTCTATGGAAACATATGTGCCCCACACTGTTGGAACTATGGCATCGGGGGCTATTATAGAACCATCAGAGGCAACTCTACCGCCGTGCTTTAAATCCAGGAGATGATACGTGACGATAAACCTAGACTTATATTGGTTCGTTTCCAGGACAATCAAGTCGATTTGTTGCTTTGGAACCTAGATCTACCGATCTTTCACCCATTAATCACAATCAAATATTGAATGTGTAGTACTCGCCTTAATAATTAGGTGTAGGTATACCTTGAGACACAGAAAAAAATACGTGTCCGTCGTTTTGAAAGTGCGTACACAACATGACGCGCAATCGCTTAAGCGTCAAACCGTTTCCAACGCAGCGTTCTCTGAGCATAACTAAGATAACTAGTGTAAAGTACGATTCCCATAGCTTATTTTCTCAGATTTTATTCTATGAGTGTATTCTTCCAAAATTTTTCGAGATATACATTTACATTTAAACGACAGTACTTCGTATGACGTCATTTGCTTCAGGTGGATGAGCATAGATTACTAGCCTGCCTTGAACTTTTCTTAGGATTTAATAATATTGTTTCCGAGTACTGTTTATTTTTTATAACGAACTGAATCATATAAGTAGAAGTTAACATGTTTGAGTAAGTGTAAAATGAAGGTATCAAGCTACAACTGCTCTTTAGATTTGTGGCTGTTAGGGCTTTCCCCTAGGGTGATATTCTTGAGATGAATAGTCAATCTCATACAAAAACTTTGGTTGATCCCTTGGAACCATTTTTCAAAACTAATAGGAAAAGTTTTAGAACTGGAGAAGTTTAAGTGTGTTTTTCTGAAACTCGAATTACATCTTAGGTGGAATAGGTCATCGTTAAACTGGATGTCCCAAATTCTATGGCCTGCTGAAGGCGTCACAGAAAAATGGCTTTTATTATAGTGGCATATGGCGGTATAGTAACTAATTAGGGCTTCACATTATGGAGTTTCGGATATCCAACGACGGAATAGCCTTACCGCAAAATTGCTAGATTTTAAAATCTATACAATAATGGATCAAAGAGGATCAAAGATGGTATCTGCTACTTTAGCTGGACAAATTTATTTTGTTGAAATATGCCGTTTTTGAGAAAAAGATTCTGTTTGAATGTGTTTCATCCGATGTGACGCTCATGGCGGTCGATTTCGAAAGATGACCAAATCTCTGAAACTGTAGTGTTATGAAAAGTTTATATCTGGAGGGTTTCTCGGTCATAAATTATGAATCTGTTATCAGAATTACTATGTCTTTTTAATTGTGGAACCAATATGATGGCTGGGTAAGAATTATAAATTAATAATTGATAGCACCACAATTATCAGAATTATATTGAAACAAGTCTGTTTCTCTCAAAAACAGATCGTGTTGATGAGGTAAAATAAGAAGTAAAACCTTTGTTAAATGTTAGGTTATAAGTAAAATACAGGATGCGGCAGCATAACTTTCAAAATGCGCGCCATTCAGTCGGTTGATGTCGTAGCGGAGCGCTAGTTGTCTTGTTCGAGAGGCGGGACTATAACTATAATGTTTTGTCCTGGCACAGTCTAGTATCCATCATGCGTCGGAACAGTGGGGAGTATGCTTTTGCCGTTGAGGCCGACTTTTCGAGCGGATGTTCTGTGATCGCCTTTCGGAATAGCTTTAATTTAGCCCCGAGGGTCCCCGTCCCGGACCAGAAATTAATTGTTACGTGGATCACTACCTTCAGACAAACTGCGAGTGCGACAAGACAAAGAACTGGAGTCCCTTGGATCATTAGATCAACTGAAAACATTGAGGCAGTGATGCAGCCGACCAAGATTATCAATTCTCCATGCCGCCTACCCTTGTAAAAATTTGTTGCGTCCATGAAATTGAAATAAACATAAAAACTAAAGACATAATAAACACTCAACATCTGCAAAACACCCAGCGAACGCCAAGGGAAGGAATAAGCTAAATTGATATTTAAGAGAAAATATACAATAGAACCGGATGCAATAAAGATGGACCGTTCCAATAAGAGTGGACAAAATACGTGTTCTGGGGATCTTTCCTGTAATAAAATGTGTGTTATAACTATAAAGTCCATAATCAAAGGAGCGCTGGGAAACTTGAAACTCAACCATTTGGTTAGCACATGTTAGAAGCGACCCAGAGCGCTGAATGGTCAAGCGTCAGGGGCGTTTCATAGGACATCTAAGACTTCCGACGGCTAGAAAATTACTAATATAGCCTATGATCAAAAAGTAATGCATATAACAGAACTGGTGATTTTTAGTTCTTTTAGGATGGTACCATCTGAACTGAAATACATGTCAATATTTTAGTGCGAGTGCCTTATTAGTATCTGCCTGGCGTCTGTTTACGTCAGTCAACTTTTTAAATTCCCGGTAGTTTTTGATCATAGGGTATGTCATGATATGTGGGAAAATATGAAAAGAGGATACAAAAAGCTAGACTGTTAGTAGAATTTTCCCCTAGCTGATATTAATAGGTGCGCCAGGCTGAATAGGATTCTTCAGTCAACGTAAGCGTTGACAGATGCGTCTTGGAAATTATTAGAAGGCGGTAAGTGAAACTAACGAAAGACGACGTAGTCCAATGAAACTAACTTTTGCTCAAACACATTCAATTTTCAGTAGAAAGTCACCGTTAGTTTTACCTAAATGCTACGTAAAATTTTTATCATTAGTTAAGAGGACATCTCGAAGTGTGGCCTCAGCATTACAGGAATTCCCGATAAATTCAAATTATTGGAAACTGCCGGGTCTACCCCGAGCAGATAGAGTCACGAGACGCCACTGAAGGAGGCTTCTTGCATAAACTCTTTGAGGTAGGACAAGGGAACGTAATTAGCCAATAGAGTTGAAGGACGTATTGAGTTCAAAAATTAAGTCTAACAATCATTGGTCAAATTAGTTTCCATTGCAAGTGTTGTAAACTGGTCGACCAATGAGCGAATAAGGGTTGAACTCGCTAAGTAAGAATGACCAGCCTTCAGATGGAGGGGAAATCCGCAACTGACCTCCGATAATTTTGAAACTAAAAACTTCAGTTCTTCTCCTATTTTTGATTTGTACGGTTGAAAAAGTTGCTTCGATTTTCCCTCAGTTAGTGGCTGTTAGTATGTGTTGCGTCGGTGAATTTGTGTCAAGTTGTGTTCACATCAGTAAGCACTTTCAGTTACTTCAAAAGGGCTTTTTCATTCTTTTATTAGCCCTTCTGGATAAAGTTAATATAAGGCTGTGATAACTAACAATTCTATACATTACCTTGGTTAATTAGCATTGTTTAAGTTGAGATTCTCAAGTTTAATTTTTGCTATCAAATTCAAACCTAAAATTATTGTAAATTAGTTGTCACCGTTCATTTTAACTAGTCGTGATTCACTCCTCTAGTGATCCTTTCCCCAGCCTATTAGTCTTACAAAGTTAACCTTTCTTTGTCATCGCTACTTCAGCTTTCATAAGTGCTTATATATTTTGGGTCTGGAATTCAATTATCAATAAAAATTAGTCACGTCTAACTTGACTTTCATTAAATTCATTAACTGAAGCTAACTGAGTTCGGCGGTTCCGAAAGTATTCATCCGGGCGTTTACCACGTTCTCTGGATTACTTGGAGAACAGAAGAGGCAACGTTCAGCGCAAAGTGAGTGTTTCAATGAGCTATGATCCTATTATATTATGTCAAGTTCTACGCGAGTCTACCTCCTATAGGAGGACAAGTAAAATGTAACAGAATTGGAAATTTAAGTGGACTCGGACCAATTCAGAAAATGAAGCATTGGACCGGGTATCCGAACGAAGTTTCGGACGAAGTTCCCTGCAGTAAGAGCGTCGGTGTTGCGATCAGCACGGCGTTCTGCGTCCAAACATTCTTTATGATCTTCATCTCCGTCCTTACAAGACGAAAATTATGCAGGACCTTTTTGAATGTGATTTCAATTCTTGAATGAACGCGTGTCGAACTCGTTCCCGGAAGTCGGTTCACTCAGTATATGGAGAATGGAGGACTTCACCTATCTGATTTAATCTTCAAAACGATGTAAAACAAAATTTTAGGCTTGCGCCAATATCATAAAAAACAAAATGGTCTGATTCATACAGCGAGTTTTAGTAAGTCTTGAAAAAAAGAAATTATGCTGATCACCCGTTATATGAATATGAAAGGAAACATAATCTGAGATACACTGTGTATTTCCTATTAATTGTGATATCGTTAATTTTATAAATTATATTTTTCTTGAATCCTAAGAGCACGGTCTTTCTTTTACAGCTATTCTCAGAAACCTGACGCTTTTCTCTCGAACCTTTTTATCTCTTATTACTCCCCTGCCAATTACTGGTACATCAGCTATTAAGTACAGCTGGGGATTAAGTCTCTATAAATAGGGTATTTTCTTACCGGCACACCACCGGAGGACAAACTATATACAGCAATCGATTATCACTAAGGCCGTGTCCGTATAGAAGGGTAAGTCCACATTCATTTCCCTGGGTGTGGTTCAAACCGTATCTGAAACAACAAACAACAAAATTGGTGTCATGTAGGTTGATATGATTAAATTAGGTTTGGTTTATTTCCAAACCTGAAACCATGTCAATTACACAAACAATCAAAGCAGTTAGATCTGAGATATAGAGTCGAACTACTTGACACATATTTTTAACAGACTAATGTAATTTACATGTGATTTGAAAATCATGGTTCCCTTCAGACGTTGAAGTAGTATTTATCGCATTTCAGATGCAAAACAACGCACTTGTAACATTTTAGTCGAAGATTGCAGAACAATTAACCGGTGTGTTGCGACAACAGTTCTGGGTGGGTTTTCGCTTTTTTCTTTTGGAGAACTTTTGGTGTTTTTCGGGACGATGGACGAGGGTGACGTATCTGGTACATGAAAAAACGACAAATAGCCTCATACTCGCTTGTCGCTTTGGAGGGCTGGACGTCCTTTTTTGGGAACGGGATTGCCTAGCCTAGGCGGTCCAGGGCAATGCTGGTTTAGGTTGGTACCATCTTAAAATTCGGAATGATGACTTCGCTGAATCTCGTGACTTAAAGTATTATAGTAACACACTATTTGGGAGGCGAAAAAGGAAAATCAAACGAATTATCACCTGGAAGAGAGATAAATCAAATGTATGCATTGTATTGAAGATCACCTTTGTGATTGAAACGTCCAGTAACTAAAATCTTTCAATACATGTGGTTCTATTGGCCAGAAAAGCATGGATGATTATCGATATGACAATTTACAGAAACACGAAAATTGTCACTACGAACTAGTTCACTTTTGTAAGGGCCATCTGGACGCCCAAGTCGGTTATCTCTGAACATAACCTTTGATATGTCGATGGGCGGCGCTACTTGCCAAAGCCTTCGGATGTTGCTATGACAAACATGATTATACTGACACGTGCTCAAAAAAATCACCGAGCGACGCACATGATTGCACTTGATGACGTCTTTAACTATGACAGTGAGAAGAAAACATTCCTGAGCTTTTCGAAAATTACTATATAACAGGTATCCATATTCGTATACATCCAATATATTTCACGAAACTGCAAAGTACAAGTATGATAAATGCTACTTTTTGTATCATATCGACTTAGAAGATGATCAAAGTTTTCAGCAGAAAGCCGCTAACTTTCTGAGATAAAAATATATCGTATAGACGTGAAGGTGACAGAAATGCTCTTGCTGCAAAGTACAAGTATGATAAATGCTACTTTTTGTATCATATCGACTTAGAAGATGATCAAAGTTTTCGGCAGAAAGCCGCTAACTTTCTGAGATAAAAATATATCGTATAGACGTGAAGGTGACAGAAATGCTCTTGCTGGAAGTAAATGATCCCATTTTGACCTTCAGGCTGAATAGAAAGCCAACAGTGCATACCTGCGTGCGATCGCTGCCATTTCGGCGTCTTTTTCTGCATCGCGGCCACCCAGATGGACTTCTTTCACAACCATCAAGTCCAGAAATCTGTAATAAATATAACTAAATTAGTTTATTAAATTACTTTCTTTAAACTTAAGACATGTTTGCTAAAATTAAAATTCTCTAACCGCGGCCCGAATGAACTCTGTCGTAGGTATTTTGAATTGCCGAAACAAAATCCAAAATCAATTTCACATGTATCTGATCCCGTTAATCTATCATCTAGTAAAAAATTGTAAAACCATGCGACATTTGCGATTTTAGGCTGCTTCAGTTTATCGGTGGATATTTGCGAACTATGCTTTGTACAACAGGTAATTTGGGTCGCTAAATTTGAATACTATCATTGAACAAGCTTAAAGGGGCATGGCGCCAAATTACGGGTAAAAAATTGGTACAAACCAATTACCCGGTGCCCCCCGCGACTTAGATTGAAAACAAACTTCCATCCAGATCGTAGATGGGCAAACATTTTTGTAGGGGTATACCTATGTTCTGACAAATGGACGTATCTCCATCGCTCATACCACGGAGTATACATCATAGTCAGTAAGGACGGAAGCGACAGCAATGGAAGATAGGGAATCTGGCTAAGAGGCGTAAATCCATAAATGGACATACGCCTGTTCGTCACATCATCTATTGCGCTTTAGTGTCGCTTTCGCCCGTAGTATGTAACTGTGATAACTATAGCCACCTATATCTAACGTAGTTCTAGGTGGCTATTGTGATAACCGATACTGTTGTGCCATCTCCTGCATGTTTACGGGTTTTCTAGAACGTCTAGGTATGTTTAAGTGAAAGTTGAAAGTCTAAACTTCAGGTAAGCACATTTTTGTTGACTTAAAGTAATATATTATTTGAGATAAACATGCGTCGTGGTTTGGTGCTTCTGACATTTATAGTTCAAATGTGAGGTTATGAACGAAGTCGAGGCGAGAAAACCTTCGCTGCCTGTCAATTATTGAGATGACGTCCGCGAAATGAGGCAAACTATTTCAAACTAACCATAGATTTTGTGTTGGTTAGGGTTAACTTTTGCTATGGTTATTACAACTGTTTGTTTTTATTGCAGTAACTTAACCAAAGCAGCAGGGATGTGTTAGTCAAGTGGGACGACGGTACAACTAACGTCGTGTATTCAAAAAACCTCAACACTGTACATAAAACTCAGACTTTACGCTTTGGTGTTCGAAGGAATTGAATCGGAAGCATAAGCACGTGTTATTTCCAATCCATCAGAAAAGATGCAGAAAATACATCAGCTGGAAAGCAACGATTCAGACGATGACAATATTCCACTCAGTGTTTTAAAGAAGGCTATCGAAGAAAATAAGGAGCCTTCCATTTCACCAAAATCAGTGTGTCCAATAAAAAATATTGATTTACAAGACGAGGTTCCACCAGGTCCTAGAGAACAAACTCCAGATCAACCTGAAGCTGTTGATCCTTTTGAATGTTCTGACAGCAGTAATCACGACCCCACTTATACCCAAACCTGTAATTTTAAAAATTGCAAACAGGAAATATTTGCTGCTTGTCACCGCTGTCCTGCATTGTTGTGCTGGGATCATTTCAATAACAATAGCGACTGCAAATATCCCGATGATATTTACTCATCTGATTCTGAAAACGGAAAGGATAAGGCAGAGATCGAGCGCGATCGCTTAGCTGCTAAGTATGCCGTAGATGGTGTGCAAAGAGAGGTGCCGTTTGCTAAGACAAAAAAAGGAAACAAAAAGGCAATAGCACATGCGCAAAAAAGTGAGGGGAAAGCTTACGTGAGTTCAACTTCAAAAAAACTTATGCCACCGAAATTAATAAACCCGCGATGTGACACAAAGAAGTGTAAACAAGAGTGCAGCTTAATCACGGAAGAACATAGGCAAAAGATTTTTGCTGCTTCCTATGAAACAGAAAGCCTTCAGTTACAGAGGGAGTTCGTTGCGCGTCATGTTACAGCTCACAATATTAAAAGAAAGCGAACAAGCAACATTGTTTCACGTAGAACAAGAACATTTACTTATCGTCTTGCGAATGCAAATACATCAACAACTGTTTGTAAAACTATGTTTTTAAACACGCTCGGAATTTCTGAAAAAACCATGCGGACGGCGCTAAATAAATTAAATGATAGGGAAGAGAGGGATAACACGTCCTGATGCACGTGGTGGTCGACACGCCAGTTTGCGTGAAAAAGATAGCTCTACTCGGTCTGCTGTATTAGCCCATATTCAACAACTTCCTCGGATGGAATCACACTTTTGCAGACAGTCCACCACCAGGGAGTATTTGCACCCAGATCTGACTATTAAGAAAATGTATTATTTTTACGTGCAAGAGGGACGTCAGCCACAGTGTAGTTATTATCTTTCTTTCCATCACCAAAAGAAAGACCAGTGTAGCCTTTGTTCGTCCTATAAAGAAGGCAGCACGGAAACGGAGGCCAAACTCGAAGATTCTTTTGCTGCACATATTGCAGAGAAGGACTCTGTGCGAAAGAAGAAAAAAGATGCTAAAGAATCATCACAAGAAAACCCTGAAGTAATAGCTAGTGCTGTATTCGACCTGCAACAGGTAATTTCGCTTCCAAGAAGCAATGAAAGTGGAATTTTTTATAGCCGTCGTCTATCAGTGTTCAACTTTACGATTTACAACCTAGGAAATAAAAACTGCTTGTGTTATCTTTGGAACGAAATTAATAGTAAACGAGGGTCCAACGAAATATCAACATGCGTGGCAAACTACCTTATTCAGCTGGATACCCAGGGAATAAAAGAAGTGAGACTATTTGCAGATGGTTGTGGTGGCCAAAATAAGAACACGATTGTTTTAGCCATGTTGCTGCACACCATAACCAATACCAAAAACATAAAAAAAATATCATTATCTTTCTTCGAAACAAATCACGACCAAAGCGAGGGCGACTCTGCCCACAGTTCTATTTCGACAGCTTTAGCCGTAGCAGGAGATGTCTTTATTCCTGCTCGGCTTCCTTATATTCTTAAATTGGCAAGTCGGAATTCTCCATACACTGTCATCCCTATGGATAATGCTGGCTTTCTGGATTACAAGTTTGTGGCTGAACAACTCCGCATTCGACAACTGAGAAAATTTGACACGGGGAAAATGTTAATTTCACCGCAATCAAGGAAGTAATGGTAAAGAAAGATGTTCCACATTTTCTAAAAGCCAGCCATCTTGCTGATCAGTATAACACATTATCTCTGAAAAGAAACACCCTTGAAGTCCTGAAACAGCCGGTACGTAGACTTAATAATGGTCCAATTAAATTAGACAGCCTGAAATACGAAAACCTTGTTGAGCTATGTACTGGACCTACACCCATAGTGTGAGATCTAACGTTTCAACAATACTTCAAGAACCTCCCGCATCATTAAACACCTCAGTTTTTTATAATTTGCATACTTCCTCTGTTTAATTTCTATATTTTGAAGTTTTCTTTGTTTAAATAAAAATGTCATTAATAATAGGAACCGTTGTGTATGTTCAAAATTACTAATGAAAAAGGGCGTAAGTGACATACCTCTGTAAAGTAACTCTGACGAACGGGCGTATGTCCAAAGTGGCCATTTTGTAGGACAATATCGTGCGAGCTTTGCAATCACGTTATGGCAGATTGAAAGTGTCCCTGATGATTCACTTTGATACAAAATTGTAAAAAAATATCGTTGCTAGTTACAGAATCATCAACTCATATAAGATACATATTTTCCTAAAATCGCTACTACTGTAAAATTATGTTATTGGCGCTTACGTCCATTTGTCAGAACAGCGACGTTATATACGATTCAAATTGCCTCTATGGTACGTATTTTGGGTCGCTAAAGCCGAATCCGGAGTCATTCCACATGTAATATTATCCCATTTCCTATGCGCTAAATAAAACTCGATTTTGTTTATCGGTGGCTATATGAGAACGATGTTCTGTATATTCAGGTAATTTGGGGCGCTAAACTTCAATATCATTGTGCAAAAAACCTTTAAGGGTCATGGTGCTGGATTAGGGGTGAAAAATTGGTAAAAAGGTAGTTTCATGGGGCGACCCGTGAGTCCCAGCACTAAAGTGACATTGAATATGGAATCTACGCACCCGATTTATCTAGAGAACCAGTCTCTATCCGGATCATAGACGCGCAACGATTTTTTGAGATTTTGTATTAATCCTTTATTGATATTCTTGCCAGTATCCCTAAAACGGGGCATTTGAGGACAAAATGAGCCCCTATTTCGGTTTCAGCGACACAAAAACGTATTATAAGGATGGTTGGGCTCACGTTCCCGACGGACAAAATTTTAGACCAAAAATTAAACGAACATTTTAGAAAATTCAATGTGGACCAAAATGACGTTACATAACCTTTTACCCAAACGAAATACAACTTTTTAGGTGGGATACATAGGGTACTGTGGGGCTTTTATCGAAAGTTTCCGAGAAAGCAATCTAACGAGAATATGAATACTATACGAGTATATTGGTTCAAATGACACCTATTGTACCTAATTTGGGTCGCTAAAACTGAATCATTTCAATTCACGTGTATCTGGTGTCGTTTATCTATCATCTTGTACAAAATTGTAACAAAATACTTGCGATTTAAGAGTGCTGAAAATTAGTTTTCTCTATCGGTGGCTATATGCGAAGGATGCTATGTACATCTAGGTAATTTGAATAGCTTCCATATTACAAACCTCCTCGAAGGCGTTCATTGACTAGTTCTGTTGTTGCTTAGGTGTTTTGTGTTAGATTTAAAGATACGGGTTGTTTTTTATTTGTTTAGAAAATGAAAAACAAAACTTTGGCTCCCTCACATTTATATATTGAGAGCAGTTTTCGCATATCTGAAACAAAATCGGCGCTATCTATCTATTTCGATTACACATGTCCACAAAAAGAGTGGTTTGTGCAGCGCCCTCTAAATGTTGGCTATATTATATAACACGAATTTGAAGTCAGCATTGGGGGTCGAAGGATACCTACCTTCAGAGTAAAACATAAATGGTGAATGTGCATTGTGTATCAG